TCTGCAAGGACCTTCCTCCATTACCCAGGATACAGCATGGCAGCAAGAATCCACAAAGGCCATCACCCATTTGAGATAACAACATGGCAGAGGGTAGAAAATGAATCTACTACATTAAATCATCTTATACTGTGAAGGCATCAGTGGTGTATCAGGACACTACTGGGTAGAGTACAACAAATGCTAGACTTAAAACCAGAAGAATCTGTCCTCCCTCCACCATTTCTACTCATAACATCTGTGGAGCATTTCAGCTTCCTCCTCTATAAAATGAGGATCATGATCACTGCTTCCCCTACCTCACAGGGCTGTCTGAGGACCAAAGAATATATTGTGTGTAATTTTCTGTAAACTTACAAATGTACAAGATTATTAGGAAGGTGACCTTCTTGTCTAGAACTTCTTCATCCCATTAGGCTCCCATGCAATTATCCACAGACACCCGGACCAAATGAAATTTTTCAAAATTCTGCTTGCAGTGGTTTGGAAGTATCTCCACAAATTCTTTGGTTTTCCTCCCTTCAAAAATGTAACCATTTCCCCCCTCCCCTTGAGTGTAGGCTGGACTAAGTGACTTGGTTCTAACATAGGGTTGCCAGATAAAATCCATGATACCCAATTAAATTTGAATTTCAGATAAACAACAAATAATTTTTAGTGTAAGTATGTCCCAATTATTGCATGGGATATACTTACACTAAACGTTTATTCACTGTGTCTCTGGAATTCAAATTAAACTGGGCACCCTGTTGCTTGTGTTCATTAGTTTTGCTAGAAGTGGCAGCCCTATTCTAATGAACAGAATGAAGTGGTATACGTAACAGTACATGACTCCAGTACTGTGTCATAAAAGGCATTGTAGCTTCCACCTTGCATTCCTCTCTTGCATGACTCACTCTGGGAGAAGCCAGATGTCATGGTTTGAGGATCCTTGGTCAGTCCTATGGAGAGATCCACTGACACATCCTGCCAACAGCCAGGACCTACTCCCGAGCCACAGGAGTCAATCATCTGGATGTGGATCCTCCAGCCCCAGTTAAGCCTCAGCTGACTGAAGCCCCAGCAAGTGTCCTGGTTGCTATCTCATGAAAGACGCTGAGCCAGAACCACCCTACTAAGCTGCTCCTGAATTCCTGACCCAGAGACACCATGTGCAATAATAAATGATTGGTATTTCAAGCTGCTACATTTTGGAGCTTCAGGCTCCACCCTGACTGGCACTGAGGTGTCTACAGAAGGTTCCCCACCTTTCCCGGTCTCTGAGCTTTGGTCACCATACCCCATTCTACCGCCTTATTTCAGACCAATCAAGTGCCCAGGTCAAGTATTTCTGAAAGCTTTTTTAAAATAGTAGGAAGTCTATCTGTTAAAAGAAGATGAACTTCTTTTCTTAATAGGCTCCATACCCAACATAGGGCTTAAACTTAGGACCCTGAGATCAAGAGTCATATGCTCCACCAACTAAGCCAACCAGGAGCCCCAAAAGAAGAGGAACTTTTGAGGAGAAAAAGGGAAAGAGGACTAGTAATACTTTTCTGAGGTCCTGTGAGGCTCTTTCCCTACATCAGAAGGAGATACTTGGGCCCTGAGGCCCAATTCTGCTGATTCCTGGCTGCCTAGTTTGGGTAAGTTACTTAATCTCTCAATCCCTGGGTTTATTTGTAAATACAAACATAATAATGCCTATTTACAGGACTTTTATGATGATGAGAAATATTTAAAATAATGTTCATTAGGCAGGTAGGATGTGCAAAGCTCTACTACACTTTATATTTAATCCTTATCCAACCCTTTGAGATAGATAATGTCTTTCTCTTCCTCTTACACTTGGGAAACTGAGGCACACAAAATGAACATGACTGCCCACAGATAATAAGTACCTAATGTGCCTGACACATAGTACACATCTTTGTAAAAGTTGCAGTTAGGATATCATTTAATCCTCCAAACCATTGGTTTTCCAGGTGAAAAAATGTGGCATCAGCAGGGTTAGTGGGTCTCCCAGGGTCGAACTCCAAAGTCTGCACTCTTTCCCGCCCCCCGCCCAAGCACAGCGAGTCATGGAGTGAACAGAGCTCCCTGTGGTGGTCATTCTCCTGGTATTATTCCCACCCCTGCAAACTGCCCCCCCCCCCCCCCCCCCCCCGCTGGTGCTCCTGGCTCACAGGAGTTTCTAATTGCTGCCACAGGATGCAATGGGCCAGACACCTAATCGGAGACCTTAATTCATATCTGGTCCACAACCCAGTTTTGATGGACTGGTACAGCATCAGCTCAGATTTTAAACACTGGAGCTGCCACATAAAACATGCAGATTTCTGCCTTCTCTGAGCCAATGACATGCTGGCTGGCCCTCCTGGGTGGCAAGCCACCTGGAGCAGAAGAGTACAGTCTCTTTCGAGATGGGGCCTGTGCCTTCCCATCTGCCACTGAGAGCAGAGCTGAAGGGCCCCCAGTGTCCTACACACTCGATTTTCCTGCCAAGAGGCACTGATTGAACACCACCAATGACCTCCTGAGCTATCCGAGTCACATCATTGGCCCTGAAATGAAGGTGAGCAAATCATCTCAGCTCTGTGTCTCAGTCGCCTGCTTGACCTTGAGAACACCGTTCTGATGGGATATTTTCCTGCTCCCATCCTCATGGATGACTGGACAAAAAGTATTGGCTACAGAACCTGACCCAGAGCAGCCTATCAGAAGGTCGGCAGAGAAATGGCTATTTTCCAAAACAGTGGCTGTGACTTGATGGACCTACCCCTTCAGGGGAAACCACTGTCAGAAGGAACCCTAGCCCCTTCGGATACAGCGCTGTGCCCACTTGTCGGCTCCACCAGCAGGAGGCTGACCTGAACAGATAAGAATGGGAGAACCCAGGGAAAACTATTCCCCGTCTGTTTTCCTTCCCTGGGGTCTTAGTGGAAGCCTCTCTCTCTCTCTCTCTCTCTCTCTCACACACACACACAGAAATAGATGTGGCAGTCACTCTGGCTGCAGCCCAATGTGGCTTGCTAAAGCGACAGTTCCTGTTCTCTTTTTCCACAAGGAAGAGTCATAATGTAAGCTACTCCCAGGGAGAAAGTAGAGAAGGAAGAACAGCTTATTCCTGACCCATACTTGGAAATTCCCATGTGGGGCCACATAAGAGGAAAGGGGACCCTCCCTACCCAAGTTGGAGAGAAAGTATAAACTGGCATACCTCTGTCTAATGACGATTTAGCAGTTAACTACCAACAATTTAAGTGCCTGTAACCTTTGCCCAAGCAATAACACTTCTGGGAGTCAATTTTACAGAAATTCTACCAGAAGAGCAAGAGATACAGAGACCAAGAGACTCACTACAGCACAGCCTGTGATGGAAGCAGTGAAGACAGCCTACACACGCCCAGCCATCAGTAATCGTTGGTGCGTCTGTGCGGTGGAAAACCACAGTTCTGTTAGAAAACGCACGGTAGATCTAAGAGAAGAACCCTGAAAAATTCCATGATGGTATGTGAAAAAAGCAAGTTGCAGAATACAATTTAACTTATTAACTGCTTATATTTAACTACTGGGAAATTGGCCAGGCCAATTATGCACAGAACACAAAACATAAGAGTGAACAATGTATTAGCAAATGGTATTAGCAACTCTGCTAATGGTGATTCCACTCAACGATCCTGGGCCCCAAAGGGCTACCTGGGCATCATCAGTCTATGTCTCCTAGCACTGTGGGCTTCTCTGGGCTCTGGGCATCATTTTGAGAATTAAGAAGAATTGGTACTCCTTATCCCACATGGCCCCTGAACGCAAGCCAACTACTTACTCTGGTCCTCGAGGGAGAAAGAGCAGCCTGTTGCAACTGTGCTAAGAGACAGAATGTCAGTCTCCAACAGAGAACCTTCCAAAGGGTAACCCTTCCTGATCCCTTCCCTTGTGCGAATTTTCTCGTGTGCAGCATAGTCTACAAACTCAGCGGTTTGAAACAGTCACTATTAGCTCACAGTTCCTTTTTTTTTTTTTTAATTTATTTTTTGAGAGAGAGAATGTGTGAGTGGGGCAGGGGCAGAGGGGGAGAATCCCCAGGCTGACTCCCCACTGAGCACAGAGACTGACATGGGGCTTGATCTCACCACCCTGAGATCATAACCTGAGCCGGAACCAAGAGTCGGAGGCTCAACTGACTGAGCCACCCAGGCGCCCCAGCTCACAGTTCTGTATCCGTAGTTGAGGCTCAGCTGGGTCTTTTTTTTTTTTTTTTTTAAGATTTATTTATTTTAGAGAGAGCCTGCAAGCAGAAGGAGAGGCAGAGGGAAAGAAGTCTTCAAGCAAACTCCCCACTGAGCATGGAGCCCACTGAGGGGCTCAATCCCAGGACCCAGAGATCATGACCTGAGCTGAGATCAGGAGTCCAACGCTTAACTGACTGAGCCTCCCAGGCATCCTATCCACTGGGGTTTATGTTCAAGGTATCACAAGACCAGGATCAAGGTGTTGGACAGGTTAGGTTCTTACTCAGACACTTTGGAAATAATCTGCTTCTAAGCTCACTCAAGTCTTTGGCAAGATCCAGGTCTTTGTGGTCTGAGATCCATTCCCTTGCTGGTTACCAGCCAGGGGCCAATGCCTTCCTTCTCATGTCCCCCACCTCAGTCTTCAAAACAGCAACACTTTGATCCCTTCCAATGCTTCAAATCTATCTAATGTCTTCTTCCCCCAGAGAAAACGCCTGCTTTTAACGGGGCTCATGTGATTAGACTGGACCCACCTGAATAATCTATCTTCAAGGCGGGTCCAACGTTAAGCCACACAACAGTGATGGGAGGGATATCTCATCATGTTGCTAGGTTCCAGAGATTAGGACACGGCATCGGGAACCAGGGGGAGACATTTCAGAAATGCTGCCTACCACACAGCCCGTAGATGAAGTGACGTGTCAGTGCTCATCTCCTGATTTTTGATGGTTGTGTTGTGGTTGTGTAGCAGAATGTACTTGTTTGCAAGAAATCCACACTACAATATTCAGGATGATGGAGCACCAGACCAGCAATTTATTCTCATATGAGTTGGTATTAAAAAACAGTTCTTTGTATTATTTTCCTGAAATTATTCTATACATGTGTGTGCAGAGAGAGAAAAAAGATAGCTATAGACACATGTGTTTGTATATAAAAAGAAAAATATCTGGAAAAATTTAGCAAGATAGATTCAAAAGTTACCTGTGATTACCTCTGGGAAACAGAGTTATTTAAGGGGGAAAAGAGGTCCACAACTTTTATTTGGGGGCTATTTTTTAAAAAGCAAAAAACAAGAGAAAGGTCTTTGAAAAGGAGAGCAGGAGGCTGGCTGAGGGTTTCGTGACAGAGAGTGAGCAGATACAGGAGGGCGGGGCTGAGGCCAAGATTCAACCACGAGGCGACGGGATACATCAGCGCCGTTACCATCCTGGGCCTCTCGCAGAGCTTCTGAGAAATCGAATTTAGAATAAAATCCGTATTGAGGTGATGGGAACAAAGGGAGTTTCTGACGGCTGTGAGGGCACGCCAGACCCCAACAACACTGCCCAGACAAGGTTTCCAGCTTCTCTCTGCCATTTGCTTTTCGGTATTGAAAAAACTGGTGTTGCTCGATCTCTTTAGTTAACAGTACACCTCTTTAGCATCTTGTCTATTGTCTTCAAGCACCTTGAGAACCCTGTCTGCCCGATGGCACTCCAAGTCACAGATAATAAAGAAAGGGGACAGCAAGCACATTTTCCTGTGACGGGTTGAATTGTGTCTCCCCAAAATTGCTATGTTAAATCCTAAACCCTTGAACTTCAGAACGTGCCCTTATTTGCAGAGAGGGTCTTTCCAGATCCTATCTTTACCAAGGGAATCAAATGAAATTGAGGCCATCAGGGTGGGGCCCACTCCGACATGACTGGCGTCCTTATAAGAAAAGATGAGGACCCGGACTCACAGAAGGAAGACGATGTGAAGACAGAGGATGGCCACCCACGAGCCCGATTCTTGCGACTTTGTCTGTTCTAAATATTTTCAAAATAAAGTGAAAACTTAAAATAAATAAAAGTGAAGACAGAATGAAAGAGAGTCAAGCTCATCGGGAGCCCGGTGCAGATCCAAGGCAGCACAGGCCTGCGAGGACCTGCAGCATCGGGGCAAAGCCCGGGGGCCTTCCAGAAAGGGCTGGGATTTAAATCCAGGTTTTAAATGGCTTTATATTTCCCTCAAGTATTTTAATGTCCTTGCACTATTAAAGAGATTTGAGTCTAGAAAGAATCATGAATGCAGTTCATGGTCCGACAAGCGATTAAAGAAAGCCGTGTATTGATTCCGGTGACACTCATGATTGGCTTTGACAAAAGTCGGGCCGGAGGAAGGGCTCTTGTGGGTTGGGGAATATCGCTCTCCTCTCTCAATTCAGCCACAAAGGCCCGCCTGCTTTAGAAGATTCCAGATCAGGCTTGCCACCAACAACGTCCTCACCTCCGATGATCTGCTCCAATGGCATCTGTGATTCTGGTAAAACCCTGCTCCCTGGAAAAAAGTGAAAACAAAGCAATTTCAGCAAATGGTGAAGGACAGGCCCTGCTCTCGCTGGAAGCCCACGTTCACCTAGGCTGTCAACGCCATAACTGCACCTGCCTGTCTCCCCCGTAGCATGCTTCGTGCCTCCACCTAGGTCTTCACACTGGGAAGGGAACCAATGTCAAGTATTAACAGCTCCCTGACCTCAAGCCAATGCTACTCAACAGGGATGCTGCCTGAACTCCTCAGGCCAATAAACACCACCGTCTTGGAAGTTAATCTTGAATTCCTTGGCCCTGTTTGTCCTTTGTCAGTCTGTCTGTGTTTTTGAATCCTTTCTGAATGAGGAATAAGTAGAGACAGGTGAATAGCATCTCCTTCACTTGAGTCATTCTGAATTGATACCACCTGAACGTCTCCTGTTTCAAGCCACCCGTGGCCCCACTCACTTCAAAAGGGCCTCCAGCTCCCGCTTGACCCTGCCCACCACGGGCGGCCCGCGGTAGGTGAGGGCCGTGTACAGCTGCACCAGGGAGGCCCCCGCCCGGATCTTCTCCAGCGCGTCCTGCCCACTGCTGACCCCGCCGACCCCAATGATGGGGACTCCGCCTGCACCGGAACACATGCAATAGCGTGAGGAAGGGCAGGAAACGCGAGCACCTCAGCTGGCCTTCCGCCCTCCGGCCCCTGGTGAATGCAGCAGTTCAGGGAACGCTGATTCGGATTAAACCCCAGAGCCCGACAAGCCGCACGCAAATGTGAAGACACAGGGACCAAATTCTTGCCTTTGGTGAGTGCATACATCTCCCGGATGGTTTGGGTTGATAAGTCCCGGAGGGGCTTCCCACTCAGCCCTCCTATTTCAGAGCGCAGGGCACCCTGGAGGCTGGCAGGGCGGCTCACTGTGGTGTTGGTGATAATCAATCCATCGATGCCCAACTGCAGTGTGAGACAGAGAAAGAGCCCTCCAGTCAAGGCACAGATAGAGCTGGAGAAGCTTCCCTGAGGGTCTGAGCCAGGAGCCGGGCCAGGTGCCCACACTACAGCCCCTGGAAGCAAGAGCCGTAACAGAGCTCACTGTGCTTCTAGAACAGGTTCTGGATGAGCCTCAACATAACCAGAGCAGCCATCACATATCGACTACCCATAAGGTTCCACTAGGACAGGGTTTAATCCCTAGAACCACTCTCTTTAGTCCTGCCCAAGGTCCCTAGGTAGTAAGTGGTGGAATAGGATTTGAACCCAGGACTTCCAGGTTCAGTCTGTGTTTCCACTACTCTCCTACGACACCGGGACCTGGGGTCAGACTGGAGAGAGGATAGAATACCCTAGTCTGACCCAGGATGCAAGCACTAGCCTTAGAGCCCTTGCTGGATGAATGTGAGCAAAGAGGGGAGGGAAGAAGTACAGGAAAATGATGCATCCCAACATTCGCTTTGTATTCTGTGATGAGTTACATTGTGACAGACACTAAACCAGCTCTCACTGTCACAGAAAGGAAGCCATGGGCTATTCCAGCTGGCCAGATGCCCCCCCCAACCCGGCAGTGAGGGGCGTCCCAGGGCCCAGCCCAACTCGCACCTCTCTCACCACATTGGCAATATCCTCCTTGTCCTGGGCTGTGAGGTCGGGTGCAATCTTCACCAGCACGGCTGGCTTGCGTGCTCCCTTCAGGGTGTCCCTCTCCTGCAGCACCTAGAGCAACACATGGCCAGAGATGGGGACCCCTGAGGCCACAGCCCCCAGTGCCCCTGAACTGCAGCCGCAGATCAGCGTGTTCTCACACGTAAGCACAGCAACATTTCCTTTTCCGGAAATACAGCTCTCAGTTATGCCACAGACACCACCAAGATGGGTCTGATTATCTTGAACCAAGGGATCCCCAAGATTAAGTCCCTAATGTTGTCATTGGTATGAGCTAATATATGAAGGTTTATTTAGACTTTTTTCCTAAAAGAGATAACAAGGAAATACTGTCACAAGTACTATTTGATAAAGAGTCCTCCAATTCATTCATTCAGTGTGCTCACTGCTAGGGACAGCGAGACCCAGCCCCCTGCTCTCTCAGACATTCTGGTTTAACAGCAGGGACAGGTGACTGCGCCATTAATCACTGTTGAGCGTAATCAGGGTTACGATAGGGGATTACGAGTATAGAAGGGGGTCCTATCGGTCCAGGTGCTAAGGACAGCTCCTCGACAGTGACGCTGAAGCTTCCTTCCCTGGAGAGAAAGAACCGGACAGGCTGGCGAACGGAGCCCGGACCTGTAATTGCCTACCTTGGTCAGCAGGTGGCGCAGCTCCGCCTTTCCCTGAAGGCTCCGCAGCCCAGCGGTGTTGGGACTGGACACGTTCACTACCAGGTAGTCCGCCAAGGGGCCCAGGACGCGAACCCCCTCCGCGTAGTCCGCAGCAGCGTCCACCGAGGTCTTATTCTTCCCCAGGTTTATTCCCAGTGGCAGCCCCTCTGTGAAGATCGCTCGTCAAGATTTTGTCCCCAAACGCCATTTTCCGTGCAACATGCTCAGGATGCCCCGCGCACCTCGGCACGGGACCTTCCCGGTCGGAGGAGCCAACACCACGAAAGCTGCGGGCGCGGCTGCCTGCTCACCAAGAGGAGCTCATCATCCTCGCGCAGCAGTGCCGGGGCAACTACTAGGATGTTTTACTGCATTGTGCCCTTTTTCTTTTTTAAAAATGTAGTGGAAAACGGTGGAATTAGGAGTGCAAATACTAGCCATAAAAAGGTAGGGCTCTTTTAGAAAAATACATTTCAGAAACATGCTATGCGTGAAAGCAAGAGGTTGTCTGTACTTCTAAGCTACCGCGCTATCTGCAAAGCTCACTGGTATGTCAGTGCTGCTGGCTGCTTTCTTGCAGCTGGTGGTTGGGAAAAGACCTGGAACAGCAAGTGAGCCCCCAAAACGTGTGTCAGGTCGGTGGGATCAAAGAGCAGCATCTAGTGTTGCTAACCACCTCCTCCTACCCTAAACTGGTCACCCTTTTAACCACCCCCTTGAAAGTAAATATTCCCTGGGGGGACATGAAGGGGGTTAGTGCCCAATTAGACAAAAGCTCCACAAGGCCTCCAAGCTTCCCAAGTCCAGCCTCCACCAGGCCAAGCCATCTGTAAACTGATTCTTCCCTCACGGGTAAGCTGGCTTTAAAAAGAGCATCCCTTTCATGCAGCTAATGGGTCTTCCATCAGCAGTTAGCTGCCCAAAGGGCCAAGACTTTGAAGTTAGAAATTTCTGAATTACTCTGTCCTCAAAGGACACCAAAGCTTTTGTCAATTATGTTCCTTATTGTGCTCACAATAAGCTGTCTTCAAGTCTTCTAGCTGCTGGAAAACAACACGTGCAGAACTCTGCTCTAAGATTCTGCTTCACTCCAATCAATGTGCGTGTTGGAGTGGGGTGAGAGGATGGGCAAGGGAGAACAGGGGAGAAAGCTTGCACTGGGAACAAAGAAGGAAAGGATTTAAAAAAAAAAAGGAAAGGAAAGGAAGGCAAGAAGGCAAGACAGTATCACAAGCCATGGAGGTCCTATTATAAGGCTCAAAGTTCCCCAAATAGGAAGGTCTATAGTACTCAAGGTCTGCTGCCTGGGATTTCCAAACAAGGTCACTTCCTCCTAAAATCAGAGATTGCCGACTGACTTGGCCCTTTCAACCTCACTTCCTCGAGGGAAGCTCATGTCCACAGGTTTTTCTCATCTCACTACCAAGCCATTTAATGAGACTAAACTCCTGGAAAGAGGTCCAGAGGGACCCAATGAGGAAAATGGCCACAGCCCCACACAATCTCAGAGGGCAACTGGGAAGGCGTGGTGAGGACAAAACAGTGCAACAAGCACTTATGTGCAGCCTGAGGGGCAGCAAAGCAGAGCCCCCAGAGAACATTCAGCAGCATCCCTGAAGGTAGCCTCCCGACATGCATGGTGTTTCTGAGCAAGTCATGATGGGTATTTTCCCAAATGCCAAGATCAGCTCTCCCTAAGTAGGAAGGAGTATGAGTAATTTTAATTGTCTTCTTTATGCTTCGCTGTACTTACTAATGCTTCTGTAATTAACATGCATTATTTACATACACACAAAAGGACAACAAAGCAAGACAGGAAGATGGCGCTCCAGGCCCGCTCACATCTCAACCACCCATGTGACCACTGAGGAGCCGCTCTGTTCTCACTTCCAAGCTGCCCCAGTTATGATATAACCCAGGTTATATAACAAGGCAGAAACTAAGCGAGTCTTCACTAAATTGTGAAATTCAGTTAAAATCTTGGTGGCTGTGGTAAAGCCAGGAAAATTCCCGAGTTCCATAGTGGTTTTTTTCCTATTACTCAGTCAGGTTTATTTCACTAGGAATGTTCCTGACGTTTCTCCCACAGGTTTCCTTCCAATAAATGAAGAAAGCCCCTCTAGAGCACCCCCGCTTTACCTTCTGTGAGCCTGGCCTGTTTCTCCTGTCTGGCCCGCAACCTGTGTTCCACCACCGAGAGTCCGTGACTGTTAAATCCGTATCTATAGCACAGAAGTGGGTAGGGAGGGACGAGGTTAGAGCCCTCAGCCAAAGGCAGAGACTTTGGAGAGATGGCTTCATGGTCATTTCCACTATACTTCTGACTTTTAGAAACAGAAAAAAAAAAAAAAAATCAGAGTCAGTTCTTAGACTCCCAAAGTCTAAACACCCCTGGAACTCCTAGAGAACTTGCCAGAACACCATCAAACATAGAGGGAAAGATTTAAATTTGTAAACAAGCTGCTCAGGTACCTAGCACTGGCAACAGCCCAGACACGCCACATAGCTGCCCCAGACCTGTCTGGATCGGCCCCCACTCCTTACTCACGTACTCCTCCCACCCGGAGTGGCTTCTCTGACCACCCCATCTTCCACCTCCTGCCGGCGTTCCACTAACGCCCTCCCGGAGAAGAAATAATAACCAACGCCTTTTGGCTAAGCTGCTTTGTTACTTGCAGCCAAAACCACCGAACAGATACATCGGCACCTGTTTTTGTGGACTTAATAAATTATTCCATTCATTCAGCAGGTGTTTACTGGGCACCCACTCCATGCCTCCCAGAGCAAGGAGGCTGAACACACAGCTCTCTTCCCTCAACCACTTCTCGCCTACGGATTCTGCTGAGTACCGTTGTCCTGGTACCTGCAGTTACTTGGGGAAGCCAAATCCTAAATCTGTTTTGCCTGGAAATTCTGAAGACACCAATCCCAGCCTGCAATGCAGCAGAAAGATCAATAACTTCATTTCCAATGCTGGAAAATTTCCCTGAAACAAGCACGATAAAGCAGGATGTGTGGCCAAATAAAATTCCCAGAAGGCAGTCTTCCAGAAGGCCATCACTGGGCCCAAAGGTGCCTATCAGAATCTCCCAAGGAGGTTCTCAAACCTCTGTTACCAAAAAGTAGGAACTTTTTCATTTTCTGGGTTTGCTGCAGTGAATATTGCCTAGGGATTACAAAGAGAAGGGCTTTACACGATCTAGAAGGCTCTCTCTTACTAAAAGCAGCTGTACATGTGGATTATTAAATTTTTCAGTTTACTAAAGGCCAGGGCTACACCGTCCAATTCAAAAACTGCTAGCCACATGTGCCGCTGAGCGCCATCCAGTCCAGTGCGCTCCAAGTCACGTGCACCCTGGATTCTGAAGACTTAGTACCAGGAAAACGTAAATAGCTAATTAATCGTTTTTATTTTGATTACATGTTAAAATGACATTTAGAATACATGAAGTATTTATAGTTAAATATAATAATCATAAACAATAATTAAATAGACCGTTATTAAAATCAATTTCACCCATTTCTTTTTCCTATCTTACTGTGGCTACATGAATATTTTAATTTACACACAGGGCTCACATTCTATTTCTACTGGACAGTGCTGGGCAAGGGCACTGGAGTAACAATGTGGAAAGCGCAAAAGCTCTAAAGTCAAATTTAAGTCTAAATCCGGACCCAAGCGCTCTCGCTTATGATGCCATGATTATAGGTAAGTCATGTAGCTCTCTGAGCCTCAGCGTGTATATGCATTAAACTAGAATACCAAAACCCGCTTTTATGCCTGCACACAGGAGATGCTCAACATGGTTCCCGAACATTCCAAATAGCAGAAAAATGTCCACACTGTAGGACAAAAAAACCCGGCAGATCTTACATCGCTGAGTGCCCTGCTGGGAGGAAGGCCTCCCCTGTTACCTGCGGGCTATTCATCTACCTGTTAATGACTGCTTGGTCCTCAGGGAGGCGGAAGACTCTGGGCCTGGGGTTTCCTTCCTGAGGTTTCGGAGTCACACTGCCAATCTCAACAAAACCAAAGCCCATCTTGTAAAGTCCATCCACAGCTTCCCCATGTTTATCAAATCCTGCAGCAATTCCAACTGGATTTCGGAATTTATGGCCCAGGACTCTCACTTCCTAGGAAGAAGGAAACAAAACCAGAGGTACACAGGCTATCCCGGTGTTTGTCCAAGGGCAGGCCACAGCACGTCTAGGTCAGAACTACCTAAAGAGCTTGTTAATCAGGAGGTGTTCCGAGAGCACCTACCAGCATGTCAGAGTCTTGAAACGTGGCACGAGGAAGGAGCCCCAGGGAGGTGAGGCGAACGGCCAGCCTGTGGGCTGACTCAGGGTCCAGAAGCCTCTGCATAGCCGGCATCAAGTGTTCAGTGTAGAAATGTTCATCCCCCATAGCCGTCAGGTAGGAAGTGAAGAGAAGTCCTCCACCCCCCAGGATGACCACAGCATCCTGGGCCCGCTTCTGGGGGGGAAAAAAGGCCCACTGAGATTCCTTCCAGGCCAGACTGCAGTAACTTCTCTGAGCCCTTTACACCCATGCACACAGGACATAATGACATGTCACATGAAGCAATGTCCCTAGCCTTCTGCTAACACTGGCCTCCTTCATTTCTAGTTCTGCTCACACATTGGCCTCTACTTTCAGCGGCTGTATCCACACTTCTGACAGTCATCGTGCCCTGAAGGACTCCAGGCCAGAGGTCTCACGAGAGGCAGTATTGCCTCCTAGGGGACCTGTGGTAGGTATTTTGGAGGAATGTTAAGAGATTTAGTGGGCAGGACTCAGTAAAGGCAGACATCCTGCATTGTTTTAGGCTATCTGACAGATGAATTGTCCCTGTCCTGTATGACTTTTGAACATCTTACAATCAGTATGTATCTCTTTATATTATCTGAGCCTATATTCCACCACATAAACACAAACTATCTCCTGCAGTTTTCATATACATTGACTTTTCCAGGAATGCAATTCCCTCTAAACTGAGGGACAACTGCACTATTTTGCACAGAACATTACGAAGGATTGTTCCCCATTTCAGAGATCTCAGGAATGGCATAGTGCTTTGCTTGGGTGTTTGACAATAAAACATACCCGAGGCGCTAGAATTTCTTTTTTTTTAAGATTTTATTTATTTGTCAAAGAGAGCTTGAGCACAAGCAGGGGGAGCGGCAGGCAGAGGGAGAAGCAGGCTCCCCACTGATCAGGGAGCCCAATGCGGGGCTAGATCCCAGGACTCTGGGATCATGACCTGAGCCTAAGGCAGATGCTCAACCGACTGAGCCACCCAGGCATCCCTGAGGCTCTAGAATTTCTAAACAGAGGCTTAAACACCTGACTATATCTCACTAAGTGAGTCATGCTGTAACATTTACATGCTGAAATGCATGTTATTTTATTATAAATTCCTTTAATTTCTCTTTTATATTCCAGTTAGGATATTAGTTGAACTTTTAAAATTATACAAAGACAGATTACATTATATATAAATTCTACTTCAGGATAATAAAAGCAGTTGCAAAATATTTTTTTAAAAAGGAGCATCAGGTCTTATTGAGTCAAGAATCACTATCCTGTTCAAAACGTGCTTCATAATGCTTTTCTCTAGTTATCACTGCCAGGTGATGAGTCGTTCATTCATTCATTCATTCATTCAATCATCTGCCCAACAGTGATAGAGCACTCTGAGGTGGGCTAAGCAGGATCCCTGCCTCTCAGGAGGAGACAGTCACTAGTCAGTGATCACGCAAATATGTAACTGTGAGGACTGCCATGAAGAAAAAAATGTATAGGGTAATAACAGAACCCAAACCAATCTCAGGGGTAGAGGAAGGCTTCCTTGAGGAAGTGACTTAAAGCTGACATCCAAAGGATAAATAGGAGTTAAGTGGACGCAGTGGGGGTAAGGAAAAAGTGTAAAGGCGCTCTCAGTGGCAGAGGGTAAAGAGATGCACCCAAGGAAGAGGGAAAGAAGAAAGACTTGTTGGAAACCAAGGAATGAGGAAAAGCACGGCTTAAAAAGGAGCTGGGGAGATAGGCAGGGACCCTGGCCAGAATAAAGAGTTGAGTTTTGCTCCCTACACAAGTTAGTGACGTGATCAGATCGGCCCTTGAGGATCACTCCCAGCTGTTAAATATAAAGCAAGTATTTATTGTCTTGCTTCTAGTCTCCAGCGGATTGTAGGAACGCCCCTTAATGTCAATCAACAAGTATCTGGACGCGGTTACACAAGCCCCTGCCCTAAAATTTCATCCAGAAGGGTTGAGGCCATGTCTTAGTGTAATTTCATTGCACGTTGGATCCAGCACACGATGTTAGGCGGTCATGGGTTCATTAAACGCCCGTGTGCCAGGCTCAATAAAAGCCCACGTGCGTTGGCAAAGACCTGCATCTATCCAGACTGGAACGTGCCGTTACACGTGTTAATGCACACGCACGCATCTGCAGGTGCCTCCGCCCACGCACAGTTTTCACACGACCTCGGAGCCGAATCCCGTCCACACCTCGCCCAGGTTAGCCCACTATTCGCCTCTAGCCCCCACCTGGCCCACACTACTCGCAGCCGCACAGCCCACTTTGCGAACTCACTTTGAGCTGTCTCCACGCCATGCTCCTTCCGCCACTAGACCCGCCTCTGGCTCATTTCCATTGGAGGAGATGGAGGTGAGCCCTCCAATCACCGCCCCTGCAGCTGCCACTTCGCCAATCGTGGGGCAGGAGGGTGGGGCGGGCCTCCCCGCGGCGGAGAAGGCCTCGCTCCGCCCCGAGGGTGTGTCTGGACGCCGGCGCGCGCAATCACGGCGGCCACGCCCCTTCCGCCCCAGGCTCTGGGCTCCGCTGCTGCGCTGTGTGGAGCTGCGGGGCGCTGGCGTTGGGTGGTGTGCGCCCCAGCTCTCTGGTCCAGCGACGTGGGGGAGAGACATCGCCTATGTAGATCTTCAGTTCTAAGCAACAGTCTCACCAATATCTTGATCATTTAAGCAGAATATTTGATATGCTTGTGCTCTCGGTAAACCATGTATTGAGAGTATATATCAGACACCCTAAAAAGGGTTGGAATGAATTACCGCACTGTGTAAGATGCCCGAGTTGACCTCAGAGAAGATTCCATCGCATCAGGTTTCACTTAAAAATGCCTAAAACGTGTGTATGTACGTAAGTATGTCTGCTAATGAAGGTGTTGGGAAATCTAGACTTTGCAGCGAACTCCTGCACCCGAACGGTTCCATTGAGGCGAAGACTTGGACTCCTACTTAGAAACCTTCCAAATTAATTGGATACTCTTTTTCCTGGCATTTCAAGACATTTCAGCTTTCTAGTTTCAGTTCCCACTACTGTCTCCCCAAGTGCCCACCCCTACCCCCAGAATTATTTCTCTTTATAAATACTTTCCACTTGTATGCATTTACTCACATTGACTCCTGCCAGGATGACTGTTTCCTCCATCTCAATATGGCCAAGTGCTGGAAATAATTTCTTCCTCATCTGAGCCTTCATAGATATATGCTGTACCTGTCCAGTGGCACTGTATTTATTAACTACAATTGTTAGGTCTTTTTTCCCTTAACTAGACTGTAAACGTTTTGAAAGTAGGGAACATGCCATATTTCTCTTTCATTTGATTACTGCAGTGTTTTTCAAACTGAGGGAGTGTATTCTTGGCATAGACACTTAAGAGCATATTTGATACTGGTGTCTTTCTGTAACGATTTTTTAAAGTAATATAGGCGTCATTTGGGCCATTTGGACAACCAACTGAACCCTGAAACCTACCAAGCTATTTCAGTGCCCACATTTATTTGTATTCATTATCATATTTTGGTACCAAGAAAGAAAAGTGGCTGAAATAAACGATGGATGTCCTGCAGGTGAAGGATAAATGACATGCTGTATAAACAAAGGTTTTTCAGCAAGTTAAATAAAAGTGGTGAGAGAATGGATTTTCCCTACAGCATGAAGTAGTGTGCATGCCAAATCAAAACAACCTCTGTGGTCATAAGCTAGTACCGTGTTTATCTGTCAGATAGCTATTTAGTGCAGCACGTTTTCATTTCATTGATTTTCAGTTCTGTTTGTATTTAATTTGCATTCTTTCATCAGATATTTATTTTTTGGTTTTGATACTTGATTTTTGGTTTATGATTGTGTAAGAGCTTTAGCATATAGTTCATCCCTAGTTTTATGTTTGAATGTATTTAAAAAACAGAATACAATAATTTAAATATGTCCTGGGGGTCTGTAAGAATGGTTTCCTTTAAACACACACACACACACGCATAATACATTTCTCAATTTTTAGTAGCACTGACTTAGATATTCATCATCTTCTACTCCTTTGTAGCCTAGGCTTAGCAAATAAAGATCTATTCTAAAGCTGAACGCACAGCCGGTTGTGTAGACACAGGTGGTGGTGCCTTGTAAATGCCCATTGCTTTATTGATCTTTGCTGTTTGTTTTCAGCTTATAGGGACTCCACCTGGGTTCTTAAAAACAAAAACAGGAAAACACAAAGCCTTTTATCTCCTTGACAATTTATTCCCTATTCCTAAAAGAATGATACTAATAAATATGACAAACCCACCAAGAATATATTTAAAGGACCAGGCAGCTGCTGAGCCCCCACACTGTTCTTGCTCACAGCTCACAGAGAAAATGTTCTTCAGGGGAAGAATCTGGCTTTGGTTACCCATCAGAACAGGTATAATTCTAGGAAGTGAGCTAAGTATCCCAGAGCGACATGGTAAAAATAACTGTTATCAGCTTAACAGGTTTCACTGCAGCTACGAGGAGGCAGAAAATTACTGTCGTGTCCAGGGAGGACACCTTGCTTATACTTGGAACCTGAGGGTCCGGGATCTTCTCTGGGACTCTCTGGAAGAAGGGAGTAAGTGGTGGATTGGGCAAAATCTAAAGCAGCTGGGAAAACGTCAAGAAAAAAAACAACCCAGGTAAGGCTCTGAGACAAGTGTTTACAAAGGAAAAGTCCTTTCCTTTTATTCTGGAACAGGAGAAAGAAAAAATTTTCCATCTTTCTGCTTTTGTACATAGAAAAATCAGTCGCTTTACTTCATTACCACAGTTCCTCTGAAGTATTTATATTTTGGGGCTTCAACCTTTGATTTGTCTGTGTAGCATAGATGATGAGATTTTCTCAGAGTTTATCAAAAGCTAACACCTGATATTTCACTGAAAGTAATGTGTAGGATTCTGAAGTGGGAAACCTTTTATGGCTGCTTTGTTCCTGGTAAATATCTCTTCCTAATTCAGAAACCAGGAGAGACATTGATTTGCCTGTTACCTTTCTTACAGAGATATTTTCAAAATCATGCACCATAATATTGTGGTCTTGGAGAAATATCCAAGGCCCTGTTATATCACCATCATCTTCACTGAAGTCTAGGTAAATTAATACGAAGCCTTGTGATAAAGAACACATAATATGGGGGCGCCTGGGTGGCTCAGTTCGTTAAGCGACTGCCTTCGGCTCAGGTCATGATCCTGGAGTCCCGGGATCGAGTCCCACATCGGGCTCTCTGCTCGGCAGGGAGCCTGCTTCTCCCTCTGACCCTCCCCCCTCTCATGTGCTCTCTCTCTCTCATTCTCTCTGTCTCAAATAAATAAATAAAATCTTTAAAAAAAAAAAAGAACACATAATATGAAAAAATATATAATCTGTAATGTGTGGGCATGGTGTGGAGAACAAAGGCAAAAGAAATCTAGAAAAAAATTAAATCTCCTTACAACTTACAGCCCATTGACAAATTCTTGAGACAAGCAGGGTGACCTTCCTCCAGAAGCTTACCTGCCTCAGTGTTAATATTTTGCTAGAGCCAAAAGGCAACCTTAGCTTGACATTAGCCCAACTTCCAGGATCCTGCAAGTCTTCTTTAACATATAAAAATCCATTTGGAAACTTCCTTTATCTCTTCCCCTCCCCACAAGATATATGTTAGCAATCATCCTTCAAACATATGGCCCAGTGATATCCATCTGAAGGGTCTTGTGACTAAGGTTTACTAGACAGTAGAAAATGACCCCTCAAGGTCCAGGAAACCTTGCTTCCAAATTCCTTAGAGATTTCCGCTATCCCTCAGCTCTTCCCAACTGGAAAGAATGTAATCAGTCACTCCTCACAATCCCAGGCAGCATTTTCTGCCCACAGGTCCTGTCCCAATGTTTAATAAAACCACCTTTTTGCACCAAAGATATCTCAAGAAGACTTTCTTGACCATTCGCTCCTGGACCCCCAACAACACATCACATCTGGGAGATATCCTAAGTTGCATCTATTAGAAGCTAGCAAAATTTGGTTTTCATATTTACTTTTTAAAAAGGTTGATTTTGGAATCTGAGGCTCATCTGGGTCTGTTCCTCTTTCAGCAGGTGTCGTGCCCCCCCTGGCCCCCAGAGCCCCCCAACTGCACTTACATGTCCCGAAACTCCAACTGGATCTCATCAAAAGTGGACTTGTGCTCCCTGGGGCATTCTTTTATTTGCCAGGCTGGTAAGTGATAAAGCCACATGCCACCAAAGTCATAATATCTAGAAACTGATTCTACATAAGGACGGCATGTGAGAGTATTGGTTAAAGAGTCTGTGCCATGAAAGGGAGGTATATGCCAAGAGGCATCCAAAGACTGAAGGAGGCAACAGACCAAAGAAAAAGGCTGACAAGTCCGGCTTGACAAGAAATGGCTTATTAAGGGGGAACCACCCAAGAGGAAAATGCTTAAGAATAGCTGTGTGTCCTAGTCCTGTCTCCAGGGCAGATCAAGGACATTATGCCCCAAGGTTTACTTAAGGGTGTGGTTAAATGAAAAGAAAAACTGGGGATGGGGGTGTGGGGGGAATGTGCTTAAGAAGGTTTATTGTCACAGTCTGTGAGTGATAGCGCAGAGGATGCATGTAGGGATTTTGATGGTATTGATTATATATTGATTTTCATGATACTGATTAGAGTGAGAAACTGTTCATCTGGAATGACTTTCATATACATCCCACTCTGGTAGTTATTGCTGTGCCTGGTGTCGCCTTCATTTCTTGACTTGGATGGAATGTGGGAGAAAGTGTAGCAGTAAACTCCATTTTCCTCATGTGCACCCCAAACCCATTCGGCACTTGGGCTTATGAGGGAAGACTGCAAAAGCAAAGGGGAAAATAGGATATTGGTGTAGGAAGATGAGAAGGTGAAGGGTGAGGAAGCTGTTGTGTCGGTTTGCATCCTCAGGAGTACACGATGAGAATTGTGTGCATAAAGTTGGGTGCGGGATTTTTCTTTCAATGTACGTTTTTCGTGGTGGTTGTGTCCAGCATTTATTCTTAGTTCATTGAATTCTCGAGGACCTTACAATGTCGCAGTCTGAGCAAAAATTTTGTTCCACTTTAAAAAGTCGCGAATACATTCTTATTAAAATATGAAGCATCTATGGGTTCTTCATAAAACAGAACACATTGTAATATTTCTCTGTTATAAGAAAAAAAAAAGATCACCTTCCTCAAATACTGGGTATTGAAAGAACCCAATATATCAAGGTAATAAATTTTTGATTCCCAGCTTCTCATTCTCCACCCTTTCAAGCTCTCTGTGATACGCTTGCCCGATTTTGCCATGATAGCACGCTGTTGTTGGCGAGACCAAGGTTTTGAGGCCAATCTCTGTGTTAATCAAGGGTTCCTGTGTTTCGTTATCACAAATGTGAGTGTGGCTCCTTACAATGGTGAACTGCTTTTCATCTTGACAGGAGGTTATTTGGCCCAGCTCATCTCCAGGATCGGAAAAGTAACCCTTAATACAACCTAAATGATGATGATTTTCCATTCATTTTTCACTCTCCAGGAGTTGAGTTTTTAGACATTTTCACCTACTCTTGGTTTTGGAGTGAAAATGCATTTTTCTGATATTATCACTCAAGTACTTGCAAGAGATTACTGCTATGGAATATGAAATGTTTGTGCAGAAGATAATCTTCGGCAAAAAGAATTCTAGGGGCATCTGGCTGAGTCAGGCATATGACTCTTGATCTCGGGGTTGTGAGTTCAAGCCCCATGTTGGGTGCAGAAATTACACATAAAATCTTTAAAAATAAACAAATAAAATTTTACAATAAAAAATAAAAATCTTTTTTAAAAAAACAAAAAATGTTTTTAATTTTATTTTTTGATTTTTTAGGTTTTTTTTATTTATTTATTTGAGAGAGAGAGAATGAGAGACAGAGAGCATGAGAGGGAAGAGGGCAGAGGGAGAAGCAGACCCCCTGCTGAGCAGGGAGCCCGATGCGGGACTCGATCCCGGGACTCCAGGATCATGACCTGAGCCGAAGGCAGTCGCTTAACCAACTGAGCCACCCAGGCGCCCCAAAAAATGTTTTTAAAGAGAATTCTCTTCAGGGGTGCCTGGGTGGTTCAGTGGTTAAGCGTCTGCCTTCGGCTCAGGTAATGATCCCAGGGTCCTGGGTTTGAGCCCCGCATCAGGCTCCCTGCTCGGCGGGAAGCCTGCTTCTCCCTCTCCCACTCCCCCTGCTTGTGTTCCCTCTCTCGCTGTGTCTCTCTCTGTCAAATAAATAAATAAAATCTTAAAAAAAAAAAAAAGAATTCTATTTAGTTATCTAAGCCAATTCAGCAAATTCTGAACCTGCCTTCCCATAATGAGATTAAATGTTTCTGTAGTTAAGAGCTCAGGCTCGGGCGCCTGGGTGGCTCAGTTGGTTAAGCGACTGCCTTCGGCTCAGGTCATGATCCTGGAGTCCCGGGATTGAGTCCCGCATCGGGCTCCCTGCTCAGCAGGGAGTCTGCTTCTTCCTCTGACCCTCCTCCCTCTCATGCTCTCTGTCTCTCATTCTCTCTCTCAAAATAAATAAATAAATAAAATCTTTAAGAGCTCAGGCTCTAAAGTCAGACTTCTGAGTTCATATCTTGATTCTGGGACTTTCCTGTTGTGGGCAGCCCTTCAAAGGATTGTCATGAGGATTAGTAAGATAATACAAGTAAAGTATTAGAACAGTGCCTGGCAGTTATTATTGTTACTATTATGAAATTTCTATTTTTTGTGCAAAGTTCATTTCTGCTTGTAGATAGTATCGCATTCATGTCAAAGGTCATTGGATCTCTTGGAGATCCTATATTGCTAATGACCTTTAAAACTAAAGTATTGGCACAATGTAATTGTTTAGTGTTCCGAAATAGCTACTGTTGGGGCTCAGCCAGAAAAGCATGTGACTCTTGATCTTGGGTCATGAGTTTGAGCCCCATGTTGGGTGTAGAGATTACTTAAATAAATAAAAAATGTAAGAAGGAAGGAAGGAAAAAAAAAGGAAGGGAAGGAAGGAAAGATAAAAGAAGGGGAAAAAGAAAGGAAGGAAGAAGGAAGGAAGGAAGGAAGGAAGGACGGACGGACTACTGTTATCATAGTGTTTATACATTTTATTGTGAACTTAAGAATTGCCTCTTCCGGAGTGTCTGGATGGCTCAGTCGGTTAAGCATCTGATTCTTGGTTTCAGCTCAGGTCATGATCTCAAGGCTGTGGAATCGAGCCCTGTGTCAAGCTCCGCACTGTTGAGCGTGGAGCCTGCTTAATTAAGATTCACTCTCTCCCTCTCCCTCTGCCCCTCCCCACCCTGCTCCTGCACAAGCTCTCCCTAAAAAAAAAAAAAGCCTCTTCCAAAATAACATGTTGGTGGGAGAAGTATTTGTAAATTTGTTCCTTAACATTCAAAAGAGAAGTCTAAGGTTTCATATTATGAAATATTGTTGCCCAAAAATAGAGAAATGCAAATTAAAGCTGAGATACCATTTCTCCCCATCAGATGGGCATAAATCCACAAACTTAACAACATACTCTGTTGGCAAGACGGTAGGGAAATAGGTACTCTCATAAATAATGGAAATGCAATAAGATACAGTTTCTAAGGAGAGGAATATTTGGCAGTCTCTAGCAAAATTGCATTTACATCTACCCTTTGACCCAGCATTCCTGCTGCTGGGAATCTATCCCAAAGTTACACTGGCAAAAATATAAAAAGACACACGCATGAGGCTATTTATTGTAGGTTTCTTTGTAATAGCAAAAAGGTAGAAACAATCCACATACCCATCTAGGGGGATGCTGGTTGTAAAGAGAAATAAGGAATATCTTTATGTACTGCAATGGGGTCATTTCTATGTTTTTTTTAGTGGAAAAAAGCAATCTGGAGAACAATGTATAGTATGCTTTTTAAAAAGGATAATATGAATATATATGCATAGATAACCTACACACATATATCCATAAACATAATAGAAAAGCAAACAAAAACTAATGAAAATGATTACTTATGGTGGAGGGAGGGAATAGGGTAGAAAGGACAGAGATAGAATTTAGATCTTCCTGAATGTACCTGGTTTCATAATTTTGACATTGGAACTCTCTAAATGTTTTACATAATTAGAAAAAAACTGTTTTGTTTCCTAAAAATAAGGAAGAAGAACAGGAGAGGAATTGGATGTAGCAAGTTTCAACAATTTTTAAGGTTAATTTTGCTCAAGAGCAGGAAGGAACTAGTTCATGAGGCAATGTCAATTGGTGATTTGTCCTAAGACAGAAAAAACAGTAGCCAGGACAGTATCCTTGATCTTAGCTAGTGTGCAGCTAGAAGGGTTCACTTTGGATAGGAGCGCGGGGAGCTTGTAGGAACAGGACAGAAGGCGGCATCTGTGGATGTAGATGTTTGCTGGTCGAGGGCAAATTTGGTGGCAGGACTCTGTGGAAGGGACGCTTAATTGTTTCCATTGTTTTTTTGAAGCAGAAAGCAAAGTTATGACCTGCCCTGAGAATGAGGATCAGGGACTTCCTTGTCGTTGGAGGTACAGTAGAGGAGGAAATAGGAAAAAGTCCTCTCAGAGAGCAGAAGCATGACGAGACCCAGGGAACACAATAAGATTGTTAGGCTTGTGATCTGAATTTAAGCTGAGATATGGTCAGTGAGGTTGTATGATTTTGTCAAGCCACGTTGGGCAGCACGTGTGAGAAATAGCAAGTCTACATAAGGAGGCACGTTCAAGAATGTTATTGTTCACCTACTGAACTCTTTTCTCTCTACCAAGAGGAATTACACAGTACGAGGAGAATATTACACTTAGAACGTAATTTCTTAAAATGAACTTAATTCTATCTTAGTGTTGACCCAGTTAGTGGACTTCATTTTGTGACGTTGGAGAATAGAAGGTGTTGTGATGTCAAGAGCAGAAGAGCTCCTTGAGAATTCCTACGTTCTTTAAAAAAAAAAAGGATAGGGCGCCTGGGTGGCTCAGTTGGTTAAGCGACTGCCTTCGGCTCAGGTGATGATCCTGGAGTCCCTGGATGGAGTCCCGCATCGTGCTCCCTGCTCGGCAGGGAGCCTGCTTCTGCCTCTGACCCTCCCCCCTCTCATGTGCTCTCTCTCTCTCATTCTCTCTGTCTCAAATAAATTAATTAAAAAAAAAAAAAAAACTTTAAAAAAAAGGATAGTAATCTTTAATTTGTGTTGTCTTGATTGTCATGTATGTGCTGGTGACAGCTATTTATAGACTTAAAGCTAGAGCTATATACTAGAAATTATCTTTTCCATTGGCCTCCAAATAGAGGCCTTTCCAGACCAAGATGAAAGACCTGGAATTAATTCTCATTTACACTGGAGACCTGAAAAGATAAGAGGAGAAGTTGCAGTACCAAGAAACAGAAGGACCTCAGGTAATGGGTAGTGAAATCAATTCCTGCCTGAAACGTTGCACAAGATTAGTTTAGTGCTGAAGTGTGTCATCATAACATGTACCCCATCAATATTTGTTGCGTTCTGTTTTGTCTCATCTTATTGCAGTCTTTGATCTCATTTTATAGGTATTACTTTATTGATGGGCCTTTGGCCATCTTCTTTTCACATGTGTCCTAATAAAAGACAGGGTTTTCTCCCACAAAATTTCCATCCTAAGTCTTCTTCAAGTCCTTGCAGTCTTTCACATTGTGGTATTCTCTCTCATTTTTTTTTAATTTTGAAAAATAAATACTATTTGGGGAAGATGCATTAGCCTGAAATGACCTCAATCAATATCAGTGTTGGATGATTATAGAGATCGCCTGACCAACCAGGTAGAAAAAGAGACAAATTTAAAGTACATGTAGTGATTATTCTGGGGGGTATGACCTCACAACTTCCAAGTTTTAGATGTCTTTGTCAACAAGCCCTCCAAGGATCCCTTAAAAGAGCAATCCAGAAAGTGCTGTTGTAGAGACATGAATAACTATCTTAAAAACAAACATAAAAATCAGCTTTTCCAACTGCTTTTGTAATTGGGTACTTGTGAGGTGGGGAAGAAGTGTTTCGTGATAGCAGTAGATGAAGGTAAAGTTGGTGTAGTTTTGAAACTGTTAAATAATTACAGAAGTCGCTCTCTTGATAATTAAGGCACTGAGACTGAGGATGCATTTGAAGAGTTTCGGTAAAGCCATGTCATGGAAAGCGAGTTTCCAGAGAGCAGTGCGCCTAAGTTAACACATGACTACAGATAACATGTGATTTTAAACATGCCTTTGTAGAACAAGTTAACTAGACATTTGACTGTTTCACCTATATCCTTAGAAATGACATAGTCGGGCGCCTGGGTGGCTCAGTTGGTTAAGTGACTGCCTTCGGCTCAGGTCATGATCCTGGAGTCCCGGGATCGAGTCCCGCATCGGGCTCCCTGCTTGGCGGGGAGTCTACTTCTCCCTCTGACCCTCCCCACTCTCATGTGCTCTCTCTCTCAAATAAATAAATAAAATCTTTAAAAAAAAAAAAAAAGAAATGACATAGTCAAGTTTGCCCCCAAATAACTATCTTTAAATCTCCTCATTGAGAAAGAAGGGCATTGCCTTATCTGGGGAGTTGCCTTATATTTATGTACGTATGGCCCTTTAAAAAAAAATTTTTTTTTTTTTTTCAATTTTTAAGTAATCTCTATACCCAATGTGGGGCTCAAACTCACAACCCTGAGATCAAGAGTTGCATGTTCCTCTCTCTAAGCCAGCCAGGTGCCCCCCAAGGTCCTTTGAAAATTTTGTGTCACTTTGTTTTACACGTGTTCCTATTAAATTTTGTGTAAATGGGTCTAATTATTTGATTCTGAGAATATTTTTATAGTAGAATTTATCATATTTAAATGTATTTTAATAGCTGATGTCATTTCTTGCCTTCTTCTGTGCTTTTGGGTTCTAATCCTTTCTTGCTGCTTTCTTCTGTCCTTTGTTGGAATTTTACTCTTCCGTACTCTTGTTTAATTGTTTGCCTTCAAGGAGTTGTTCTTTTTGAAAACACATTCCTGCACCTGTGTTTCTCTGATGGTTGGACTCTCAGGAGTGAAACAGTCTCTTTTCAAGCCCCCTCATCTGGTTAAAGGCATATAGCACATGTTAGCTTTTCCTTCCCCACCCTCCCTCCATAGGTTTTGTTAGTATGGTCTGTGGGTTTTATTCAAGCTATTGTTATATTGGTTTGTTTTTTTCTTTATTCTTATGTTAATCCCCATACATTACATCATTAGTTTTAGATGAAGTGTTCCATGATTCATTGTTTGTGCACAACACCCAGTGCTCCATGCAGAATGTGCCCTCCTCAATACCCACCACCAGGCTAACCCATCCTCCTACCCCCCTCCCCTCTAGAACCCTGTTTGTTTTTCAGAGTCCATCGTCTCTCATGGTTCGTCTACCCCTCCGATTTCCCCCGCTTCATTCTTCCCCTCCTGCTATCTTCTTTTTTTTTTTTCTCTTAACATATATTGCATTATTTGTTTCAGATGTACAGATCTGGGACTCAACAGTCTTGCACAATTCACAGCGCTTACCAGAGCACATACCCTCCCCAGTGTCTATCACCCAGTCACCCCATCCCTCCCACCCCACCCCCCACTCCAACAACACTCAGTTTGTTTCCTGAGATTAAGAATTCCTCATATAAGTGAGGTCATATGATACATGTCTTTCTCTGTTTGACTTATTTCGCTCAACATAATACCCTCCAGTTCCATCCACGTCATTGCAAATGGCAAGATCTCATTCCTTTTGATGGCTGCATAATATTCCATTATATATATATACCACATCTTCTTTATCCATTCATCTGTCGATGGACATCTTGGCTCTTTATATTGGTTTGTTTTTAATAGATTTTATTTATTTACTTATTTATTTGAGAGAGAGTGGAGGGAGAGGAAAAGGGAGAGAATCTCAAGCAGACTCCCCATGCTGAGTACGGAGCCTGACGTGGGGCTCAATCTCAAGACCCTGAGATTATGACCTGAGCCGAAACCAAGAGTTGGACACTTAACCAACTGAGCCACCCAAGCGCCCCTGTTTTTTTATATGTAACTTAAGAATACCTTAAAAAAAAACTTTTGTCAAAGCCATATTTCCAACAATTTAGAACGTATATCTGTTTTAACTGGTTTCACATTTAGCACCAATCATTTTTATGCCATAACTTTACCCTTCTTGAGCTCTCAAGTTTGTATAGTCTCTATTCCAGTTGTTTTTACAAGAAAGATCCATTGGTGGAAATATTTTGGCAACTCAAGGATACTCAAAATGTCTTTCTTGTCCCTTCCCAATAGGCCATGTTTTAGCAGCATGTACAAGTTAAAAACATAGGGTCAGCTGCTGTAACAGAAGTCAGAATGGAAGCTTGAACAAATGGAATTTCCTTTCTCTTCCACATCACAGTGTAAGTAAGCAGACCAGGGCTGTTAAGTAGGCTCCACAGCTTAGGAGACCCAAGCTCTTCCTGCCTTGTTCTGCTGTCGTCACCTTGTGACTTGCATCTCATGGTCTATAAAAGCTGCGTTAGCTCCCCGCCTCCGTGTTCCCATTCTATCAACTGGGAAGGGGAGAAGGGAAAATGGGAAGCCTGATCCTTTCCTTTAAGGGCACAGCCTGGAAATTGCACCAGTTACTCCTCGTATCCCGCTGGCCAGGACCTGATCACGTGGCCTTACTGCTGCCAGTGGGGCTACCATGTTTCCTTCGAAGGAAGGAAGGCCCAGCGGGGGAAATAAGCAGTAGTCTCTGCAATACAAGGAACATTATTTCCTTTGTCACTCTTGCCCTCAAGACTCTGCAGAGGCCGTTCTCTTGCTTTTTGGCATTTATGGTTACCGTGGAAAAGACTGTCGTTAGACTTTTTTTTTTAATAGGTAGCCTTTTTTCCTCTATCAGATTGTAAAATTTTTTAATCCTTGTAATACGGAAATTTTCTTAGCAGGTATCCAGGTCACTTTTCACTGATTTTGCCTAGAACGTGATGTTATATATACACATTTTTCTATTCTCTTTTACATATTTACCACTTATATTTCATCAGTTCTCGTTTTATCCTTAAGAAATACCAGTTATTCAGGGCACCTCGGTGGCACCCTCTGCCCCTCCTGGCCCCTGCTTGCACATAGGCTGTCTCTCCAAAAAAATAAAGAGAAAAAAGAAAGACATGGCAACTAATCAGAAGAACATCTCAGAACTCTGTCCTCCCCCAGCAGTAGTGGTTAGAATGATTCTGCTGCTAAACATACATATCAGTCCTATCAACAGCAGAGAGACTGTTACAAGAAGAGATAAAGCAGGCTTGCTATAACCAGATAAATTGTAATGGGTCTAGAGCACATGCCTTGAAAGAAGTCAGCCTAAGTTAATAGCAAATAGCCATGGGTGTTAACACTGATAGTGCCTTCAGATCATGGTTTTCTTACTGGAAAATGTGGAAAGGGAATGAAAGCAATAACCGTGATCTGCTAAAATGTTGTCAATGATTATTTTCTAAAAGTATTAGACTACAGGGCCTCCTGGCTCAGTCTGTTAAGCGTCCAACTCTTGGTTTCGGCTCAAGTCATGATCTTGGGCTCCTGGGATTGAGCTGAGTGGGGAATCAGCTTCCCCTCTCCCTCTGCCCCTCCCCCCAATCGCACACTCTTTGTGTGTGTCTCTCTCTCAAATAAATGAATAAATCTTAAAAAGGGCGGGGGGCACCTGGGTGGCTCAGTCAGTTAAGTGTCTGCCTTCTGCTCAGGTCATGATCTCAGAGTCCTGGGATCTAGCCCTGCATTAGGCTCCCTGCTCAGTGGGAAGTCTACTTTTCCCTCTCCCTTTACCCCTCACCTACGCTCATGCTCTCTCTCTCGTTCGCTCTACTCTCTCTCTCAAATGAATAAAAAAATTTAAAAAAAAAATTCTTTAAAAGTATCAGATTATGGCCATACCACCTTGAATGCACCCGATCTCATCTAAAACTGTCAGAAATATGCTCTGATTTATTAATAGGGAGCTTCTCCTTTTGGTAAAATTATGAGGCAAATACTTCCACAGTAATATTTATGTACTGGCAACTTTACGATTGATGTGATTTAAATATTTTTATACTGAGGGCCTTTGAAGAGTAAGCAGAGATTAGACATGAGTGATTTGTGACACTTCAGCTCTGGAATCCTAGCTTGTCTACAGAATTATCATCAGAGGGAAATGGTCACTTTAGTTTCCTATATGAAATGATTCGCATTGTTTTTTGCCAAGAATAAGACGTCCTCAAATAAATTTCTACCCTAGACTTTTACTTGAACTTAGTCTGCTTTGTTCTTTCTGTGGCAGCTACTCATCCTGCAACCTCCTGTCACCACCCTGCTCACGCTGATCTTGTAAGTATGTCCCTTGACAACACACATCTGGGATTAGTAATCTCTGTAATGCCTGGTAGGTCCCGCCAGAACGCCATTCTGGCTCACTGAGTGCCCCGGATATAGTGTTCTCATAAGGAAAGGAAAGTACTTAAATGCAGGAAAGAACCAGGTTGAATGGATATTTTACTAACGACATTTTATTTTATTTTATTTTATTTTATTTTATTATGTTATGTTAGTCACCATACATTACATCATTAGTTTTAGATGAAGTGTTCCATGATTCATTGTTTGCATATAACACCCAGTGCTCCATGCAGAACGTGCCCTCTTTAATACCCATCACCAGGCTAACCCACCCCCCCACCCCCCTCCCCTCTAGAACCCTCAGTTTGTTTCTCAGAGTCCATAGTCGTAACGACATTTTTAAAGCCGACTCTGGCTTTCATGTTGTTACAATCATCATTTGTTGCTTGGTTGTTTATTCCCTGCTTCATTCCAAAAAGAACTTGTGATATCTTACAGAAGTATATGCAATACAATAAAATTCAAATTCCTTTTTAAAAGGGGGGAAAAAAGGGCGCTGGTTGTCTCAGTCAGTTAAACGTCTACCTTTGGCTCAGGTCATGATCCCAGGGACCTGGGATCGAGTCCCGCATCGGGCTTCCTGCTCAGCCGGGAGCCTACTTCTTCCTCTCCCTCTGCCTGCCGCTTCCTCTGCTTGTGCTCTCTCTCTCTCTCACAAATAAATAAATAAAATCTTTTTAAAAATAAATAAATAATAAAGCAAAAAATAATAAAAAAGGAAAAATACCTGAGTGGAAGGAAAATCAAAGTAGAAACTGCATAATGTATAAAATTTCAAATTCAAGAAATTTCTCTGCCTTCCTGCCTCTGTGTCCTACATAGAAACCTTTCACTGGATGTCTATAAAGACAGATTCATTTACATTTACTGGACTCACTGCAAAAAATAAGCATTTCTAGTTATATGAAAGAGAACAAGGATAAGGTCAAAATCCCTTAAATCAGTATTTTCCAAGTGATATTCTACAGAAGAGTAACCAGCATTGCTTAAAACGTTTCCAGAAGGAAAGAAAACAAAGGTTTTTGACTGTAGGACTTCTCAGAGCCAAACCTGACCACTTCCCACCATCTTCATCATTATCACACCGTGATCTAAGCCACCATCATCTCCCAGGCAAACTTTGCATCTGCCTCCTGCTTATCTCCCTGCTTCTGCCCTTGGCCCATTGCTCAGTTCTCAACACAGCAGTCAGAGGAGTGATCTTTTACAACACAAGTCAGCTCCTGCTGCGGCTCCTCAAAGCCCCCAAGGTCTTCCCATCTCGTTCAAGGTAAAATGATTCTCTTCTCCTTTGCCTGACATATGAATGCTCTCCCCAGTCCCATCCCTCATTCCCACCCCCACCCCCAGGACCTTTCTGATCTCCCCAAAGTCCCAGTTCTGCTCATCTGGCCTCCTGTTCTTCCTCAGACAAACCCATCAGGCTGTGACCTCAGGGCCTTTGCACTTCTCAGATCCCCATCTCTAATATATTGTCAGAACTTTTTCCCTTTATTTCAACTCTCAGCAAAAATGCTGTCTTATACATCTGAGCACCGTACCTGAAACACACCCTTTCCTTTCATCTGCTTACTCTTATTGTTTTTCTTCATGGCACTGATTTAATACATAGTATAATTTGCCTCCACTACGAAAATGAAGGCTCCATGAGGGCAAGAACTTGGCTTATTTTGTTCATTGCTGTATCCTTAGTTCCCCAGGACATGGCTTAGCATGTGGTAGATGTTTAATTATAATTTATTGAATGGTTGATAATAAATACACTAATGTAAATTGTGAATCTTTTTTATTTAAATTCAGTTATTTAACATATAGTGTATTTTTTAGTTTCAGAGGTAGAATTTAGTGATTTATCAGTTGCATATAACACACAGTGCCCATTGCAAGTGCCCTCTTTTTTTTTTTTTGTAAATTGTGAATCTTAAAGAGGGTAATATGCCACATTTTCAAAACTGTTTGAACACTGGATCTTTTTGAGAGAAATGCCCATTAATATCTCATGGGACATGGGAGAGCCAGAATAATTTTGGAAACACTGCCTTAATTTTCATATGGTAAAATCTGATTCGGCCTCTTCCTTTATGTACCTTTCAGTCCAAGACCCTTTGTCTTCCCATCAGCCCATTTCCTTCAACACTACCCAAAGCCACACGGCAGGTCCTGGCAGTGACCTCGGCGCCTACCAGCCAGCATCTTCCTGGTACTCCAGTGCTCACCAGGCCTGCGCCTGAAACACAGCCTGGGCAAGCTCTGGTAGTGGTGACCTCAAGCCCCAAAGAGGATTCCCAGACGGAGGTCTTCACCACTCACCTACAAACATCACTTCAGGATGCATCTGATCAGGTAAATACAGAAAACCGAGGTCACCCTGAGGACCTTTGTGAACTTGCGAAAGTACTTCTATTCTTTCCTTCTATTTTGGTGATGCTTTAAGAATAGCCATGTAAGGAAGGGGCCCAGTTCACCCTCTACCTCTGAGCAGAACTCTCCCGCAGGATGCCTGACACGCGAGCAAGTGCCCCAGTGAAAAGCAAGCACTGAGTGAGTCCATGGAAATAGTCCACAATGGGTTCCATACTCACTTCAGGATTTTCATGTCTTGTTTTTATTTAATGCTCTTATATTTAGTGCTTCAGATGGGGAGGAAGTTTTGTCCACCTGCCCCAATTTTCCGGCAGTGGCACACCCTTCTGGACTGTTCTTCCTACTCAGCATCCCAGTTCCCCTATCCCCTTTGTTCCCTTTTCCCCCACAAACTTCAAAAAAAAGCAAAGCCACTTTGATCATGTTGACTGAAGAAAATCATCCTGCTTCTCTCTATATATATATTATTTTTTAGAACAAGCCCTACTTACATGTAATCTAACATTTCTTTGCTAAAAGATAATCCTGTTTATGTTGGATCTGCTTCCAGCATGAATTGGAACTAGATGTTCACTCTTGTTTCAGTTAGCACTGTGTTCTCCTGGCAGAAAAACTCATCTCCAGTAGCTTAAACACAGAGTGCTTTGTTTTCCTTAAATAGAGAGAAGTCTGAAGTGTAGAATACCCAAAAAGGCCTACAGATAAATTATTAGAAACATTAAGAGAATTTATCAGTGTTGCTGAATACCAGATCAATATACTAAAGCTAATTGTACTTTTACATATCAGTTAGAAAATCAGATTTTTTTTTTTAAAGAGAATAGCAGGGGCTCCCGGGTGGCTCCATCAGTTAAGTGTCTGACTCTTGATTTTGGCCATGCACTCAGCGAGGAGCCAGTTTGGGATTCCCCCTCTCGCCTGACCCCCCTCCCCCGCCCCATCTTGCACAGGGTCTCTTCCTAAAAAAAAAAAAAAAAAGGTAGAATAACAAGTACCTAGGAGTAAATCTAACCAAAGATGGGCACAACTTGTATGGAGACAACTATAAAGCTTTATTAAGAGCCATTAAAGAAAGGTGAAGAAAATGGTGAGATCTACCATGGTTCAGCCCAGCTCTGAAACATCAAATAAGCCATCAGTGTCCTTTCTGGCTATAGCTAGAATGGCATTAAATACGACCTGACCTCCCCTGGAAAACATGCAGTTGGGTGGTACCTGGATCTCACTCATACCTTTATTCCTGCTTATTTACACCTTGGTCCCAAAGTATGAAACCAAAACTGGGTGGTCCTCAATTCTAAGATCATTCTGTAACTGATCTAACCTCCTGCAAACCCTATGAATTACAAATAACCCTATTCAATGGTATGGCCCACAAGGGCTGGATCATGACTAACTTTATGCTCTAACTCCAGAACCCAGCTGCACACAGTAGGCCTTTAATAAAGATTTACTGAATACTGACTGAATTAAGCTGCAGTGGGTTGTTCTCTAGAAATGGCACCACGTAGCTGGTGTAAACAGAGATTATCTCAGGGCAGGACTTCCGGTTCAAAAGCAGTAGCCTCTTAAAAGTTTTGGGACCACATCCAGAGTTGTGGGTTTGTTTTCTCAGAAACTACCATATTCAGGTACTTCCCTCTAGAACATGAACTCTTGAATCAAGGGACATAAACCAGTGGGAAACCTGAGGAGATAAGCATACTCCTGAATAGAAAAGTTTGTTTTTGTTGTTGTGATTTCCAGGTGTTTCCCTCACTTTTGATCATGGCCATGAGATTTAAACCTCTCTCATAGATCTTATTTCCGGACCCATCTGTCCCTGTATCAATCATTGTATGACCGTGGTACCTAGTCTTCTACTCTGTGAAAGAGGGGAAAATTCTATCCGTTTGCAGAAAAGCTTATGAAAGTAGTAACTGTTCTGAGGAGCCTGTGATTCATCAAGTTTGTTCTGTCAACTCTTGTTAAAACAATGTCTCAAACTACTAAAGTGCAATCATTTTCTTTAAATAATTTTGGCAAAATCCTTCGTTCCCAACAGGTCATAGACGAGATAGCAGGGAACTTGAGCAAACCGATTCATGGTTTGCAAACTCACAGCAAACTACAGACAGCTTGTGAGATGCTCCAGAAATGGACAGCCTTTATTCCAGGATTTTCTGAGTCAGCTCAGGTAAGCAGAGGATGATCGGGAGGAAACGAGATAGGAGAAAGGGGGAAGCAAAACAGAGAAAAAGTGTATAAAACAGAAAATACAAAATCTGGAGATGGTGCCCTGTGAAGAATTTAGCCTTATGAACCACTTTATGGAGACCCAATATAATATTTAGCCAGTGTATCTGTACCTTTGACTCTGAAGATTGCAAATAAATTAATCAGTAATGACTGAGATATGCTCTGTTTCTTTTCTTTTGTTCATTTATCAGGTTATTGCCTTTCTGATATATTTGTTCGACATCACAGGAGACAGAAATAGATCCACTCCTTGCCCAAGATAGAGCAGTTCAGCTCTGAAACAGACATTGGCCTTCAGTGCCCCATGATATTCGCATTTGTGGCTACAACAACTGTTCTTCGTGCCTGTCTCTACTCCCTACACCTAAGTAAATTAAGGGACTAGGATTCGTGAGAATTTTCATTTTTTCTTTTCCATGCTCTGTATTTTCAGATATTCTGCAATAAGCCTATAAATGTAATCTGTGCCATTTTATTTGGGCTTATTTTTTTTTTTGAGAGAGAGAAAGAGAACACATGTGCGGGCGGGCAGGTGGGGGGGCAGAGGGAGAGAGAGAGAACCTTAAGCAGGCTCCATGCCCAGCGCTGAGCCCTGACATGGGAGCTCATTCTTAGGACCCTGAGACCATGACCTGAGCCAAAATCAAGAGTCAGATGCTTAACTGACTGAGCCTCCCAGGTGCCCCTATTTGGACTTCTTAGTTACGGAAATAATGCATGATTGTTATTAAAAAATCTGAACAAAAGCATATAAACTTATAAAGCAAAAGCCCTCACCATCTTTGTCCTTCTAGCTAATCCCATTCTCTAGATGTAGTCGCTTCTATCAGATTATTATTAATTTGTCATGCATAGCCTGCCAGACTTTTTTCTATGCACAGACAAGTTTGTCGATTTAACAAAAATGGAGTTAAAGTATACACATTTTTCAGCCCGTTGATTTTTTTTTTTTTTTTACTTAATGCTGTGTCATGGATATCTTTTTGTTTCAGTACACATAAATGAACCAATAATTCTTCATGTGCATTTGGACATTTTTCATTTGTCTACTCTCGGAAATAACATACCCATGAACATCCATGTCCCTACATCATTAAGTACTTATGCGACTATTTCTGTGGAATAGAGTGCCAGAGATAGAAATGAGGGGCTTTTGCATTTTCTTTTTTTTTTTTTTTAAGATTTTATTTATTTATTTGACAGAGAGAGAGCGAGAGCAGGAACACAAGCAGGGGAAGTGGGAGAAGGAGAAGCAGGCTTCCCGCAGATCAGGGAGCCGACGCGGGGCTCGATCCCAGGACCCTGGGATCATGGCCTGAGCCGAAGGCAGCTGCTTAATGACTGAGCTACCCAGGCGCCCCAGGGGCTTTTGCATTTTCAATAGATGACAAAATAGTCTTTCAAGAGGTACTGTTTGGGGACGCCTGGGTGGCTCAGTTGGGCGTCTAACTCGTGATTTTGGCTCAGGTCATGATCTTGGGATCATGGGATCAAGCCAGCATGGAGCCTGCTTTGGATTCTCTCTCTCTCTCTCTCCCCCTCTGCCTCCCCCCACCATGTGTGTCTGTCTCTCTCTCTCAAATAAATAAACACGCACTGTTTTACATCCCCACCAACCATTGCCCCACACTCTCCCAATTTCAAAGGCAAGAAAAGAAAGAAAAGGAGGAGGGAACATGTTATTGATTACTAAGGAGGTTGAACATCATAATATGTTTTGATTGACCATGTGTATTTCTCCTCTCCATTGCTTTTTCATGTCCTTTGTCCATTTTCCCCCCAGTGGGTTGTTTGTCATTTTTCTTAGGTGTTTGTAAGAGAGCTTTATTATTGATGTTGACCTTTTGTTACATGTGTTGCAAATATTTTGTGCTCATGTCTTATTTTTAATTTTGTCTATTGGATCTTTTTTATGCAGAAGTTTTTCGTAAGTGTTACTTTGAAACAAAAACATTTCAAAACCAAAATAGTTGTACCTATAGTGGATATTGTGTCAATTTACTTAACCTTACTTGTTTTGCATGAGAACAGTCTCCCAAAAGGAGAATTGGGGCTTTCTGTTTCATTTAGAATTTTTCTTGTTCTCTATGTTAAGTCAGTCTTGAAGGCTTTTGAGGCCTGAGTTTCAAGGGATGGTATACTCAGTGTTCCAGCCGGTACTGCTCTTTTCCTTTTTTTAGCTTAGTTTTGTGAATTAGCTATTTGATAGTTACCACTCCAGGAGGGTTCTGTCGGTTCCTTGGAATAACATGAAATACAAATCCTCCCTATAGGTCATAGCTAACATATTTTCATTTCCTGCCAAGTTGTAATAGTGCTTTTTATAAAAATGTGTCTGAAATGCATAAAGAACCTTGAACTCCTGATAAGAAGAACACAAATTTAAAACAGGCAGAAACAGCTCAGGAGTGTGTGTTTGCTTCCTAAAACTCCCAGGTCAGTGTCCTCAGTCCCCTTGTTGACCTGAATGAGCAGTTACCTGAGAGGGCACTTGAGATCAACAGCAGTCTGAGCTTCGAAAACCCCGTGACCATCTGCTTCGTTCACTCCCTCGTCAATGTCATGGAAGCTGGTGAAGCCAGTCTACAAAGATCCAAGCATGACATTGAGCAGGTAGGTGCAGGAGATGCTGATGTTGATTTCATTTTAGAAACTTTTTAATCTTGGGAAGCCTGGGTGGTTCAGTTGGTTGAGCATCCAACTCTAGATTTTGGCTCAGGTAGTGATCTCAGGGTCGTGAGATTGAGTCCATTGTTGGGCTCTGTGCTGGGTGGGGAGTCTGCTTGAGACTCTCCCTCTCCCTCTGCCCCTCTTTCTCTCCCTCTCTTAAAAAAATGTAGATCCAGGACAGCTTATATCATGGGACAAAGAAATATGTCCTTGGGTGGCCCTCTTAGTTGATACAAAGGATGGTTGAGTCTTTAGCCAGACTGGAAGTACTTTCTATGGGTCCTTTCCAAAGAATGTCACCTTTCCTTATGTCACCATCAAGATCTTTGTCCCCTGTCTAACCCCTTCAAAACCATTATCCACTGAGGTTACTCAGGTCACGTGGTGTTTCCTTCTAAATGTAGGTAGAAAATATGCTGGAAATGGCCTTGCTGGCCCTTCGGAAGATCCAGGAAGTGTTTCTACAGCAGAACCAGTTTTCTGAGTCTTTAGTGACTTTGACCTCTTCTGTTGCTACTCTGATGCTGAACAGGTAACAGGAGGAGTGGGGAGAGGTTCATTTTAGGTTTTGGATCTTTAGAAAATACACAGAAATTGATTTCCCTTTAATTTCTCTTTCCTTAGCCAAAACATGTCAACCTGGCCTCTGAGCTCCTACACTCTCTGGTCCCCAGCACCTGTGAGGTTAGGCTTTCCATCAGCCTCAGCTTTGCAAGAGCTCTTGAACAGACACCCTGGAGTTAATGTCCAAGTGAGTGTAAAATTGATTCTGATCCAAATGGAAATGGGATTGGTGGCTGCAGGCATTTGAATGCACCATGAAGGGGATGCACCATGAAATGTAAGCTCACCAGACCAAACAAGAGAAGCCTTGGGTGCCCTGGATTTCTGTTTTACGATGTCAGGAATGGAGGCCTCTTAAAAATGATCCATGGTAGAAGTTGGGAGCATTAAACAGACTTCTGGATTTGACAGTTTCTGTGTTATGGTTTGAATTGTTCTCAACACTTCACTATGTATATACAAAGCTGGGAATACCTGAATAAGTATTCACTCAATGTATCAATTTAGCCATATCAGTATACTGTATTTCAGTATATTGTATTTCTTACCCAACAAACAGAAGTAAGTTTGGTGCCTTATCCTGGAGAGCAGAATTCTCAACTTCCTAGTAATCATGAATCCTCCAGGTATGAAGATGTAAAAAAAAATAATAATTCTGAGGGTCCCAAGTAAATGACTCATCTTTAATTAATTCTTTCCCATATGATGTTCTGATGAGAAATATTATTTCATTTGAGATATTAGCAAGGGGAAAAATCCCAACATTTACTTTAATTTTTTATATCTGACACCTTATTACCTATCAGGGTGTTATTTCTAAAGATTTCAGCAATGGATGAAACTGAGTTTTCTTGTCTCTAGGTAACAGGACTATCTTTCAATCCCTTCAGGGATTTTGATGACAAGAACATTGTTGGAAGCGTCGGAAGTGTGTTGCTAAGCTCTAATCATAAATTGTTCCAAGTTGATGATTTAATGGAAGATATTGAGGTATGACTTGATTATTAGGGAATGAAATAGAAGGGAATAGGAATTCTTGGAGAACAGGATGGAAGAAAGTCATTTTAGATTCGCGGCAGTGCCGTTATTTGATTATTCACATCTTCACTTGGGAACTTCTGCATGGAGATTACCTTACCTTTAGGGGAAGGTGTTTTAGGTCGGAGGTTGTATATTGTCCCCTAACCCCTGGCTCTGTGTTACCTATTAAAGCTCAGAGAGGAAGACTTAGGAAGTTACATTCCATTAGCACTAGAAAGGAGACTGAAAGACATCAATGGATGAACCATTTTGAACTTGAAGATTAATTAACTGTCTCCTTCCAGATCATACTGTGGAGAAATGTTAGCATGGAAATCCATCCTACCAGCCTCAATGTGAGCTCAGATCATTTTATTATCATAGTGGACATCACTTCCCTAGAGAAATCCCTGATCCTGTGCATACAACCTGAAAGTCCCCCCCCCCCTTTTTTTTTTAAAGATTTTATTTATTTATTTGAGAGAGAGAGAATGAGAGCGAGCACATGAGAGGGGGGAGGGCCAGAGGGAGAAGCAGACTCCCTGCCGAGCAGGGAGCCCGATGCACGGGACTCGATCCAGGGACTCCAGGATCATGACCTGAGCCGAAGGCAGTCGCTTAACCAACTGAGCCACCCAGGCGCCTGTCCCCTTTTAATGACACTCTATCTGGGGTTCCAGTATCAGCCTAACCACACCCCCTTCGACTTGAACATCACCCTTCCAAAGAATCAGGTGTGGCAAAAAGGTAAAGCCCCAAACAGAAACTTACTTTGAAATGCATTTTCTTCTTCTTTTTTTTTTTTTTACTCTTTATTTCAAGGTAACTGTAGGTTCTCATGCAATTGTGAAAAATAAAACAGATCTCATATATTTCATCCAGTTTATCCTAATGGTGACATCTTGCACAACTCTAGCACAATATCCTAACTGGGAAATGACACTGATACCATATGTTGACCTCATTTGGATTCACCATGCAACCATGCACTCATTTATGTGTGTTTATCAGTTCTATGTAGTTTTATCACATGTATAATTTTTTTTAAGATTTTATTTATTTATTTGACAGAGAGAGACACAGCTAGAGAGGGAACACAAGCAGGGGAGTGGGAGAGGGAGAAGCAGGCTTCCCGCTGAGCAAGGAGCCTGGGCTCGATCCCAGGACCCTGGGCGCATGACCTGAGCCGAAGGCAGACGCTTAACAACTTAGCCACCCAGGCACCCCTCACATGTATAATTTATATATGACCACGAAATGCATTTTTAAAAAGATAAATTGTTGAATGGATCAAGATTTATATGTGATAAAGCAAATTTAGTAGAATTTTTTTTGTTTAAGTTTTACTCATTTAAGTAATCTTCACACCCCATGTGGGGCTCAAACTCATGACCCTGAGATCAAGAGTCACATGCTCTTCTGACTGAGCCAGCCAGGTGCTCCAACTTTAGTAAAATGTTAATTATAGAATCTATTCAGTGATTATCTGTGTGCTCACTGTATAATAGTCAACTTTGTGTATGGTTGAAAATTTCCATAATGTTGAGAAGTAAAATTCCAGCACAGTGGGTTATATCTATATTTCAAACTTTATGTCTAATCTTAGATTTGGATAAGGACAGAGATGTCTCAGTAAGTCTTGGTGTAATACCAGACAGACTACATTGTAGCTTAGAATAGCTAAGAATTCCTGTGATACATAAACAGGGCCTAGATATACTTGACCAAAAAACATAGTCACTGGATATCAACTTCAAAAGTAGTACTCGGGGGTGGGGGGTGGGTAAAGGGGTGATGGACATTAAGGAGGGCGTGTGATGTAATGAGTACTGGGTGTTATATAAGACAGATGCATCACTGAACTCTACCTCTGAAACTAATAATACATTATATGTTAATTGAATTTAAATTTAAAAAAATTATTCTAAAACTAACAACAAAAATAAATAAATGTAGTACTGGGAAGTCTTCAGAGCTACCCTTTGCATCTAAAAAAATGGGGTCGGGGGAGTCATCAGAATGGATAAATCATGTTATAGTCTCCTATTATGGTCTGCCTGGGTTGAACGAGCTGCTTCTGGCTCTCGTGTAGGCCTCACTAACACAGGAATGGTCGCCTTTTAGACTCTTCTTGTTCTTAGAGCACCTGCGGCAGCATCTCTCACTATGGGGCTACCAACAGGCTCTCTCCCGATTCAGAGCATTCACTCCCATTTTCCTTGCCAGTCTTGCCAGTATCATGTCAGTTGGAGCTGGAAGGGATCTTAGACATCCTCTGGTCCAGAGTCCTTGTTTGAAAGTGAGAAAACTAGGGAGATTGTGGGACTTTCCTTAGCCCTTCCCAGCCACCTGGTGACAGAGCTGGGCCTGGAATCAGGGCTCTTTCCTCGAACCGCTCTGTTCCCATCCTTGCTTCATCTTGGGCTTTTTTTCTTAGCTAGGTCTTGTAGCTACTCATTTTGATGGGTGACGATTTCATTTTTCTAAAACTCATAATACATTCCGATTCATTAGACCTAAATCTTCATTTATCAAAAAAATACGATTTCTTATTGGAACAGGAGTAATCCAGAGCCCCAGGTTGTATCACTGGTCATTTTCCTTAAAATCATTTGTGGGACGCCTGGGTGGCTCAGTCAGTTAAGCGTCTGACTCTTTGTTTCAGCTCAGGTCATGATCTCAGGGTTGTGGGATCGGGCCCCGTGTCGGGCTCCATGCTCAGCACAGAGTTTCTCTGCTTGAGCTTCTCTCTTCCTCTCCCTCTGCCCCTCCTGTTCATGTGCGCTCATGCACTCTCTCTCTCTCTCAAATCTTAAAAAAAAATAAAGTAAAATCATTTGTAAGTCTAGGCTTAATCATTTCCCCATTTATAAAATAAAATAATGATAATAATAGATCCTTCATAAGGAAGGTTCTCACGGTACTTTTGTCCCATTTGAAAGGCAACTAAGCACTGTTCTTGGTTCTCAGATGAGGAATATACATGGGTGCTGACGCCAGAGAGTCTGCAGTATGGGACCGGCACCTACCACCTAACATCTGCCTTGGACAAGAGCCAGGAGAGTGCCCAGCAGATGCCCACCCTGTTCTCGGTGGTGACGGCCATCACGCAGTGTTATTTCTGGGACAGCCACAACAGCACGTGGAAGAGCGGTGGATGCCACGTAAGAAGCCACGCCACTTCCTCTTTCTCTCCCGCCTGAGCTGGCATGAAACGCAGAGCTTCTTTTACCTCATTTGGGCGGGCCCAGAAAGAAAATTCATCGGAGGGGAAATAAGTCAGCCTGGGAAAAAGAAGGACCGTGGGTAGTGGGCCAGGAGAGTGCAACTCTTTGGAGCAGGCTTGGGCCTCATGTGTCATTTCTTTCTCAAACATGAGTCCAGGGTGAATCGGACAGTTCCAGATGAAGTAAGCAATATGTAGAAGTTCTGCAAGTATTAAATATGTTGTGGGTAAAAGGAAAACTTCTTGCTCAATGAAAGAGAACTTTTCTAAAAATAAGCTAGCAGAGGCGCCTGGGTGGCTCAGTCGGTTAAGTGTCTGCCTTCGGCTCAGGTTATGATCCCCGTGTCCTGGGATCGAGCCCCACATCGGGCTTCCTGCTCAGCGGGGAGCCTGCTTCTCCCTCTGCCTGCTGCTCCCCCTGCTTGTGCTTGCTTTTTCTCTCTGACAAATAAATAAAAACTTAAAAAATAAGCTAGCAGATTCTTGTACATTCCAGGCCAGGTGGCGACTCTTCACGTTGTTACCTAGTTCCAGATGTGTGCCCACTTTAAAATGGCCCCCTCACTTTCACACTGGTGAATGTGTGCGATCCCATCTGATTTAAGTCCTGGTTCAGTTGCACAAAGACTGCGGTGCAAGGTTCTGGAAATCATGAGGCAGTTCGTCAAAGAGCTGAGAGGGGGTCATTCACATGGGAGTAGGAGGAAAGAGGATGCTCTGGAAGGCACTGACCCGACATGGGGCTCAATCCCAGGACCCTGAGATCATGACCTGAGCCGAAGGCAGACGCTTAACCGACTGAGCCACCATTCATGGCCTCAGCAGTGATTTCTGGAAGATCTGGAGCGGTGCCTCTCTAGCAAATCCTCTACCTGGGAGCCTATTCAGTGGCGGATTCTGTTGCAGTAAATCAGGGTGGGACCTTAGCTCTGCCTTTCTAACAGGCTCCCAGGTGATACCAGTGCTCCCAGACATGGAGACAGCACTCTGAGTAGCAAGACTCACCCAGCAGTGACCCCGCTGCTCACAAAAGGTACCAGGGGGTTTCCTGCCTCCTGGAAGCCCTGTGCAGCGCTTGGACCCCATGCAAGGAACAGAGCTGCAGGGAGCAGGATGAGAGTTCCTCCCAGGGCAAGAGATAGCCCCGCACCCAGAATTTGACCTTGTGTCATGGAAAGCAGTCAGTCATCCTGACAATATTTTCAGCTTTCCATCTGCACCATCAAACGTGGAATTGGTACCTGCCATTTGATTGCCTGGTGGTATTTTTAAAAAATTTTTTTATGAAGAAATGTTATAACATATGGAAAGTTATAGGGGATAATATAATAAAAACATTAAACACTGTTCAGTTCTATTACAAAGTTAATATTTGGCTCTATTTAAAATAGTTCAGATTTTTTAAAATAATAAAACATTCAGGAATAATCAAAGCCCTTTATGTATCCTCTCCGTCTTTTTTTTGGAAAGATTTAATTTATTTAGAGAGCATGAGACAGAATCTCAAGCAGACTCCCCTCTGAGCATGGAGCCTGACATGGGCCTTGATCTCACGACCCTGAGATCGTGACTTGAGCCGAAATCAAGAGTCAGACCCTTAACCAACTGAGCCACCCAGGTGCCCCTGTATCTCCCTTAGTCTTTTGTCCTCCCTCTCACCAAAGGGTGACCACTGTCCTGAGTTGGCATGTGTACTCATTCTTCTAGCACATGTTTATTGGGCATCATTTACGTGCCAGGCCCACGTCTAGAACTAGAGTTACAGAGATGGACACGATAGCATCCTTGTGAGCTTCTGTTCCAAGGAGGGGGACTGACAAACATAGATACAGGAGTGTCGTTTTGCATGCTTTTGGTTTCTGTGTAAATGGCACCATCTGTACCATATTCTTCTTTAACTTGTATTTTTTTAAAGATTTTATTTATTTATTTGACAGAAGGGGAGAGAGAGAGAGCACAAGCAGGGGGAGTGGGAGAGGGAAAAGCAGACTCCCTGCTGAGCAGGGAGCCCGACATGGGGCTCAATCCCAGGACCCTGAGATCATGACCTGAGCCGAAGGCAGACGCTTAACCAACTGAGCCACCCAGGCACCCCTTTAACTTGTATTTTTCATTTAGCATTTATGCACGTCGCTATATCCAGCTCTAACTCATTCATTTTAACGGCTACAGAGTATCCCCCATCAGTATACAGGAGTAGCTCTCTACTTTGTTCTGCTGGTACTGGACATATACATGTAGGTCGTTTCCGAATTTTTCGTTAAGAACAATGCCGACAGAAACGTTCTTTCTCACGTCCCCCTGCGCGTGTGCAGACTTCCCCTGGGGTCAGTGTTCAGACCTGGAATGGCAGGAGTCAGGGGCTGCCAGCTTGCTCTCCACACTGCTTACCCCGCCGTACGCGACCTCCAGCAGTGAATACGCAACCCAGACACCGTTTTTCCCTCTCTGAATTGCCTGTGTTTGTGTTTTATGTTTGTCCCTTCCTTAGCACTCTGCTCAGTTAGAATCAACGTCTTCATTCTAATTACAGGTTGGGCCACAGAGCACAGTTTTGAGGACACAGGGTCTCTGTAACCGCCTGGCCTACTTAGGCAGCAACTTCTTCATTGTGCCCCGGATGGTGAACGTTAAAGACACGATCAAGCTGTTCCTTCACGTGACCAACAACCCTGTTGGGGTGTCTTTGCTGGTCAGTCTTTCAGGATCCTATATACTCACATGTGTGTGGGCTTGGAGAAAGGATCAAGCAGACATGCAGAAGGTGATAAGATGTTGATTCCAGAAGCTTTTCCATGTGTCTTGAGTGTGTTGAACAAGATGGAAAAATCCCTTGACCAGAAGAGGCTGGTAGTGTGGTACTGGGTGGTGTAGAAATTCAAGGGGTACTTTTCCCCTTAAATTTCTCTTCAAGTCTCTTGTTTCAGGGCTTAGCAACTTGACACTTTATCTCCTTTTTTTTTTTTTTTTTCCCTTTAGTGGAGATTGAACCCTCATGTGATTCATTTAGGCTAGGAATCATCCAGAACATCTAGAGAATTTAACCAAAATCAAATGCAAGTTTATCTCACTTTATGCATCGGATATGAAAGTTACGTGGAAGTGAAATGGTAATTTCACATAACTGCGATGTATAAGAAACCTACAAGGAATCTCTTTTTTGAACAACAACAAAAAAATCCCTTGATGACAGCCTCCTAAGGATTTATTTACTTATTTTAGAGAGCACAAGTGCACAGGGGGAGGGACAGAGGGAGAGAGAAACTAAAGCAGACTCTGCACTGAGTACAGAGTCTTACTCGGGGCTCGATCTCGTAACCCTCAGATCACGACCTGAGCTGAAACTAAGTGTCAGTTGCTTAACCGACTGAGCCACCCAGGCTCCCTGATGACAGTCTTTTCGTAGCTTCTATTGTATGCTTTCTTATTCATATGTTTTCTTACCCTTGGAAATTCTAGAACACACGCCGTCCATTTCTTTGTTGCTGTGGGTGTAGAGTTGCCAGTTTTAGTAAATAAAAACAGGACACCCAGTTAAATTTGAATTTCATGTAAATAATGAGTGCATTTTTAGTATAAAAGGATTCATAGTTTATCTGAGATTCACATTTAACTAGGTATCCTCTGTGTTGTGCAGTAACCCTCCCTGGGTGCGAGGGAAGTGGAAGGATTTGGAAGCCCAAGACTTGATCAGTGGATTCAGTGACTCTTTCATTTTAGAGGCATAAAGCCGGGCCTTCCAGCCCTCACCCCTGTTCCGTCACTTAGGTCAGCTTGTTTACCTGCCACCCGCCAGTCACCCTTGCTTTCCATCAAGTTGCCAAAGCTGGAGCCGTGCATCCTCCTGCTTTTTAGGTGAAGATCCTCCTTGGTTCTGCTTTTCCTACAGGTGACGGTCACTGTCCTGGCCGATAATGACCCCAGCTGTCAGTTTCACTACCTTATTCAGGTCTCCACTGGCTATGGGAGAAAGGCTGCCACAACAGCTAAGGCTTGTGAAATGAATGCTCTTCGCTTCTTGCCTCGCGTCTTCCAGCACACGAGATGCGCTGTGACCTGGTGACGCCCCGGGTCACCGGGAGCACGTTAGGAGCGCGGGTCCTAGTTCCAAACTGTACGTCTGCACGGCCCGCTGTACTTTTGCAGCCCCCCAGAGACTTCATCCCAGTACAGTCCTCTCTGTCTCCCTCTTTCCCCTTAGGGATAAACCCAAAGAATCCTGTTAGGACGTCCTGCATTTTCTCTTTCCTTGTGGTGTTTTAGATGGTTATCACCCTTTATGGATCAGGCGGACGGAGTGAGCCCCATCACCTTTGTGACCCTCAAAAGACAGTCTTTGAGCAAGGGGGACTGGACGTCTTCCTCCTCACACCCAGTCTTCCCTGGGGGAGCTGCATGGCCTGCGGCTCTGGCACGACAACTCAGGGGCCGGCCCTTCTTGGTAAGTACCTGTGTCCGGTGGCCCTGTCCTTCCTTCTCTGTGGACCCCCCAGTCTGGGGTGAGACCAGCATGCTGCCACAACACAGAACAATAACACTCTGGGCTAAATCGTAACAAATGACTAGTAGATTTAAATTTCAAAGCATCTACAAAGGGGAAACCCTGGAGAAAAACAGGAAAATTAACAATATGATTTTGTGTGGCTGGTAAAGTGATAGATGATTTTTTCTTTTATTTTCATTTAATGTTGTCATGATTGTAGAGAGCAAATAACAATTGACTGCCCAAAGTATTATAAATGAGAAGTATCTCTAGGGCACCTGGGTGGCTCAGTCGTTAAGCATCTGCCTTCGGCTCAGGTCATGATCCCAGGGTCCTAGGATGGAGCCCTGCATCGGGTTCCCTACTCAGCAGGAAGCCTGCTTCTCCCTCTCCCACTTCCCCTGCTTGTGTTCCCTCTCTCACTTTCTCTGTCAATTAAATAACATCTTTTAAAAAAAGAAAAGGAAGTATCTCTAAACATGAAAAATATCTTTTTTTTTTTTTAAGATGTTATTTATTTGAGAGAAAGAGTGAGCAAGTGAGAGACAGAGAGAACATAAGCAAGGGGAGGAGCAGAAGGAGAGGGAGAAGCAGACTCCCCGCTGATCAGGGAGCCTGATGTGGGACTCGATCCTAAACCCTGGGATCATGACCTGAGCTGAAAGCAGACGCCCAACCGACTGAGCCACCCAGGCGCCCCGAAAAATATCTTTTTTTTTTTTTTAAGATTTTTATTTATTTATTTGACAGAGACACAGCGAGAGAGGGAACACAAGCAGGGGGAGTGGGAGAGGGAGAAGCAGGCTTCCCGAGGAGCAGGGAGCCCGCTGCGGGGCTCGATCCCAGGACCCTGGGATCACGACCCGAGCCGAAGGCAGATGCTTAACGACTGAGCCTCCCAGCCACCCCCCAAAAAATATCTTTAAAGAGTAAATTTAATAAATGACTATTTACTAAATATACTTCGGGTCAAAATTAAGAGCTTCAGAAGAGGGGAAGGGAAGGCAGAATCATGATATGGGACGGGCCCAGGGGGCTTGCGAGGGAAAGGGTCAGCGATGAGCTGGTGAATCTGACATGTGTGAAGTCCATGTGATTCTGTTCTTCCTGCCGCCACACTCAGAACGAGGGGAGGTGCATGGAGAGAGTCATGATGACATTAACTGAGGATCAAGATGATTGGTTGGGGTTAGGAAAAAAGAATGGAATGGAATCAAAGGTCTAAGGCCCAGGGACTCAGACAAGTCAGTTGCTGAGTGTTGCCCACCTGCAAAGAGTCTGCAGCCTGCCTGAAACTGTTAGCAACACAAGTCTCTCCCTGCCACGCGAGCCCACTAGGCCAGTCAAGTCTAAGCATTTGCTTGCCACTTCCCCTCTGTTCAGGCATCTGCAAAGCACTTGTGCACTATCATTCCAGCTTGATTTGTAAAGCTGAGTAATGTGAATGGGCACCTGAAGAGATATGTAACGTTGCTAGTCATCAAGAAATGCAAATTAAAACCACAGTGAGAGCACCGAACATCTAGTCTAGAATGACTAGAATAAAGTCTGACAAAATCGAGTTTGGGTGAAGTTGGGGGCCACTGGAACTCACGCACCACGGGTGGGCACGCACAACGGTGCAGCCACGTGAACAAACGGTTTGGCAGGGCTCATGAAGTTAAGTAGACATTTACCATATGACCCAGAAATTCCATTCCTAGGTATTCACCCAAGATAAATGAAAACGCATGTCCTTTCCAAGACTTATACACATACGTTCATAGCAGCTTTGTTAATAGTAATCCCAAATTAGAAACAGCATGAATGTCCATCAGGTGAATGAAGAAACAAATGTTAGCGTGTTCATTCAAAGAAATACTACCCACCAACAAAGAGAACAGTCTTCTGATACACACAGTGATGTGGATGAATCTCAGAAACATTATACGGAGTGAAAGAAGCCAGACACAAAAGTATGAATCCACATATATGAAATTCTAAAAAAAGCAAACTAATCTAAGAGACAGAAAGCAGATCAGTGGTACCTGGGGCCAGGGTGAGCCTCAAGGGGGCTGACTAGAAAGGGGCACAGGGAACTTTTTGGGGTGATAATTTGATGGTGGTGGTACTTACACAGTGTTTACATTCCTCGAAATGTATTGAACTGTACAGTTTACAGACCCCAACAGGATGAGATGTCATTAATATGAATGTTGAAGACCACTCCCCACCCCCAGGGATGGCCCCTCAGGCCCTGGTGACAGACGACAGAGGCAGATGGGCTCCTTAAAGAGGTGGCAGGGCGCCGGCACATTTGAACAAGGAAAGAAGGGATACATACACACACTGGAGCGTTGCTAAGTGATAGAAGTCTGCCTTCTGGTTTTGATACATGAATTCCCTTAGAGGTCGGGAAGGGAAAAATTGGATCAGCTCTTGTCTCTTTAGTTCTGGCCTCACAATGAAAAGAATCCATTTACTGACAGCACAAGATTACTTCTTATTACAGCAACAGGTTGTGCCCACCCCCCTAACATACTTATCTTCATTTTACGGTAGGTATGTAAACCAGGTCATTGTCAGTGACATGGCAGGTAAAAGGAAATGGTACTTCATATGCAATTGTTGGCTGGCCGTGAACCTCGGAGAGCACGAGCATGACCGGGTCTTCATGCCAGTCTCAAAGAAAGAACTCTTTTCCTTTAGGTATTGGTGGGAAATGGTGGTGTTCTGCAGGTCTCTGCAGCTCTGTTCGTTTTTTGTTTTGTTTTGTTTTTAATTCCATTTCTCCTCCTCAGATATATTTATCCTGTTTTTAAGCCCAGCCAATATGTTTTATTCTTTCTTTTTGTATCTTATTGCTAGTTCCTCCACATTTGGAGTAGAGCAGGTGCTCAACGTGTGAATTTACCAAACTATCTTGAGTGGAAGCCTGATGCAAACTTTTGTTGAGCAAAAGATTTATCAAAACTCTTAGAAAGCTTAAAAAAACAGTTTTTAATATTAAACTTTCATGCAATATAAATTAACCTTATCCTCAGAAACCTTGTGTCCTAAAATCACAAAAGAATCACGTTGCCAGGTCCTTTGACAGCATCTTTATAGAGATTTTGGATAGTGGCTGAGTTGTTGCTGTGAGCTTATTGTTGGGCAAACCACATCTTCGTCCAGGACACTGTCAGGATGAAGACTCAACGTCTGTCCTGTTCTAATTTATCTTCTTAGACACCTGTTCTCCTCCATCGTTGTAGAAAAGCTCACCCAGGATTATCTGTGGCTCTCAGTGCTAACTCGGCATCCCTGGAACCGGTTTACAAGAGTCCAGAGGCTTACTTGCTGCATGACATTGTTTCTGTGCACCATGGTCATCAACCTTATGTTCTGGAGAAGCAGCACCAGAGCCGAGAGAGATGAGCAAGGTATGGAGGATCCTAACGTGTGGTGTTTGTGGTGTGTAATCCTTTTACTTTAGTGCACCCTCCTTCATAAATTCATTCATTCATTCATTCATTCATTGAGTGAGGCAGCCTTGGGAACACATCGGTCCTATCCTTAGATGTCCTATCCCTAGATAATGTCCATGATAATGTCCTGTCTTTAGATAACCATGGTTAAATTGCCAAATAAATACCTAAACCTGGGAGAGGAATGACTGAGATGACTTCAGCTCTTGAGGATGAAGGTTGATGTAATGCTCTTCTTCCAGTGGGTCCGTTTCCTGTGACCTGGTCCCAGCTGATCATCAGCGTCCAAACTGCTGTCCTCCTCTTCCCTGTCAATCTTGTAATTGGGCGCCTCTTCCTGCTGATCCAGCCACAGGAGCCCCTGCCTCTCTTTCCTCCCAGCCAAGCCTCCTGCCCCTCAGATGCTACTTCTGAGCCTCTGTCTCTCACAAAGGTGGCTGAAGTAAGCTTGGTGTCTAATTTTATAGGTAGATGGCGGGCTCTGCTTCCCCGTGTAGTGAGAAAGGCCAGTAGAGCGGATCCCCTGGAAGGCTCGTGGGCCCTGTTAACCTTGATAGCTTTTCCCTAACTCCCGTCCCCTGGGCCATGATGCATCATGCCCCTCGTCTCTCTTCTTGATGTATTCTGAGGACTGGGTGTGAGTGCAGAAGGTACCACTCTCGAGTTTTCGTTGGTGACGTTTTATCTAACTGTCCCTTCTTTCATTCTGTATTCCCTCATAAAACTAGTTTTGAAGCTACTGTGAGGTGACTTCTTTCTGAAAAAAGAGAAAGAAAATGAAAAACAGAGGTTCTTTCCACTAAGCATTTGCCTCTCCGAGTGAAGAGACGACCTTACCATCTGTAACTGCTCCCGGTCCTGGGTGAATGTCAGACTGACTTTCCTCGTCTTGGGTCTACATTCAGGAATTAAAGGAAACTGTGGGGTTCCTGCTCAGGAGAAACATACCTACTCTCAGAGCGGGAACAATCTTTATGGATGTCTCACAGCATTGACAAGATGGCACCGCTTTTAGCCAGCCTCATCTGTTCTCACTTGGAGGGTCCCGGCTCTCATCAGCAGGCAGGACCCCATCAGGCAAACGGTAAAGCTCCGCAGGTGTTAGTAACTGATCTGTTATCCGCCTCCCACTCGCTTGCCTGCGTCTTACTCCCTCCTACCTCTCGGCATAACCAACAGGAAGATACAACCTTCTGCTTGTTTTCATTTTCCTTAAGCTTTCCAGGATAGAGCTGATAGCTTTCGCGACAGTGTATCTGGTGATACAAAAGGAAGGATTAAGGAAGAACCCACAAAAATGCCCTCTCGTTCAGACCCCCTCATACTCCATCTGCTTTGCTGGGGGCTCTTGGGACTTGTCATTCTTTTTCTTCTTTGGAATAAGGAGATTAGGTGATTTATGGAATCTTGAATATAGTTTGCACCCCAAGGCCCCTGGGCACTTACTGCAGTTCTGGTGAAGAAAGCCCCATTAGGTTTAAATTTTTATTTGCTCCAAATCAAAAGCGTTTTATTATGATTATTATTATTATGGATCAAAGTGTAGAAGTTTAGAAATTGTTAGCAGTTCACCAGCACGCTCAGAGAAGACAGTCATAATTATTGGGTCCCGCCTCCATGGACTGGGAAATGTAACCTCCTCATCAGTGAATGAGTTGCTCCTCTCTGTGAGCCCCGGCCTGTATTGGCAGCCACATCATCTCTGCTGTTACCCGCTCAGAGTTCTGCAGCAGCTGCAATCGCACTTAGGCGCCCTGGGTCCCGCCCAGGCCGACCAGCCTCGTGACGTCCTCGATGCCACCAACCGACTGCAAAAACTCCAGGAGCTCTTGGAAACACATACTCTTCCCACAGAGCAGGGGCCCTCCAGGTAAGGCACGGCACCGGCCTTCCCCGATCGCTGCCATCTTCCCAATTGCAATCCTCCCCTCTCTCTCAGCTGCTACTGGCTTTCAGATGATTCCTTCAACCTCTGTTCTTTTTTTTTTTTTTTTTAATTAATTTATTTGACAGAGAGAGACACAGCGAGAGAGGGAACACAGGCAGGGGGAGTGGGAGAGGGAGAAGCAGACTCCCCGCCGAGCAGGGAGCCCGATGTGGGACTCGATCCAGGGACTCCAGGATCATGACCTGAGCCGAAGGCAGTCGCTTAACCAACTGAGCCACCCAGGCGCCCCAACCTCTGTCCTGAAGGGAGGCAACCAGTTTCCCCATCCTGAGCCCATCGCTCATGGCCTGCCCGGAGAGCTGACTTACGTCTGCTGGCTCTTTCTGGGTGTCGCTAGCCTGGCTGCAGCCTTTTTTTAATGCGCTTGATAGCCTGGAGCTGACCAAAGAGCAAAAGCCACCAGCTGGGTTACATGGATGCTGTTATCAGTGCTTCACAACCTCTTCATCAGGCAGCCAGTCAAGGTCGGTGAAAAACGGGTTGTGCGGGCATGGGGGGTGGGGGCAGACCCACTCACGTTCCAGGTAGCTCGCTTGGGAAAATGAGACCCTTGGGTGTCAATTCAAAGTGCCTAATGGTTCGGACAATTTGACACCCCCCCCAAAAAAGAAAACAGAAAGAGGCAGAATGAAATTTCAGGTATGTGTGAAGTCAGAGAAAAAACTAGTGAGAACTGACAGACTAGTAGAAGCAGAGCAGAAAAGGGTTGACAAGAAAGGACAAGTAAAAAAATCAACGGTGGACTACTTTGAAAAAAAAAAGCACCAGGAAATTTAATTTTTAAAAACTTTTTTTTTAAATGATTTTATTTATTTATGAGAGAGCACACAAGCAGGCGGAGTGGGAGAGGGAGAAGCAGGCTTCCCGCTGAGCAGGGAGTCTGATGCGGGGCTCGATCCCAGGACCCCAAGATCATGACCTGAGCTCCAGGCAGATGCTCAACCTCCTGAGCCACCCAGGCACCCCAATTTTTAAAAACTTTAAGAAAAATGCCAAGCCCACAGAAATGTGTGGAGAATAGTCTAATGAACTCTACCCTTCTGTTAGCCAGCTTCAACAATTACTTCATTACCAAAACAAGCCAGTCTTGTTTCATCTATTTTGGGAAAAAAAAAAGTCTTACTTTATATCATTTTATCCCTAAATATTTTAGTATATGTATTTCTAAAAGATAAGCACTTTTTTTGAAAACACAAATATAAAAACCATTATCACACTAATGTCTTAATATTTACACAATATGAATGTACCTTATGCTATGAAAAGGTTAAGATGGTAAGTTTTTTGTTATGTGTATTTTATCACTTTTTTTAAAGTCATTGTTCCAGTTTTCCTAGTTGTCTCGTAAATGTTTATTTTACGGTTACTTTGTTGAAATCAAGATTCAAATAAGGTTCATGTGTTGCCATTAGTTGGTCTGTCTCTTGAGTGCTTTTTATACTAAGTCTGCAGACGCCCCCTCCCTTCCCTTCACTCTCCATTCTTTGTATTTATCACAGGGCATTTGTTGAAGAAACCGAATTTTGTCCAGTAGAGTTTTGAAAATATTCTGGATTTTGCTGACAGGATTGCTTCTGCTTTAAGAACCTCAAGGATGGGCCGAGCTCCCACAAGCAAACCTGGGGAGCTCTTGAAACTTTTGACATCCAGGCCTCACTCCAGACCAATTAAACAGTAATCTCTGGAGATGGGTTCCAAGGCCCAACTCATTTAAAATTTCCCAGGTGATTCTGGTGTATAGTCCCATTGGAGACCCACCCATCCCCGGGGAGACAAGGAGTAGGTAGAGCTTAACGATAAACTGCTCGAGGATGGACACCTGGCTGGCTTAGTGGAGCATGCGACTCGTACTCTCGGGGTTGTAAGTTCGACCCCACGTTGAACTCAAGTTTTTTTACTAAATTTTTTTAAATCTTGGGGCACTTGGTGGCTCAGTCGTTAAGCGTCTGCCTTCAGCTCAGTCATGATCCCAGGATCCTGGGATCGAGCCCCTCATCGGGCTCCCTGCTCTGCAGGAAGCCTGCTTCTCCCTCTCCCACTCCCCCTGCTTGTATTCCTCTCTTTCTGTGTCTCTTTCTGTCAAAAATTAAAAATCTTTAAAAAAAATTTTTTTTTTTAATTTTTTTTAATCTTTTTTTTTTTTTTAATTTTTTATTTATTTGACAGAGAGAGAGATAGCGAGAGCAGGAACACAAGCAGGGGGAGTGGGAGAGGGAGAAGCAGGCTTCCCGCCGAGCAGGGAGCCTGATGTGGGACTCGATCCTGGGACTCCGGGATCATGACCTGAGCTGAAGGCAGACGCTTAACGACTGAGCCACCCAGGCGCCCAAATTTTTTTAATCTTAAAAAAAAAAAAAAAAAATGCTGGCAGAGACAGACCAAAAAAATAACGAGATCTCTATCAGGATATTCAGTTGTACCAAACACCCAAAGGGCTTCAGGAAATGAAAAATGTCATTTACCAAATTTTAAAATTCAGTAGTTGAGTTGAAGGAGATGTCCTTAATGAGACTAAAATTAATGATCAGGAAAATCAAATAAACCAAAATAATGCAAAACATGAAAAAGAAGAGACTTAGGAGATCCAGGGTACTTGGCATACAGGTAATAGGATTGGTGATAATTAAACAATCCACTGTTGCAAAGAAATCCTGAATTTATATTGAGAGGCCTCAAGTAGTTCCAGGCACAGTCAATTTTAAAAGACATGCTGAAACAGAGGATAGTTCTAGAATGGGGCCTACGAGTCTGCATTCGTGACAATTTCCCAGGGGATGCCGAAGCAGCTGGTCCGTGGATCACACTTGGAGTAGTATCATTCTGACTAACAGCTTCTCTGAAAAGTCAGTATCATGAAAAAAAATTAAGGATGGAGGAGTGCAACGACTGAGTGGCTCAGTTGTTAAGCGCCTGCCTTCGGCTCAGGTCATGATCCCAGGGTCCTGGGATCGAGTCCCACATCGGGCTCCCTGCTTGGCAGGAAGTCTGCTTCTCCCTCTCCCACTCCCCCTGCTTGTGTTCCTGCTCTCGCTCTCTCTCTCTCTGTCAAATAAATAAATAAAAATCTTTAAAAAAAAAAGAAAGATGGAGGAGTGTTGTAGATCCTTCAGTGAAAGAAGACATGTTTAGTATGGATAGGATATTATACAAGGAAATTATTGAAACTTTCCTTAACTGTGATAATGATAGGAGAACATCCTGGTTTTTAGGTGACACATGCTTGCCTACAGGCAGTCCTCCTCTGTGCCCTTTCAGCGTACATGAATTTTAGTCACATGGTTTAGTTAAATAACACCAGGGTCCCAGCAACACAGTTCAAGTATCATTTACCATGGTCTTCTACCTGCGAGCGATCACATGAAGTTCTAACTGCTTGCTGCTAACTCTGCAGTCCACAGATCGCTACCCCAGTAACAGCCGTGCATCATCATCAGTGGCCGATCATGTCACTTCTTTCAAAGTGTGTGGATGATCGGCCCCCTGTTACCCCGATGAGGTACAGACAGCAAAACGTATAGCTGTGTTATCTCCTTGTCTCTCAGCCATAAACTCCTGTGACATTTTACCCCCCCCCCCAAAAAAAAATCAGAAGAGGCAATTGGCCAACAAAGATGTAAATGCAACAGGGGTGCCTGGCTGGGTTAGTCAGTGGAGACTGCAACTCTTGATCTCAAGGTTGTGAGTTTGAGCCCCATGTGGCATGTATAGATTACTTAAATAAATAAAAAAATATTTAAGATTTTTATTTAGCTATTTAAAATATTTATTTTAGTTATTTAACAGAGAGAGCACAAGTAGGCAGAGCGGCAGACAGAGGGAGAGGGAGAAGCAGGTTCTCCACTGAGCAGGGAGCCCAATGCTGGGCTCAATCCCAGGAACCCTGGGATCATGACCTGAGCCAAAGGCAGACGCTTAACCAACTGAGCCATCCAGGCGCCACTAAATAAATAAAATTTTAATAAATTATTTAAAATAAATAAAAGCGGCATCTTCATCTTCAGTTTTTGCATCCCTTTAGTAAATAAGCTTCACTTCTAAGAACCTATCCTTAGAAAACTCAGAGTACTTTATTAAAAAAAAAAAAAAGAACAATGTAAATATCCAAAAATAGGACACTGCTTAATTTATGAGACAGCCATATCCATATAATGGAATGCCAAGCAACCATTAAAAATCTTAAAAATACTGTAGTGATGTGGAAAGCTAGTCTGGATATATTAAGACAAAGTGATTGAAGGATATATTCCAAATTTTAAAGTTTTCTTAAAATCTCTAATTCTTTTTTTCCAAATTTTTATAATAAACGTGTATCACTTCAGTTAAAAAAAAAAAAGTTGCAGGGGAGTGTTGGGGAAAAAATATAAAAAGAGGAAGAGAAGAGATGGAAGTTACTGGTATCGCTACAGTGTTGAATTTGGTTCCACCGCGGCCAACCAGATTTGCGGCTTTTTCCCCCAAGTCTGGTCCAGGGACTGTCCACCAGAGGGCGACCTTAGGTCTCCAGAGCAGACACCCAGAATTGCTATCTCGGAAAAGGGGTGTGCGGCAGCAGGCTGGAAATAGCACCCTTGTCCTTTATTCTCGTGAGGATTGGAGCACTTTCTTCCCCTCTGTGGAAATTAAAGGACGGGGGCAAACTTGTTGCACATGTAACCAATACTTAAGGTCTTACTCAGTTCTAAGATTTTAGGAAAAACGGACACTTAATCCTTGAGACTTTTAAAAAGTGTAGCTTCTCCAGCCCAGCTCTTCGGAGGCCATCCAAGACAGGTTATTCTTAAGTGACGTCGGCAGATCATCACAAATCATTCAATAGCTGAAGCTTTCCTAGACAAGCAGCTTGAGGACCACAGGCCAAAATACAAATATTAACATTATATTAACCAGGTCCCTACGATTATGCAAAAATAATCATGGAACTCCCTAATTCTCAGTTTTCCATGATAGTAGAGGGGCAAATAATGGAAGCGTGTTAATCATACCTTCAGCTTTACGTAAGGGCATCACCTTGGGTCCTGTGATACCTGCTGCTTAGTTTCCCCTGTGATCTTCCCGTCTAGGCGATCTTCCTCACGCTGTTCGGCTCCCTGATGCTGAACCGGATGCCGTGGCTTACCAGAGAGAAGGAACAACAAACAAGGAGGATCTTGGCACTCTTGGGTAATTCAAGTAGTTCTAAGTACCAACATCTGATTTTGCAAAGAGCAGATGCCGGAGTAGCGGACCCCTAGCTACATCACCACCTCGCATTTATGCACGCAGGGACCTTGTCTGGTTAGCTGGCTGCCCCTTCTCGGCTGCCCAAGGCGATCCAGTGCATCACCAGCACTCGTGCGTTCTTCCCAAGACCCCCTCGTGCTGCCTCAGTGCCTCACCTCGCGTCCGTGTCCTAGATCTCCTCCCGAGTCTTTCTCGCTCCCGGGCCCCAGAGGCTGTTTCCGACCACTCACCGTCTGTATCTGGATAGATGGGGTCAAATCAAACATGCCCCAGTCGGGGTGGCCTGCCCCGCAAACCCACTTCTTCACTGTATTCTCTCATTTTTTAAAAAAGATTTATTTATTTGAGAGAGAGAGCGGGAGGGGCAGATGGAGAGAGAGAGCAAATCCAAAGCAGACTCTGCACTAAGCGCAGAGCACGGCATGGGGCTCGATCTCACGACCCTGAGATCACGACCTGAGCCGAAACCAAGAGTTAGGCGCTTAACCCACTGCGCCACCCAGGCGCCCCTATGTTTTCTCATTTCAATAAAGAATATCCCTCCTCTCTTAAAATGTCAGAGTAATCCTAAATTCTTAGTCTTCACAGTCACCAAGCCTGAGGGACACTACCCTCTAAATAACTGACTGGAGCTGTACCTATCACGTAGATGAACCACACAAACACAGTGGTAATCAAAAAAATTAATACTTTAATCATGGGAAATAGCATATGTATATATAAATACACACATATGTGTGTGTGTATTTTTTTAATGAAGAAGTGCATGGGAATGATAAATTCAGGATTAGATTAGCTCTCTGAAGAAAAGGATACCATCACAGATGAACAGACTCTAAGTGGAAATCAATTTATTTATTTATTTTACAGAAAGAGCACGAGCCATGGAGAGAGGCAGAGGGAGAGGGAGAGGGAGAGAGAGAATCTTAGGCAGGCTCCACACCCAGTGGTAAGCCCAATGTAGGGCTCCATCTCACAACCCTGAGAATATGACCTGAGCTGAAATCAAGAGTCAGATGCTTAACCAACTGAGCCACCCAGGTGCCCCTAATTTTTACTTATTTTAAATAATCTCTACACCCAACATGGGGTTCAAACTCATGGCCCCAAGATCAAGAGTCACATGCTCTTCTGACTGAGCCAGCGGGGAGCCCAATGCAATCACTTCTTTCTTTCTTTTTTTTTTTTTTTAAGATTTTATTTATTTATTTGACAGAGAGAGACAAGGTGAGAGAGGGAACACAAGCAGGGGGAGTGGGAGAGGGAGAAGCAGGCTTCCCGAGGAGCAGGGAGCCCACTGCGGGGCTCGATCCCAGGACCCTGGGATCATGACCTGAGCCGAAGGCAGACGCTTAACGACTGAGCCACCCATTTCTTAAACTGAGTGGTAGAGACATTACTATGGGGTAGGCAACCCATTCCTTACAAGATCTTTAAAAATTAATCTAATTTCAAACAGTTTTCCATGCTCTTGAGTAGCTGTTCCCTCTGCCTAAAAGGCTTTTTTTTTTTTTAAAAGCAAGGACTTTTTTTTTTCTTGTCTGTGTCCATCTGAAGAATTGTATCTGAGTCATCCTTCAAAACAAATGTCAGGTTTCACTCTGTGACACCTTCTCTGACTTCCTCAGGAGATTTATTTTCTCTTTGGTGATTCCCCAAGCACTAGGCACGTACATGCTGGCGAGTTTTATGTCCTATTCTAATTCTTTCTCTCTCTCCATCTTGGTTTGCGTGTCTCTGGCTACGTCTCACAGTGTGGTCTGTAGATGAGCAGCACTGATATCTGGAATTTTCAGAAATGAGCAGTCTTAGGCCTCACCCCACAATCTGCATTTGAACAAAATTCCCAGGTGATTCCTTTGCACATTGAAATTTGAGAAACACCGCTGTAGAACAGTACTCCCAACGTGTGGGTCCCTGACTAGAACTGTTCATTTCTAGTCCAAGATAAATGCAGAAACTGAGAGCAAACATTTAGAAAGTTTTATAGCAATTGGACCAATTTTAGATTGTATCTAATTTTCAAGATGGGATTTGGATTTTACATGCTCTTGTTTTACTTCGTTTTTCTAGCAATCAATTTTTATTATATTTTATAGCAGTATCAGTCCCCAGGGTGCCTGGGTGGCGCCGTCATTTGAGTGTCCCTACTCTTGGTTTTGGCTCAGGTCATGTGTGATCTCAGGATCTTGGGATCCAGCCCCCCTTCAGTGGGCTCCACGCTCAGGGCAGAGCCTGGTTAAGATTCTTTCTCTGTCTCTTCCTCTGCCCGTCCCCCCACGCCGTGTGCACACACACACACTCTCTCTTTCTCAAATAAGTAAATCTTAAAAAAAAAAAAAAAAAGTATAAGTCCCCAGTGGATTGGAATTTTTAAGTCTTTTTTTTTTTTTTTTTAAAGATTTTATTTATTTGAGAGAGAGAGAACACCTGAGAGGGGATAGGGTCTGAGGACAAAGCAGACTCCCTGCCGAGCAGGAAGCCCGATGCGGGACTCGATCCCGGGACTCCAGGATCATGACCTGAGCCGAAGGCAGTCGCTTAACCAACTGAGCCACCCAGGCGCCCTTTAAGTCCTTTTTGAGAAGTCCCACATAGGTGGGTTTATTCTTTTTTTTTTTTTTTGCATTTAATAGGAGGTGTTCACAGTAGAGTTTCAGCAGCTGTTAATGAATAACTGCTTAGTGAAATATAACTATTTTTTGGCCTACATTTGAATTTTTGACAGCAAAATGTCCACCAGTACCTGGTTCAAGAGATAAGAACAACCCCGTGTATGTAGCTCCAACTATCAACAGTCCAATTAAGCGCCCAGAAAGAACCTTGAAAGAGAAGAAGCTTTTCAAGCTGACAGGAGATATTTTGGGTATGGAGAGCAAACAGCAATGTGTCCATCCTGCAGCACATTTCCCAGCAGAGGGGGAGTGAAAAGAAAGTGAGAATATAGGACAATGAAAAGCTATCTTAAAATACTCACCTTGAAAAAAATATGGACTCCAAGGCAGTGTGGTAAATGGGAAGACACCTGAACTCAGGAGTCATGAGATGTCCGCGTGTGCTTGAATCAGTCCCTTCCTCTGCGCACAGAGCATAATAACAGAGCGTGCTCTGTACGCTTCTCAGGCTGGAGGAAAAATTAATATGTTTTCTAAATGGCAACCCTCTCAGTGCAGGAGAACTGGGTCAGCACATACAGTGTTTGGGTTATCGGATTTCCTGGGCCAAAGAAGACCAATTCTGTGTTTATTGGCCTTCCCTTTCTTGTGGACATAGTCCATAGAGAGAGAGAGAAAGGTTGGGGGCGGGGTGCATTTATAAGAACTAAAATACGGCAATTTTCATGTGGGGTTTTGTGTACCTTATTTCAAGTAAACTTTCTGATTAGCGGCAGAATAATTCTGGGAAGGAATATAACAATGTTTGTGGGTACCACTGCATGCCAAATACATTGGCTCGTCTGTTTACAGCTGTTTGGTTGAACCATATGGAATTACCTTCACCTTTTAAATATGCCATGAAGGAGAGGGTGTAGAGAATTCATAAGCTAACCACTCAACTAATTTTTTTTTCATCTTCTATCCTCGTACAAATCCTCTTCCTTATCTTGTTGATGACGACAGTCTACTCAGCACAGAACTCGAATAGGTTTTACCTCCATCAGGCTATCCAGAAGAGTTTCTCCCACTGTTTCTCAGAGATCAGACTTCTGAAGCATTTCTACCCGTGGACCAATCGCACCTTCCTAACCTTTATGGGGTTACAGAGATACGGACACAGTTCTGGGCCCCAGCTTCTTGGATGCTTCTTGGTCAGTATTTTCTACCAGTTACCAACACTTTGTTGTAACTTTAGATCGTAAGTAAGCTGTATTCTGAAAGTTGTTGCATTCATTTATCTCAGGATTGGTGGCTTCCTTTTGGGATTTAGAACATCTCCTAGGTTCCTGGGGAAAGAAACCTAAAAGACATGCTCATCTCAGTAAAGGTGTTTTGGTGCATTTAGGAGAGCTTTTACAGATGGCAACTCCTATGCATTGCGTGTTGGTTCTTTTTTTTTTTTTTTAAGATATTTATTAACTTATTTAGAGAGTGTGTGTACCAGTGGGGGGAAGGGCAGAGGGAGAAGGAGAGTAAATCTCCAGCAGACTCCACGTTGAGCACGGAGCCCAAACAAGGGCTCAGCTGAGGGGCTTGATCTCCCAACCTGAGATCATGACATGAACTGAAATCAAGGGTCAGGCTGAGCCACCCAGGTGCCCTGCGTGTTGATTCTTTCTAGTTCAGTGTTGGATGGTGACGGTTCTAGGTTCAGCACACATTCTCTTTGCAGTCTGTAACTCTGTGCTGAATAAAGTACTGACTGAAGAAAAAGTGAATCGAGCCATGGGTACCCAGTGCCATCACCATGGGCTTCGTCCTCCTCCGTCTCCTTGGGTCTGCAGTACAGTGTTGAAAAGCACAGACTCGGAAGCCAGACTGGCCTGGTTCAGATCCTGGTGCTCTACCTATTAGCAGTGTGTTCTTGGGTAAATTACAACCTGTTGTGCCTCTGTTTCCCCATCTATATGATGAGGATAATCTTGGGACCTGCCCTATAAGATTGATGTGAAGATTAAAAACTCAGTGGATCTTAAAACAATGTCTGACCCATAGTATACACTGGGTAAGTGTTCACTATTATTATTAACGGGGGCAGTTGGGGCTCTGGCTAATCTGCTAGAAACACAAAGCATCCATGAGTTACCGGACATGCTAAGGAAGAACAACAGCAATCTATAGATACAGATAAAGAAATAGAATTAAGTAGACCTGAGGTGAAAAGCAGTAAAAATTGACCCTAACATGGTTTATCTCTTCAACTATTACCAAATCTTTGTTTTCAAAATTTTATGTTTTTCATTTTTTTTTCTATAGATTTTATTTATTTGAGAGAGAGCATGAGCAGGGGGAGGGGCAGAGGGAAAGGGAGAAGAGACTCCCCGGTGAGCAGGGAGCCCGATGCGGGACTCGATCCCAGGACCCTGGGATCAAGACCTGAGCTGAAGGCAGATGCTTAACCAACTGAGCCACCCAGGTGCCCCTATTTTTTTTTTTTCAAGATTTATTTATTTATTTTAGAGAGAGAGAGCATGCAGATATATCTGCAAGATGAATATCTTGAATGTGCTAAAGTGTGTATACATTCTTAATTTTAAAAGGTATTTCCAGGGGCGCCTGGGTGGCTCAGTTGGTTAAGCGACTGCCTTCGGCTCAGGTCATGATCCTGGAGTCCGGGATCGAGTCCCGCATCGGGCTCCCTGCTCGGCGGGGAGTCTGCTTCTCCCTCTGACCCTCCTCCCTCTCGTGCTCTCTGTCTCTCATTCTCACTCTCAAATAAATAAATAAAATCTTTAAAAGGTATTTCCAGTCTTCTCCTTATTATACCATTTAACACTCCCATGAGCAATGTCTGAGTCTACCCACATCCCCCAAAGCCCAGTGAAAACCGGTGTTTTCAAACAATACCCGAGCTATGGAATAGATGAAAGGCTTTGCAAGTGCCTTCATGAGAAAATGCAAGTCAAAACTAGAGGAAGGCACCATTTTCCACCTCTCATTTGGGCAAACCTTGCCTCTGCTTTTGCCTTCTTCATTCCATCCTCCCTGTACTATTGTTTTCAAACATAAATCTGTATTCTTCCCCTGTTCAAAACCTCCCGATAGATTCCCATCATACTTAAAATTGCAGACCCTTGGGGCGCCTGGATGGCTCACTCTTTAAGCATCTGCCTTCGGCTCAGGTCATGATCCCAGAGAATGGTGTGAGGTGATACCTCGTTGTGGTTTTGATTTGCTTTTCCCTAATGGTTAGTGATTTTTACATATACTGTTGGCCATTTTTCGTCTTTAAAAAAATGTATATTCAGGTCCTTTGCCCGTTTTTAAATCGGTTATTTGGGTTCATTTGTGTGGTATTCAGTTTTGTGAGTTCCTTATGTATTTTGGATATTGACCCCTTATTAGATGCATGATTTGCAAATATTTTCTCCCATTTAATAGTTTGCCTTTTTGATTTGTTGGTTTCCTTCACTGTGCAGAAAGTTTTTAGTGGTTGTAGTCTCATTTGGTTAATTTTTGCTTTTGATGTCCTCTCCAAAGGGCTGCCAAGACCAATGTCAAGGAGCTTTGCTCCTGTTTTCTTCTAGGAGTTTTAAAGTTTCAGGTCTTATAGTTAAGTTGGTAATCCATCTGGAATTGATGGTCGTATGTCATATAAGGAAAGGGTCCAGTTTCATTCTTTTGCATACAGGTATCCAGTTTTTCCAGCACCATTTGTTGAAGAGACTGTCTTTCCCTATTGTATCTACTTGGGACCCTTGTCATAGATTAGTTGGCCGTATATGCATGAGTTAATTCTGGGCTCTGTATTTAGTTCCACCATTCTGTGTATCTGTTTTTATGCCAATACCATACAGTTTTGATTACTGTAGCTTTCATAGTATAGTTTGACATTAGGAAGTGTGATGCCTCCATCTTTTTCTTTCTCAAGATTACTTCGTCCATTTGGCGTATTGGGTGGGGTTCATACAAATTTTAGGATTGTTCTTCTATTTCTGTGGGGGAAAAAAAATGCCATTGAATTTTGATGGGGATTGCCCTGAATTTGTAGATGACTTTGGATGGTATGGACATTTTAACAATATTCTTTCAACCCATAAACATGGGATATTTCCAGTTATTCATGTCTTCATTTCTTTCATCAGTGTCTTACAGTTTTCATTCTACAGATCTTTCACTTTCTCAGTTAAATCTACTCCTAAGTATTTTATTCTTTTTGATGCTCTTGTAAACGAGATTATTTTCTTTATTTTTCATTGGTAGTTCATTGTCATTGTAACAAAATGCAGCTGATTTTTGTGTACTGATTTTATATCCTGCAACTTTACTAAACTCATTTATTGGTTCTCACGGGTTTGTCTTTTTTTTTGTTTGTTTTGGTGGTCTATAGGGTTTTCTGTATATAAGATCATGTTATCTGTAAACAGACAATTTAGTTTCTCCTTTCTGATTTGGATTCCTTTTACTTCTTTTTCTTATATAATTTCTTTGGCTATGATTTCCAATAGTATGTTGAATAGAAGTGGCCAGAGTAGGTACCCTTGTCTTATTCCTGATCTTAGAGGAAAAGATTTTAAGCTTCTCACAATTATGATGTTAGCTTGACATACATGGTCTTTATTATGTTAAGGAGCATTCCTTCTGTGCCTAATTTGTTGACAGTTTTTATCATGGAAGGATGTTGAATTTTGTCAGATATTCTTTGTGTATCTTTTGAGATCATCATATAATTTAATCCTTCATTCTGCTAATGTGGTGTATCATGTTTATTGAATTGTGTATGTTGAATCATCCTTGCAACTCAGGGATAAATCCCACTTGGTTACAGCGTATGATCTTTTTAAACATACTTTTGAACTTCATGTGTTAGCATTTTGTTGAGGATTTTTGCATTTGTGCTCATCAGGGATATTGGCCTGTGATTTTCTTTTCTTGTATGTTTTGGTATGAGGATAATGTTGGCCTCATAAAATGAATTTTGAACAGTTTCCTCCTTTTTAATTTTTTGGAAGAGTTTGAGGATGGATATTAATTCTTCTTTAAACGTTTGGTAGAATTCACCCATGAAGCTATCTGGTCCTGGTCTTATCTTTGTTGGGAAGTTTTTTATTACAGTCTCCATACTTGTTATTAGTCTGTTCAGATTTTCTATTTTGTCATTATTTAGACTTAATAAGTTGTGTGTTTCTAGGAATTTATCCATTTCTTCTAAGTTGTCTAGTTTGTTGGTGTACAATTGTTCATGGTAGTCTCTTATAATCCTTTGTTTTTGTGTTACCAGTGTTAATGTCTACCCTTTAATTAGTAATTTTATTTGAGTCCTCTTTTTCTTGGTTTAGTCTAAAGGTGTATCGGTTTTGTTTATCTTTCAAAACATTTTTATTTTTGTATTTTCTATTTAGTCTTTATTTCATTTATTTCTGCTCTGATATTTATTATTTCCTTCCCTCTGCTAACTTTGGGCTTAGTTTGTTCTTCTTTTACTAGTTCCTTGAAGACCAAAGTTAGCTTGTTTATTTGAGATCTTTTTTCATAAAATAGGTGTTTATTGCTATAAAATTCCCTCTTTAAACTGCTTTTGCTGCATCCCATAAGTTTGATATGACGTTTTACTTCCATTTTTGTTTGTCTCAAGAGGTACTTTTTAATTTCCTAATTAAACCCATTGATTGTTCAGAAGTGTGTTGTTGAATTTCCATGTGTTTGTGAATTTTCCAATTTGTGTCCTGTTACTGATTTCTAATTTAACACCATTGTGGTCAGAAAAGATACCTGATATATATGGTTTCAGTCTCCTTAAATTTAAGACTTGCTTTGTGGCCCAACGTAGGACCTATCCTGGAGAATGTTCCATGTGCACTTGAGAAGAATGTGTATTCTGGTTGAATGGAGTGTTCTGTATATATCTTTTAGGTCCATCTGGCCCATAGTGTTAACAAGTCTGCCATTTCCTTATTGATTTTGTCTAGACAATCTATCCATTGTTGAAAGTAGGGTATTGAAGTCCCCTACTATTACTGTATTGCTATCTATTTCTTCGATGAGGTAACATTTACTTTACATATTTAGATGTTCCAGTGTTGAGTGCATATATACTTACAATTGTCTTGTCCTCTTTATGAAGTGAGCCCTGTATCACTTTACCACAAATGACCTTCCTTGTCTGTTGTGACTGAGTTTAGCTGAAATTCTATTTTATCTGTTAAAAGTTAGAGCTACTTCTGCTCTTTCTTGGTTGCCATTTGCATGGAATATTTTTTTCCCATGCCTTCAGTTTCAGCCTGTGTGTGTACTTAAAATTAAAGTGGGTCTCTTATAGGCAGTATATTATTGGATCTTGTATTTTTACCATTCAGTCATTCTGTCTTTTTATTGAAGAATTTAATCTGTTGACATTTAATTATTGATAAGAACTTACTTTTGGCACTTTATTTTCTGATTGTTTTGCAGTTCCTTTGTTCCTCTTTTATTCTCTTGCTACCTTTTTTTGTGATTTACTTTTTGTAGTGGTATGCTTTAATTCTCTTCCCTTCATCTTTTTTGCATTTATTAAAGATTTTGCATTAGTGTTCTCATAAGGCTTATGTAAAATATCTTACAACAGTCTGTTTTAAGCTGAAAACAGCTTACTGTTAATCACATACAAAAACTCTGCACTTTGAGGTGCCTGATTGGCTCAGTCAGTAGTATGCAACTCTTGATCTCAGGGTTGTGAGTTCAAGCACATTGGGCATAGAGATTACTTAAAAAAAAATAAAAATAAACAAGATTGTGCTGCCTGTACATTAAAAAACAAAACTCTACACTTCTCCTTTCCCTGCGCTTTATGTAATTGATGCCTTTCTTTTTATGCTGTCATCCATTAACATATTATTGTAGTGGTAATTTTTAACACTCTTGTCTTTAACTTTTATACTAAAGATAAAAGTGACTTACACACCATTACAGTATTACCAAATTCTGAATTAGACTATTTATCTTTACCAGTGACTTTTATATTTTCATGTTGTTACATAGCATCCTTTCCTTTCAGCTAAAAGAATTCCCTCTAGCATCTCTTGTAAGACAGATCTGGTGGTGATGAACTCCCTAATCTTTTGTTTGTCTGGGAATGTTTTTTATCTCTCCTTCACTTCTGAAGGACAGTTTTGTTGGTTATAGTAGTTTGGGTTGGGTTTTTTTTTTTTTTCTTTCAGCACTCTGAATATATCATTCTACTCCCTCTGGCCTGCAAGATTTCTGCTGAGAAATCTGATAGCCTGGGAGGTTTTCTCTGTGTGTGTAAAGTTGTTTTGTTTTGTTTTTTTCTTGTTTTTCTCAGAATCCTCTGACTTTGACTTTTAACAATTTGATAAACAGTAATGTATCTCAGAGTACTCTTCTTTGGGTTGATCTGACTTGGGATCCTTTGAGCTTCATGTACCTAGATGTTTATATCTTTACAAAATTTGGGAAGTTTTCAACTGTTGTTTATTTAAATAAGCTTTCTGCCTCTTTCTCTCTCCTCCTCCTCTGGGACTCCCCTGATAGGTATATTTGTTCTTTTGACAGTGTCCAGAATCGATATAGGCTTTCTTCACTCTTTGTCATTGTTCCTTGAACTGGCTAATTTCAAATGACCTATCCTCAACTTCACTGGTTCTTTCTTCTGCATGATCAAGTCTACTGTTGAAGCTTTGTATTGAATTTTTCAGTTCTATCATTGAATTATTCAGCTCCAGATTTTCTGTTCAGTTGTTTATGGTTTTTATTTATTAAAATTACCATTTTGTTCCTGCATTGTCTCCCTGATTTCATTTATTTGTGTTCTCATGCATTTCACTGCGTTTCTTTAAGAAGATTATTTTGAGGGCGCCTGGGTGGCTCAGTTGGTTAAGTGACTGCCTTCGGCTCGCGTCATGATCCTGGAGTCCCGGGATCGAGTCCCACATCAGGCTCCCTGCTCAGCAGGGAGTCTGCTTCTCCCTCTGACCCTCCTCCCTCTCATGCTCTCTGTCTCTCATTCTCTCTGTCTCAAATAAATAAATAAAATCTTTAAAAAAAAAAAAAAAAAGATTATTTTGAATTCTGAGGCAGTCCCCAGAGCTCCATATCTTTGGAGTCATTTAGTGGAACTTGATTAGTTTCCTTTGATGGTGTCATGTTTGATTCTTTGTGATCCATATAGTCTTTCATTGGTGTTTTTTGCATTTGAAGGAGCAAACACCCTTTCCAGTCTTTACAGACTGGTTTTGGCAAGTAAAGACCTTCTTCTGTCAGTTCCCCAGGCTCATGAGATTACCTCCAGAATCTAAATTGATCTGGGATGCAGCCAGGTCATGTGGCAGTTGTTACGTCCACAATGGGGTCCACAATTTGTAGGCCTGTTACCAGGGGCTCAGATGGCTGTGGATCTGGTCTGGTCTCTGGGTGGACAGGATTGACTGCAGAACCTTGTTCAGTGGGGCTGGCATTGGGACGAGGGTTGGAGTAGAGCAGGCCTATTACCAGCTGCAAGAATGAGTGTGGCTCCCACCAGATTTCTGAGAGGGCTCCTGCTGGGTCACTGGGTAGGTCCCTGGGCAGGCAGGATGAGCCCTAGACTGTGGCTGAGAAGGACTAGAACTGAGTCTCCAGGCTCTTCAGGATCCACAGCCAGGACCAGTGTCTACAGACCTGGTTCTGGAGGGATGGATAAGTGTGTCCCCAACCAGGACTGCTCCCTGACCATGGCTGGGATGGCCTGGAGCCAAGTTAGAAGTTTCAGGATCTGAAGTCAGACAGGGTTGGTAGGCTTGTCTCCAGGAGCACTGACAAGTCTCTGGACTAGCTGGTCTGCTCATTTACATAACCAAGAGGAGCTGGAGTCCAGTTAAGGGCTATTTCAGGATCTACAGACAGAGTTTGGTGAGCTTGCCTCCAGGGACTTTTGGACTGTGGCTGAGAGGGACTAGCACTCAGAACTAAGGTCTGCAGGCCTGTTATCTGAGACACAGGCAGAAGTGACTCCTGGGTCCCTTGCTTTATGGTGCTGCTGGCAGGACCAAGACCAAAAGGTGCTGTAGCCAAGTCCACAGGGGGACAGAACTATTTCTGGGTCTGTTGTCAGGACCACAGTTGGTGAGTCAGCCATCTGGGCATGGACCTGCCGTCTCAGAATGGCCTTTGTCAGTCTTGGACTCCACCGGGGTTTCACAATCCCCTTGATCCCAAGGCTCCCACAGAGGCACTTTAGTCTGTGGATGGCTGCCAAATTACTGTTGCCGAGAGGAGATGCAAGCAGGGCACCTCCTATTTCACCACATTGCTGATGCCTTTCAGTTGATTCTCATGATTTATCTAGATCATCTATGTATCATTTAGAAATTACAATCATTTCACTTCCTTATTTTTATGCCTCTTATTTCTTTTTCTTACCTGGTTGCATTAGCTAGAAATTCCAAATATATTTTTTAAAATAGTGGTGAAAATGTGCATTTTGTTACTAACTTAATGAAGCATTTATAAAAACGGTTTCTTGTACTCTTTTTGTTAGGGTTTATTACTGATGGGAACTCCTTTCTTTTGGGCAATGTTCTGCTTCGTCAGATTCGCATTCCCAGTGCCCTATTCCTTCCAACTGGAGTGTCTCCCCAAGAACAAGCAAAGCCATCTCCCCAAGATCAGGAGGATACAGAGAACTATGGAGTAAACTGGGGCCCCTCTGATACAAACATCACAAAATCAGACAGCATTTGGCATTATCAGAATCAAGAGATGCTGGGTGGCTATCCTATCCAAGGGGAATTTGCCACTTACTCAGGAGGAGGGTATGTTGTGAGACTTGGAAGAAGCTCGCGTACTGCAATCAGGTGAGCAAGCCTGAGCCCTGGACAAGAGAACCAGGGTGTGTCCCTTCTTAGGACAGTTACACCTGCCATAATGCTACTCGCCCTTGTCTGTGACACTTCTTAGACTTTTAAGGAAATGTATCTTTTAGTTTAAAAATTCCTTGTTCAACCTCAAACCACAGGTATGTTTTTGGTTTGGCAATTTGCCAAAACTCATTTTTTTTTTTTTCCTCGTCTGGGAAAACACCTAGCAGTTTCAACTCAGGTATCTCTAGTTTAGACAAACTGTATCTTCAAATTTAAGAGGATGCATTGCCCTTCATGAACCATAATCAGTCCAAAATTCATAGTCAAATTTCCAGAGAGTTTAGAGTGTTTTTGTATGTGTATGTGATAAGAATTTTAATCATTGTATATGAAAAGGCTTAAATTATCTCTTCATTTAAATTTATAGCAAGAATTTACTCAAAAACATGGGGAGTCGTCTTCTCCCTCTCCCTCTGCAGCTCCCCCTGCTTGTGCTTTCTCATGCTCTATCAAATAAATAAAATCTTAAAAAATAAATAAAGAGTGGCATTTAACATTTAGAAGTAAAAGTAGAGGGCGCCTGGGTGGCTCAGTTGGTTAAGCGACTGCCTTCAGCTCAGGTCATGATCCTGGAGTCACAGGATCGAGTTCCGCATCGGGCTCCCTGCTCGGCGGGGGGTCTGCTTCTCCCTCTGACCCTCCCCCCTCTCATGCTCTCTCTCTCTCTCTCATTGTCTCTCTCAAATAAATAAATAAAATCTTTTTTTTTTTTAAAGACTTTATTTATTTATTTGAGAGAGAGAATGAGAGAGAGCACATGAGAGGGAGGAAGGTGAGAGGGAGAAGCAGACTCCCTGCCGAGCAGGGAGCCCGATGCGGGACTCGATCCCAGGACTCCAGGATCATGACCTGAGCCAAAGGCAGTCGCTTAACCAACTGAGCCACCCAGGCGCCCCATCAAATAAATAAATAAAATCTTTAAAAAAAAAAAAAAAAGAAGTAGAAGTAGAGTAATAGAGATAGCTGACATAAAATAATTCTACCCTAGATGTTAAACGCCAAATACGTTTTCTTGAACATATAACCCTGATGTGAATGCTATTATGAACTTTCATCTTTATAGTCTTCTAAATTTATATTTGTGTTAACTAACACTAGTGAAAGTTTGGGCATTAGTAATAATACTTCTTAGGCAAACAATATTTGGAAATGTAGCTTTGCAACTGGTATGTGATACTGGAAATGCCAGGGCATTTTTCTCCTTTGCAGGATTGAATGGAGAAAGTAGCTGACCCTGTCCTTCTGTTTTCCTAGAGTTCTGCAGCATCTTGAACAGAGCCACTGGCTTGACCATTGTACCAAAAGCCTCTTTGTGGAATTTGTGGTGTTCAATGCTAATATGAACCTGTTCTGTGTAGTGACCCTGATTTTGGAGTCCAACAATGTGGGTACGAAGGTCTCTTCTGTCTTCTCTCTCTGACCTGGGTATTTCTGGAGAAGGCTCAGTTTCTTTATTTTATACCATTAAAAGAATATTTTAATTAAAGTATTAAATATAATTTAAAAAGTTAAGTAGTTCAAGGCAAAAACTAGCAGTCCTCTCTTCCTCCCCACCTCACTCCCCTTCCCTAGAGACAGTTACCTCCAGCTTTTTTAATGGGTTCTTTGAAATTTAAAAATTAACATGGTTATTACTTATTTCATGAATTTTCAGTTTTAGATATTATCTATTTCTTCCTATGATGATGAGTATTTAACTTTCTTAAACCCACACATAACACACACACACTTTTCTCTTACCTTGTTCTCCCAATATAGTAATAATTTATGGTTAGTTTAATATTTATTTCCATTATTGTGATTATCTAAATGATTTCTCAAAGATGAGCCATGTAATGTATTACAATTTCTTTTTTTCTACAACATTTTCCTTAGAGTTTATAATTACCTTTATTTCATTTGCTTGGTTTTGCATTGGTTTGCAAACTCCTCCTAGAAGTAAAAATCTCATTCTGTTCAAAAAGTATCAAGCAACCTATTATTTTATCTTTTAAAAGATAAAAGGCCCTCTCTGGGGCCCTCCATCCTTTTGGTACAATTGAGATTGGTTATTCTTTGGGTCTGCTGTACAACGCTCATCCTGGATTCTCCCTATCATCCTGGGGATTATCCTAACATCTCTCCTCTGTTGGATCTTCTTTCTCCTGAATCCCATGTTTTCCTCTCTGGGTTTACTTTCTCATTTGGCTGGAGCATATCCCCCAGGAAATTACTACAAGGGTGCAGAAGAAGTAAATTTTTTTAAGCCTTCAAGGTCCAAAAATGTTCTTACCTGCCATCATACTTGATTGCTAATTATTCTGGATACCGTTGTTTTTACAGAATTTTGAAAAGTATAGCTCCATTGCCTTCTAGCTTCTCATGTTGTTGTTAAGAAGTATGATGGGGGGGGCGCCTGGGTGGCTCAGTTGGTTAAGTGTCTGCTTTTGGCTCGGCTCACGATCTTGCGGTCCTGGGACTGAGCCCCATCGGGCTCCCTGCTCATTGGGAAGCCTGCTTCTCCTTCTCCCTCTGCCTGCCGCTCTGCCTACTTGTGCTCTCTTTGTCAAAAAAAAGATGATGATGCCCCAACTCCCAAAAGTTTTTAGAACTTTCTCTCTCCTCATGGTGAGTCCTTTAACCTGGAAATGTGTCCTTAGGTTCTGAGAAATTTTCTCACAGATTTCTATTAATTTCTTCTCCATTTTCTCTGTTCTCTTTTTCTGGTATTCCTGACATTTTGACACTGGGATGCCTGGACTGATCCTTTAATTTTTCTTATTTTTGCTTTTCCATCTTTTTCTTCTAGTTTCTGGGAGACAAATTCAATAAGTGGTTTGAAATTTGAAGTATTCATCTTGATAATTTAATTTTCAAGAATTGTGTTTGTCCTCACAATATTTTTTTCATAGTATCCTGTTCTTTTATGGACACGGTATCCTCTTTTAACTCTCTGAGAATGTTACAGGCTTTTTTTTTTTTTTTTCCTCCTGCTCTTTCACTTTCTCTAATGCCTCTGAACTTCTTTTATTTTTTTTTTTTATTTGGTCTCCAGTTTTAGTGTTGAGGTTCAGTATGTGGCTGTCTTTTCATATTGAAGACAGAGACAGTAAAAAGCAAATAAATACTAGTTAGAAGCTCTTTGTTCATGGAAAGAGCTTGTCGACTGTTATCAATGTCTTTCGGACAGTTTTCACAATGAGGGACCCTCCAAACTCCTGCTTTGAGGATGTCTGCCTTTTAGACCTCTCAGAGCCTGTTGAGAAAAGGGGCTGGGAGGCATCTCACCATGCAGTATAAAAACTTGTTCTTAGGGGCGCCTGGGTGGCTCAGTCGGTTAAGTGTCTGACTCTTGATTTCAGCTCAGGTCATGGTCTCAGGGTCTAAGATAGAGCCCTGAGTTGGGCTATGCACTGAGCTGGGAGCCTGCTTAGGATTCTCTCCTCTCTCCTCCTCCCTCTGCCCCTCCCCTGCTCATGTGAGCACTCTGTTTCTCTCTTCTCTCTCAAAATAAAAATAAAAAGCTTTTTCGGAATTCTTTCCTAGTAGACCACTACTTGCAAATAGACCTGGTGCTCCTGACTTCAGATTCTCTCTAGTTCAACAATAGGTAATAAACCTTTAGTTTTAGTGTGGTGGAAGGCAGGATGAATAGCAAATACCTAGTTGTGAATGGTGAGGGAGGCAATCTGGGATCTAATTGTTTATGTTCACACTTGCAATCAGTTATATTTTCAGTTTCATCTGACCTTACATTCAGAAGTACCTAATGCCGGCAATTTTCCAGCCTTTCTGGGTTTGCTTCTGCGTTTTCTATACAGCTGACTTTGCCTTTAGCTTTCTTGAATCTGCTGTCCGTGTCATTCTTCTGTTTTCCAGCTTTCAGTAGTTTGTTGCTGTCATCTACCCTCCTTTTTCTTTGGGTTGTTTTTTTATCCTGTCACTATCATTAGAGTGGCATTTTATGAGATTAGAGGGAAGCTCGTATATTCAATTCTCCTACCTTTAACAGGAAGTCTTTCCTAATCAAACTTCCTTTGTCTTCTCTTCCCCAGAATTTGCCCACTAGTATCCTTCCATTTACCACCAGGTGTTACTTCTGATCAGGAGTTGTATACTTTGAGTAGACTTCTACACTTCTAAATGAAGCATGAAGGCTTCCTGTGGGTCTTCATAGGGTTTTTTATTGTTAGTAACTACCAAAAAACAAAACAAAAAAACAAAGAGGGCTGAAGTAAACATGGGAAAGTCCCAGTCTTAAGAGCTAAAAATGTGAAGTAGGAATTCCTTTTATTCTTAAATGTACTTTCTACTATAAGGGACACATCTTAATTCTAATATTTTAGGGCTTTATGAAAGTTTATATTCACAAGACCTTTCATGATTTTATAAACAACTGTCTCACTGTCCTTCTAGGTAGAATCTGAGCCTTTTTAGTCTACTCTTATATAAATGTCTGAGTATCCCCAGGATACTATTAGTATTCATGGGATATTACTTCAGTTACTTTTAAAAAGTAACTAAATTTGAAATGGCTCAGAGCACTTTCGTCATACTAATTTTAAAGAGCTTTAAATTCCATTCTCCCCACACTTTACATTGCAGTCATCAGTTCTCTACCAAACATCATATGGCAAGAGTACAACTAGTCGGTGCATCTCTGCACCTGTTCTCGCTTGGCAAGGGCAACACCTGTTAACAGCTCTGAAGTCACAGACAGTACCCTCGAGGTAGGATCGCAAGTATATCCTTCCCCTCTACTGACTAGTGCAAACAGTGCATTTCTCCAATAGTTATGCATGTGTGATCTCAGTTAATATCCATGAGAGCTCTAGAGGAAATACCAAGTGAAGTGTAGAGATTCCGGAACAGTTGAAATAGATAATCCACGTAGGGCAGCTGGGTGGCTCAGTCGGTTAAGTGACTGGCTCTTGCTTTTGGCTCAGGTCATGATCTCAGGGTTGTGAGACTGTGCCCTACATCAGGCTCCATGTTCAGCACAGTCTGTTTGGGATTCTCTCCCTCTCCCTCTGCCCTTTCCCCCACACATGCTCTCTCGCTCAAATAAATAAAATCTAAAAAAAGAGAGAGATAATCCAGGAACAGTTGCACTGATTTCAAAGACAGAACTTGAAAGGAAGAGGGCACAAGCTTTGAAGACTCTTGACTCTAGGTGTTCTTTGTTGTTCTCAGGTGCGTTCTTCCCCTCGCTGAGACTGGACACTTTAACTTCCCTTCAGGCATCAAAGAAGGACTTTGCTTGGTCTCTCATCTCACAAGTCATCTATTACCTACTAGTCTGTTACTGTGCCTTTGTACAGGTGAATTGAAAGCGTCAGATGTAAGAAATTCTCAAGATTTCCCGTGTCATCAGGGGAGCTCCACAATGAGCTATTACAAGAATTATGGCTATGACTTTGGTCCTTTCCAGAGCCTGAATTCAGCTAAAGGCTGACTGGCTTTCCACCAAGTAGCTCTTCCAGTTTTCAAGAGTTAAGGAATTAAGGCTGTAAAAAGAATATTACTTTTTTTGTACAGTTGTATTATCCCTACATAAGGTAACAGCAAGAATTGAAAATATGATGAACAGAGCAAGTACTCAAAAGTACAGGTAATGGCACCAAAACAGAATCTATCTTAAAAAAAATTTTTTTTCTTTTAAATAAAAGAATCTGTATCTTAGGACAACATATCTTATTTTCAGGCTTGATAAGTAATTTGATAACCTTTTTAAATTTAAGCAACAAGAATGAAATAATGAGTATATCCAATGCAAGTTGTATTAGAGAAAGCCAGCTTTTCTATAAGCAGCAGCTGAGTGACTATCGTACAGAACCAAGACCATAACCCATTGTGTCCAAGTTAGATTTGACAGATCCCCAGCTTAGTGTTTTGCCACTGTTAAAATACTTCATTAGGGAAAGACCTGGCTAATCTTTAAGGCAAGCAGTAGTGACTGTGGGGTCTCTGTTTAGGGTCATCGGCGGAAACAGCAGAGGTGGAGGTTCTTCACTAGGAAAAGAAACACTCTGGACACGAGCATAATCCTCATTAGCTTTGTCCTCCTGGGTCCTGACATGAAGCTTACTTCTCTGCATGAGAAAAACATGGCACAATACCACTATGCCCGGGACAGGTAAGAGGGAGCCTGAGGAGCACAGTCTATTCCTGTTCAATGTCTAAAGTCTCCTGATTACAAACAAGTATTCTTTCAAACTCTCCTTCCTCTTCCACTGCTCTATCAGACCTATATTGTATAATACCAGAGTTAGAGAACTCAGATGAATGTCCACAACTGAGAAAATAATTAAGAAACTGTTTATACTGCTTATCACATTGAAAATCTCTTCTGCCTTCATAATACTTAGGTATGTGCTTGTCAAGGGTAATGCATTTAAATTTCATACAGCAAGGACCTGGAATTAGTCCTATTTTGCACCCTGGCCAAAGACTAAAGGCTGAGGCATGACAAATGATCATCCTTTAAATAAAACCACAACCCAGTGCATTTTTTAAAACCAAAGGGGGTTGCTTTCTGGGTAGGGATGTCCATCCATTAGCTTATCCATACTTAAGAGACATTCTGGTGCCCCTTTGGACACCTTCTGTGGTCTTTCCCATGGGGAAGAGCATCTATTTCCCAGACCAAGTATTGCCACGTGGTACTTTATTTTTTCAGTGGCCAGTAGTCTGGACTGCTGATCTGCATAATGAGAAAATACCCCAGGTCATCCTTACAGAGGGCCATTTATGCAGGGACAGTGTGTGCAGTTTAAATGATGTTGACAGTTGAGGTCCATCTTGCCATATGGCACTGCCTAGGTCTTAGACACTAAAGCAGTTGTGATCAAGTGCCAATTTGCTCTACCTGTGGGCGTCTTTCCACGTAACCTAGTTGCTGCAACACAAGATTATGAATATGTTTCACACATAACACTCACTTCTAGTTTATCAGTCTTTTTTTTTTTTAAGATTTTATTTGTCAGTGTGCCTGGGTGGCTCAGTCGTTGAGTGTCTGCCTTCAGCTCAGGTCATGGTCCCGGGGTCCTGGGATCGAGCCCCGCATTTGGCTCCCTGCTCAGTGGGAAGCCTGCTTCTCCCTCTCCCACTCCCCCTGCTTGTGTTCCCTCTCTTGCTGTGTCTCTGTCAAATAAATAAAAAAATCTTTAAAAAAAAAAAAATTTTGTCTGTCAGACCAAGCACAAGCAGGGGAAGTGGCAGGCAGAGGGAGAAGCAGGCTCCGTGTTGAGCAAGGAGCCTGATGCAGGACTCCATCCCAGGACCGACTGAGCCACCCAGGCGTCCCTATCAATCATCTTTCTACTTTTAGCACTCTTACACCTATGAGATCAATTATCCCCAGAGAATACAGGATTAGAGTGCTACAGAAAACAGACTAGCACAATGGCACATCTCATGAGGCTAACTCCTCTCGAGACTGGGCATTTAACTCAAACCAGAGTAGCGGAGGAGGCCGGCCTTGATTTGCAGAATGAATTTTGAGTAATCTGCTGGGGGTTGTATTTCAGGGTTTCTTAAGATCTCCCAACCAAATACATGGCCTCTGGCCAATGCTCTCACATCCACAAGTACTGGAGGCCACACTGGAAAGGAGAGTTATTGCATCAATAAGTATTTGACCTAATGGGACTCACAGAGCTGCTACACTTGAGCAGGGGAAGCACTGGAGAAATGGATGGCAGACACCAGCTGAGTAACTGTCGGCCTTCCTTGGTACAGGTTCATCAGCTTCTATGAGGCAATAAAAGTCAACTCAGCAGTCGTTCACCTCATCGGCTTCCTGGTTCTGTTGGCAATTGTTCAGCTGTGGAACCTGCTGCACCATCACCCCAGGCTGCAGGTCATCGGTAGAACACTCAGCAAAGCCTGGGACGAGGTGGTGGGCTTCTTGCTGGTCATCCTGATCCTGCTCACAGGCTACGCCATTGCTGTAAGCCCTCATTCCCAGTGTCTTTTCCCAAATGCTGTGTGGCCTTGGAATCACATTGCTTCCCAAGAAAGCACTATATACGGAAAACCATCAGTTCAAGTGGGCAGTGAGTTTTGGAAAAAACAGTGGAGTAAGAAAGCTGGTTTTTAGTTGTAGTTCCATACTTAACCAGCAGTACGACTTAAACGCAGACATCTGTCTCATCTCCTCAAATTTAGCTCACAGGGTGATGTGAAGGTCAAATAAATTGATAGGAAAATGCTATGTAATTACAAAGGAATTTTTTTTTTTAAGGCATAGTGACTTGAATGGCCAGTAAGGCATTTCTTTGATTTCCAGCCCCTTTGGTCCTGTGTTGGCCTCCTTATCTAGCCAGGAGGGAAAGAGGTGACTTCAGCCTTACTGCTCTCTACCCTCTAATTACTATTTCTCCTTTTCAGTTTAACCTGTTCGGCTGGAGCGTCTCTGACTACCGGACTTTCTTCAGCTCAACAGTGACTGTTGTTGGTCTCCTAATGGGAATCTCTCATCACGAGGAGGTGAAAACCCCATCCTGGCTTCCCTGCAGGATTCTATTTTGTTTACAAGGCGAGAATTGCTTACAACAGCAGCCCCTTCTGTACCACGGCACACCTGTGCTATCTGCATACAACTTGAGGGGCTATTACTTTCAGAAATGTGTCCCCTTTTCAAGCACCTAGTCCCAATTTCCTCACTTCTTAGTCTTATTTTCAGGATGCTCGGCCTGAATTTATGCTCTCATAACCTGGCCAGATTAGTATTATTTGCTGCTTCTTTCTCAGTGGCCCTTTGAAGTGTACAATGAAAATGCCTTTTAAAAAAAATTAGGGCGGTACAATTCCAGAAAGAAGGGCAATATTTCTGTTCATAGTTAATCAATGCTTATTTCAGAGAGGCTGTTGTTCTCCCCCAAGAACTACCAACACAAATCTCTCTTCTATATTAAATAGGAAACCCAGATGAGGATTTGGGGCCCTAGCATATATAGATTCGATCAGGACAGAAAAAACTACAATTCAAATTAGTGAAATTGTTAAGATTTTCATGAAGTCTAACCTTTTGAAAATCTAGACCTCAAATGTTAGTAATTAAAATGGGCAAGTTTACATAGTTTCTTAACATAGTTTCTAACGTGGAAAGTTCTCACCTTCCTAAGATCTGAAAAAGACTTGTTACAGTTCTAGGTTCAATTAGGGAATGAAGTCTTCACCCTTGGAACACTTTATATACTAAGACACTTAAGGAAGTAACAGAACAATGAGCTTTTGCTAACACCTCCTTTTTGACTTAAAAAAACCTCTAATAATACAATGAGAAGGAAAATGGAGTATACTAGTATAAGAAAAATGGTGCAAATTACTTGGTTGACCTAGAGTAGTTATAATTAAGCAATATCTGGTCATACAGATTTCCATCAGTGATATTTATTTTAAGCATTCCTCCTCTAAGTTGTTGGGCTGTTGCTGGTTTTTGGTTTGGTTTTGTTTTTTAACAGTACCCTAATGGCAACAGTGAATGAGCCAATACCAAGGGAAAATAAACATCATTTGTTAAAATGAACATGTAAACTACTCTTACGGAAACCACCCTAGGTCCTGTATTTGAGAATGATCTCTTCATGCTGAAAAGTAAAGAATGGCAAAAATCAGTACTTACTTTGAAAAGGTAACACCAAAAAAACCCCCAAAAAACAAAGTAAAAGCCAGTTTTTTTATGGTTAACTTGTTAAATTTTATTGGAATGCTCCGGTTTATAGAGGTTCTTAGAATGGCAGAAACAATTTTTATGATTTCTGATGTTTATTCTTTCCATATGCTTTTGCTACTTTCAAGCTTCTGTGCTTATATTTTCTAGAGGTGTCAAATCACATGGGCTTTAAATCATTTTAGTGATTTAGTGCCACTGTGACTTACCGGTTTTCTTGTGAAAGCCCTGAAGTCAACTATTTTTATACCCATCAAGCCTGTCATTCATGTTCTTCTGTCCACTCAAAAGCATTTTCCTTTTTAATAGTTTTGCTTCTCTCCCTAATTTCCATCAAATATTTTATGTGAGTATATCCCAAACATTAGCATATAACTTACATTTTAAAGTAGAAGTTAAACTGTCAGTGTTTAAAATCAAAATATTTTGTCTCTTTCCAGGTTATTGATTTAGACCCAGTCCTGGGATCCTTTCTGATTCTCACCAGTGTCTTCTTGATGGTACTTGTGATCATTAACCTTTTTGTTTCCGTCATTCTCATGGCCTCTGGTAAAGAACGAACGTCCCTTAAGGTAAGTAACTCCGACTCAGTAACTGAAATATAAACTTGCCATCATTTTATCATTAGAAAAACTCAACTGTTGCTGCTCTTCAGATTACAGATGGACATAATGCACAGTAGCAGCGTAGTCCCTTTATTAGTCTCCATAGCTCTGGCAACCATTTTCATCGGACACCCAGTTTAGAGGACATCTGCAGTCCTATAAATAGCTGGTCCTCAACTATTAAGTAGCAGAAACACTCCAATGCCTGACAGTAAATCATTAAAGGAAACAGTGTTTACACTAGTTTTTTAATTTGTTGGCAGTCTTCCCCTCCAACATTAGCATCAATTTTAATTCCCTAACTTTTCTCCTTTTGTCTTTGAATAGACTCTGAAAGAAGATGCACTGACAGATGTGGTGCCACAGAAGCTCTCCAGTTTGCTAGGAATCCAGTGGCACCGGAACACGTGAGCAAACAGCCATGACAGCAGTGGGCAGTAACACTAAGGCTTTAAAAGATGAGCTATTTGGGGGCACCTGGGTGATTCAGTCGGTTAAGTGTCTCAAGTCATGATCCCAGGGTCCTGGGATCCAGCCCCATGTTGGGCTCCCTGCTCAGTGGGGAGCCTGCTTCTCCCTCTGTGCTCTCTCAAATACTTTTAAAAATTAAAAGATTATCTTTGCATGGTATAGTTTAGAAAATTACCGGTTTATAATACACCATTAATTTTGTAAATCACTGAGGAATCAAAATCCCCGTGGCAGTGAGTTCTTAGGTTTATGGATCACTGTCAAGAAAGGGTTAACACTACTAGAGTGATACAGGATAAACCAGCTCTGCTGCCAAACACCTACCACCAATATATTCAGCATGGCTGTGGGAAATATGTATGAGTCAGAGGTGAGCTCACTGCAGCTTATTAAAATCAAAGATATAAGCATGAGGTTTGGCTAATGGGGAGCCCTGTCCCAGAGGACTAACGAAGCAAACTCCCAAAGGCTATCTAGGCTTAAATACAGAAATAGAAATGGACTCCTCGCTGCTCCAGGCATCCACGTTACCCAAGGAACCAAAGGTAAGGTCTGGCTTGTGCCCAGCATGGGTCACTTGCTTAAAATACTCTCCACTAAAATCCAATTTGCACTTCATCACTTGACCAAACCAGTGGAAAAAGCAGGGCACAGAATTTTTAACTTTATTATCAGCTACTGAGCTATGAGATACAAACCAATCAAAAACATTTAAGTTGCTTGAAACAGGTGTGTATATTTACACTACACAGAAGCCAGAGTCCTATCTTCTGATCCCAAAGCCATCCCTCTGGGGAAGGATGGCCTCAGCTAGGGGTTAAAGGAACACTGTTAAGTTACAATAGTAAAGAGTCTCATCCACCTAGGAAAGTAGTCAACAACTGCAGCCACATTTTTTATGGGCACCCAAAACTTATGTGAAATCAGTTTTTAAAGGTTCTCTTAATCATAAAGTTTTCAAATGAAAACAGGAACGCCACTTCCCCTGTAGGCATTCCAGCTCACTACCCAAGAAACTTGAGTACTTCTGTTAAGGCAACTGGAAGCCCACCCTAGCCTTGGTGACTTCTGCCCAGTGTGTGACCTGTCCTTCGTTCACCAGTAAATGCAGTCCAACAGAACATGCCCTGGGGGAAACAGGAGTTTATGCAGTGCTGCCCTCTGGTAAGAGGGGAACACAGCACTCAAAGCAAAAGGCCACGGAGGGCTCCCTGAGAATCCAGTAGATCCAAGAGAAGCCTTCAACTTTCCCAATTAACTCTGCAACTGGATCCAGGTGGAACAGTGCCTGCAGTGAGTAGTGTATAAGCCAATGAGAGCACCCAGCTTCCAAGAACTGTTAAAGGGGCTTCCAGAGTCCGTCTCTCCCATTCATGGCACACCTTTGCTCACTACAAACCCCTCTGGACAGAGGGGTTTGTTTCGAAGTCTAGGACTTCAGCACAGGGCTGAGAGACTTCATGAAGTATTCTTCTCCGTGTCCAGCCATCTTTGGCAGCTCTCCCCATAATGCTTTCACCTTTCCACTCCCCTGTGGAGGAACAGGACAGGTGATGGGAGAACCTGGGCTCACACTCAAGGGAGATGGACAAGCTCGGCTGCCCAGGGTCAGCTGCTCTGGCCTCATAGTCTCTAATCATTAGTTTCTTAGGAGCAACAGAGAACTGGAAAGCAGCAGAATTTAGAGCAGAAAGAGAACCCAGAGGAATAGTGTGCTCAGTGATGGTTAAGAGATGAAAACGAATTTCATGGAGATTCTTTGTTACAAGGAGAAAAAGCTCAGTCTCAAATCTCAGAGCCTGGAGGTTGCCTGGTTGAAGAGAACTAGGTTTTCTTTTTCAACTCTTCAAATCTCCGGGAAAGATCATCAAAGTCAATGTCCTCAGATGCTGAGGCGCTGGCACCAGCAGATGCAGTTGGTAGTGTGTCTGGCACAGACGGCAACTCCGGCAGTACAAAGTTGTTGTAGGTATCCACGGGTCGGGAAGGGGGCTTTGCAGAGGCTTCCGGCTTGGGCCCAGGACCTAATTCAATTAGGGTAAGGAGCACAGTGTTACAAACTCCCCTTTGACAGAAACAAAAATACAGGAGAAAACACTGGTTTTTAAAAAATAATTCTAAAAGTCAATAAAAATTTTCAGGACAATTTAACCTACATTTCCTTTTTTTTTAAAGATTTTTATTTATTTATTCATGAGAGACAGAGGCAGAGGGAGAAGCAGGCTCCCAAGGAGCAGAGAGCCCGATGCGGGACTCGATCCCAGGACCCTGGGATCATGACCTGAGCCGAAGGCAGACGCTTAACCATCTGAGCCACCAAGGCGCCCAAATCTACATTTCCTTAATACAGCTGACTCCTATCTGTTTTACTTTACTATGGTGAGAAAAAAGATTAAGGGAAATTCAAAGTGTGATACCTGGGACTAGGTACACAGAGCATGCACTCAGACTGTCCCCTTTCACAAAGGTCTGCTCCCATCATGACAAAGTCCAAGGGGTGGTACTAAAATTCTGTTGGAATGAGCCCCTCTTTAAGGCTCAGGGGGAAAAATTTTTTTATGAGAAATGTTAACGTCCTTATTGTTTGATGTAGTAGGATCTGAATTACCAGTCTGCCATTTTGTATTTTATAAGTTAAAATCATCCCCGTCTCTACCTACTGTACGTTTCCATTTGTATCTAAGTTCTAGAAAAGGCAAACCTCAACTACTTTTAGAAAGTAAGAATAGTGGGGTGCCTGAGTGGCTCAGTCAGTTGAGCATCCAACTCTTGGTTTCAGCTCTGGTCACGATCTTGGGGTCATGGGACTGAGCCCCATGTCAGGCTCCACGCTGAGAGAAGTCTGATTGAGATTCTTTCCCTCCCCCATGCACGCTCATGTTCTCTTTCTGTAAAAATAAAATCTTAAAAGAAAAAGAAAACAGTGTTTGCCTCCAAAGTAGAGAGTGGATTGATGGACTTGAAAGGAACATAAGAGAACTTTCTGGGGTGATGGAAATGTTCTACACCAGCTTTACTGAAGTATCATCAAAATATACCTCAATAAAACGATCTCCAATTTAAAAAGTATCCCCCTCCCTCTGGTTTCCATAGTGCTGGTAGTGTTTTACTTTCTGATCAGATGATCACACGATCATGCGTGCTTTATGAAAAGTCACTAAGCTATTCATTTATGGTTTTATCTACTGCCCCCTCTTTAATGCTCAAGCTTAAAAATATGTTATCTATATCTAGATAGAAAAATAGCTAGACTGATCTCTTTTGCTATTTCTAGGTACAACGGAAGTTGAAGCAGCAGGACCATAAAGAACTTGAGACTGAAAGAATGATGATACCACTAACAGAAACAAGGAACTTGGGAGATTCTCTGCAACCAAGAAAGATATTTTCTTTTTGGATGAGAGAAATCCAAAGTTCTATTTTCATCCTACTACACTCTGGGAGAAGACAGGGCATGTGGGTAAAATGCCACAAACATGAACACTATCTCTGAGGCAGGAGCGGTAATGAGAAAACAGCAAAGGGTTCAAGCACTGAGGGTTTCTGATTCACACTCACCAACAATCTGTGCAGAAGAGACATTCTTATCAGCATTAAGGTCATCAACCTGAAACACAAAGATTGTTACTAGGGGAGAAAGCAATGGCATTACTGGACAAAGTACTAATATTGGTATAAGCCCCTGTGTTTTCCCAAAGCTAAGCTGCTCAGCAGAAGCAACACAACCTCCTCCAAAGAAACTGCCCCTCCACCCCCTATACTCCTTCCTGATCTTCCAATCAGATAACATGTTAAACTCAACCACCAAGCAGAGAAAAAGAAAATTCTTTGATACCTTCACCTTCTGGGCAGAGAGAAAGCACTAACCCACTGAATTCATCTCCAAGAACCAAGTCCTCTAATACTGAAGATCTTCTACCTCATTCCTAGAAACAGTTGTGGGCAATGCTTCAATGCATGCAAGACCGAAACGTAAGAAAACCCAGGCCCAAGAGAAAACCAAAGGAAAGAACACCAAGCAAGTTCAGGAACAGGGCGATCTCGCAGCAAACGCCCTACCAACTGTAATGCATCAGATGGAAATAGGTCTCAAAAGGCATATACCAGCTGAGGAAACAAGGCTGACAGAAAAGGAGCCCTCTAATCCTGAATCAAAGCTATGCAATCACCAACAATTCAATTCAAGGCACGGTTACCATATTTATAACGAGTTTCATCTATAAGATGAAAATGTAAAAGTAATGTTATAGGCTGAAATTTACTAACTGGACACTTCTGTTTAACATAAAAATCTGGTATTTTAATTACGATATTCTAGCAGTAAGACTACACCACCTCAATACCATTCTCTGCCTAGTTAAAAAAAAACAAAAACCACCAAAAACCCCCCCAAAAGACTAGGTGAGTGCCCTACTAGAACTTTCTAGGAGACCTGCAGCTCCTTCCCGATTCCTGGCTTAACTGCAAACAAAGCCCTGCCACCCGTGATGCCGCCCCACCACCCCACTGCCAGGGCAATGTTGAAGCAACACAAAAATCCAAAGCAAGAGCAATGCTGGTAACTAGGAAATGATCAGAACTTTGCCTTCCCTGTGGCCATTATTTCTCTCTCTTCATGGGATTCACTCTCCTGCTGCTTACAAAAGAGGCTCAAGCACTTACAGATTCATACGATGGGGGAGTTGCTGGTATCTGAGGTGGATGAATATTGGGAAAAGCCTGATAAGTCCCCACTGGCAATCCATTGAAATCCGACTGCAAGAGAAGAAAGGCGACATCAGAGACACGGCCCCGTTTTGCAGTTTCTGAGGTTTGTGTATGGTAAGGGAGCAATACCTACACGTATTCAGTGTGAATATTCAAGAAATATATTCAATATGTATATATATTCAAGAGCTCCCAAAGAAAAAAAATGCCCAGAAGGATCCCAGATTTTTAAAGATCTAAAGCCAAAGGCTAGTCTTCAAATTACTTATCAACTGCCTGGATGTCTACAGGGGAAGATTCTAATCAGACTTTCCTATTACTAGTAATGACCTTCACCTTTTTGTCTACAAAAGAGGTTTTTCTACCTGGTAATAAGTTGTACTCATTTTTGGAAAGAACTACTAGTTTGCCTGCTACAGGTCCCAAAGGTATTCAGTAAAGCTACAAGAAGAAGTTTCTCTAGCACGATCTCTGTATATTTTCCCACATCATTAACAAAACACTTTCTCCAAATCCCAGTATTTTTTCCACAATATGATCCCTAATACCAAATGTTCTTACTGCAGAATCTTAACAACCTACAACTCCTGTGTATTCATACATCCAATGTGTCATCTTGTTACATTTTCTACAGTTTACACCCACACTTCTATGTATACTTACTGGTCCCTTTGGAAGTGGGTAGGAGAACGGAGTACTTGGAGAGGGCATGGGCATAGGCACTGGCACTGTTCCATCAGGTCCACCAACTGGTGTTGCAAAACCACCCCCTCCTCCTCTTCCAGGACCCCCTTTCTTCACATCATCTGTGAATCCAACATCAATAAGATCTGTCTCTACCCCAGGAGGAGCTTCTGCCTGAGAAGGAGAGAGAAACCCGTATCATTAACCCACAGTGCAGGCCAGGTTCCCCCAGAAGCAGACTCTGAGATGGAGACCAGTGTGGAGGAAGGTACTGGCGTGGTCCCTTGGGATAAAGACCCGTGGGGAAGTGAAGGAAGCCGGGCTAGGCTGCTGTACAGTCACAACAACTGCTCAGTCGATTCCTTAAGGAGCTCTGAGCTGGAATGGGCCTGCAACATGTACCCCCGACTGGGACAGAGTCTTTAAAACCCAGTTACTGAATACAGGCTGTCCTGCAGAAAAGACTGTGGATGAAGCAGCTTTCTTCTGAGGGCCATTGCTGGAGTGTTATGAGCCACCAGTCATCAATACTCTCAAGAGGTGGGGAAATAAATGCTTTTATCCTTAGGTGTGTATATCTGGGATGGGGGAGTGTTGTCTAAGCAGCACAGCAAAGAACCCACTACACCCCACTGACCTTAATTGAAGGATTACTATTTGCATATTTGCCCCCCTTACACTGTAAACCTCTTCAGGACAGGGAACTTGTTTTTATCTCTGTATTCTCAGGTCTCAGTGCACTGTCTAACACACGGCAGGCACCTAATAGTTTTAGAATCCATTCGGGGTCTTGGGGCATTTCTTGCTTCAATTCCTTGAACTTCATCGAAAAGCAGCAATAGTGCCATTCTGTATTTGCATCAAGGTTTGTACCTTTTCTAAGTGCCTTCCAGTCATTCATCTCATCTGATCCTTAAATACTCTTTGAGAAATGCAGGCATATTTATCATTACCCAAAAAGGCACTAATTGGACAAAGGCTTAATCTCCCACATACAAACTTTAGTGCAAAGGATAGGATTATTTTTTAAGAAAATGATATCCAGAGACTCATTTCCCCCTCTGTACTCTGAAAGACTCTCTACTCACCATGACCACAGAGTCAGGCTCATAGGGCACATTGTAGTTCTTAGCAATTTCAATCAGGTATCTCTCCACCAGGATTTTGGGTGGGGCTTCCACACTCAGTTTGTGCATTAGCTGTAAGTAAAAGACCCAGGGTTAAAATCTATGCCAATCAGGGCGCCTGGGTGGCTCAGTTGGTTAAGCGACTGCCTTCGGCTCAGGTCATGATCCTAGAGTCCCTGGATCGAGTCCCGCATCGGGCTCCCTGCTCGGCGGGGAGTCTGCTTCTCCCTCTGACCCTCCCCACTCTCATGTGCTCTCTCTCATTCTCTCTCAAATAAATAAATAAAATCTTTAAAAAAAAAAAAAAAAATCTATGCCAATCAGCCTAACCTGACTCACTTTTAAACTTTGTTCCTCTTATTTTACAGGTAAATTGAGGAAAAAGGAGGTTCTGACCGGTTAAATCATTTTTTTTTCAGTCACAAAGCATTATTACAAACCCATGCCCCTCTCATGGTCTCTGCTTACACATGACCCAGGTGTTGGTAAGACTGATAATGCTGCCTTCCACATTTGAATTCACCCACTCTTCATCACCTTGCTTCTACATGCACAAATCACAAGGGGCACAAAGGACTGGGGGCCTCACAATCAGAGGTTTAGGGAAGGGTAAGGAGTAGACTGCACAGCCAGCCAGAGAGCTTTCTCACCCTCACTATAAAATATGCAACCCTAGATTAACTCAGCCATACAGTAGGACCCACTACAATCAAGCCAAGATAACATGCCCACACCCTGTCTACTGCATCATGTTAAGTATGTTCATTACCCTGTCATTCACAGTTCCAATCTGGTTGGTCCTACATAACTTGCCGTATTCCTTGCTATACTTGGCACAGAGCTGATCAGCAACCTATAGAGAAAAAAGAACAGTAAATGAAAGTGGAAACCATTCTTACAGACTGCTTCAAGCTTCCTATCAACAGTAACCATGCTTCTATTACAGGATTTCAAAAAACCCCAGGCCTGTAAAACTTTTAAGGGATACATTGTTAGTTCATATTTGTTTATCCATCCATCGAGCTGTAACTATGTGCCAAAATCTCTCACAGACATTATGACATATGCTCTAAATACAATAAACAAAAACAGACATTGTTCCTACTCTTAAAGTCTTAGAATCTCTGAGGAAACCAGTCATTACTCAGTCACACAAATAAAGATACAAATGTAGCCGCAGTTAAGTATCACCAAGTGAAAGTACATACACTGTCAATAACTTACAACAGTGAAATCAGATCTGATCAAAAAAGTCATGTAAGGGGGAGCCTGGGTGGCTTAGTCGGTTAAGCGTCCAACTCTTGGTTTCAGCTCAGGTCATGATCTCAGGGTTGTGGGAACAAGCCCTGAACTGGGCTCCTTGCCCAGCACAGAGTCTGTTCGAGATCCTCTCTTCCTCTCCCTTCCCTCTGCCCCTCCCACTTGTTCACGCTCTCTCTCAAATAAAATCTTAAAAAAAAAAAAAAGTAAGGCTTCCTGAAGAAAGGAATGATGCTTCACTGAGATGTAAAGGATGACTAGGAGTTAAGAGGAAGGGAAGAACATTCTAGGAAAAGAAAACAGCATGTGCAAAGGCCTCAGGTAGAAAAACTGGGTCAATCCTCAAGCTGAAATAAAGTCAGTGTTGAGCCCCAGGGAGAAGTGTGATAGGAAATGAAGAAAGAGGGCGCCTGGGTGGCTCAGTCGTTAAGCGTCTGCCTTCGGCTCAGGTCATGATCTCAGGGTCCTGGGATCGAGCCCCGCGTCGGGCTCCCTGCTCAGCCAGGAGTCTGCTTCTCCCTCTCCCACTCCCCCTATTTGTGTTCCCTCTCTAGCTGTCTGTCAAATAAATAAATAAATCTTTAAAAAAAAAAAAACACACACACACAAAAAGAAATGAAGAAAGAAAGGCACACAGGGGCCACACAATGCGGAACTATGTAGGCCATATTAGGAATTGTTTCCATCATAAAAACAGCAGCTACTAAAGGGCTTTAAAGCAAGGGGTAGTGACAGAATCAGATCTGTGTTCTGAACAAAACCCTAAGCTGAATAGACTAAAAGAAACCAAAGTATGTGTAGGAAGAAGATTAAAAAAATCCAGGCAGGCATTGAACCAGAGTGGCCCCAACATCTGAGAGTTCAGTAAGGAGGCACTCATTGTTCAGTATGTAGACCTGGTACTTACGACTTAAGGTTGTCATTTGTCTTTTAAATAACAGTTCTTGGTTGCTTTATATTATGCAGGAATTTTTTATTTTTCTTAATTTATTGCTCTTTGTTTATGGCTTTTGGGTTTTATGGACTTTTCCACTATGAGATCATTTTTTTTTTTTTTAAAGATTTTATTTATTTATTTGAGAGAGAGAATGAGATAGAGCATGAGAAGGGGGAGGGTCAGAGGGAGAAGCAGACTCCCTGCTGAGCAGGGAGCCCGATGCGGGACTCGATCCCTGGACTCCAGGATCATGACCTGAGCTGAAGGCAGTCGCTTAACCAACTGAGCCACCCAGGCGCCCTATGAGATCATTTTTTTAAATCTGCCTAGTTTTCTTCTAGTTCCTTTATGAGTTCACCTTTTTAAAATCATGTAAATGTGTTTCATCTTCAATAAATTTTAATATAAAGGAAAAATACAGGAAAGGTTACAACGAAACTGAGGTTGGGACGCCCGGCTGGCTCAGCTGGAGGAGCATGCAACTCTCGATCTAGGGTCGAGTTCAAGCCCCACATTGGGTGTAGAAATTACTTAAATAAAAACTTAAAAAAAAAGAGAGACAGAGACTGAGGTTAAAAGTCTATATAAGCAGCAGCTGCCTCTGAGGCACCTCGCTGGCTCAGTCGGTAGAGTATGGGACTCTTGATCTCAGGGTCGTGAGCTACAAGGAGGAGCAGTTGCCTCTACTCTCCCACCATTCCTCTATTTACACAACTCAGACTCCCAGCCCTACCAGATCAGAATACAGGAGGCTTACTCTCTGGTGAGTTTAGACTAAAGGGATTCTGAACTCCAAGCATAGCAGAGAGCAGAGACACATAATGACAACAGAAAAATTACGTATAAGTCTTCTAAAAGAGAAGAATGAGACCTTTGGCTTCCTTCTCCTCTGGTTCTCAGAAATTCTGCCAGCTTATAACCTCAAGGTAAAAAAAGAGGATTCCTCTCTGAAGGAAATGACCATACCGAGGAAAAAAACTAGTTCCTGATACTCTGGAGTTCCCTTAAGAAAGGGCTTAGATCATTCAACAGTGAAGGCATCTGGCAATAAGCCCCACTCAGGCACACAAGAGGTTCCAAGCCGCTTTTTAAATGCCTCACTTTCAAATATAAACCAACAATCAAGGGTCACCAAACTTGTGAAAAGCCTCTACTACAAAATAGTCTAAAACAAAGAAATAGAACAAGAAAATGGAACAAGAGGGCGCCTGGGTGGCTCAGTTGGTTAAGCGACTGCCTTCGGCTCAGGTCGTGATCCTGGAGTCCCGGGATCGAGTCCCACATCAGGGTCCCTGCTCAGCAGGGAGTCTGCTTCTCCCTCTGACCCTCCTCCCTCTCATGCTGTCTCTCATTCTCTCTCTCGCAAATAAATACAATCTTAAAAAAAAAAAAAAAAGGAAGAAAAGTTAATAAGAAACTAATTCTCAGTTAAAAGACATTAATGCAGCTATGAAACAAAAGCAACAGACTATGAAGTATTCAAATAAAGAATTAGAAAGAGCTCTTAATAATAAAAACATACAGAAGACCAGGAAATCTCAAAAGATGGGTCAGGAGATGACTGAGACAATCTAGAGAATAAAACAAAAAAGGCAAAGATGCAGAAAATAGGAGGGAACAACTCAACTGAATTTGTATCCTAGCAGTCAGTGCCATATCCATGTTGTGATGGGGAAGTTTTTAACGTCTATCTCTTCTGCTAGATTTTAAACCTACAAGAGTAGGGTTGGTGTCATATTTTGCTCATTACTGTACCCTCAGTGCCCACCTAACTTGTAACATACACCCAATGAGTATTTGTGAAATTAATGAATGAAGCAAAACATCTGTCACCTTAAGTTAATGTTATTTTAACTTTACTGGTTTACAGTTGCTTAAGAACTTTTCTATTTGAATATACTTAACATTACAATAAAAACAAGACAAAACTGGAGATACACAAAACTTTGCTCCTTAAAAAAAATTATTTAAGTTTGAAAACACTGTTCTGTTGCATTATACAAGGCCTGAAAAGGAGGTAGAGACAAATTTATAAAGCCTGTTTCAAAGACACCATGAAAAGGGTACAAAATATCTGGTCAAATAAGCAGAAGTGAATTTTGTTAACCAACCTAAAAATATGACAAACCTCAGACATCACTGAAACTCACTGTACTCACTATTTTCAACTCAGCCACTTCTGACTGGAGCCGAGGAGCAGCCCATATCAGTGTAGACACGGATTCAGCCAGACCAGAATCTAGTTCCCTAATTAAGGAAAAAAATTAATAAAATTTAATATTCTTTAAAAGAAAACAGGGGCATCTGGGTGGCTCAGGTCATGGTCCCAGAGTTCCAGGATTAAGCTCTGTATTGGGCTCCCTGCTCGGTGGGGAGTTTGCTTCTCCCTCTCCCTCTGCTCCTCCCCTGCTCGTGCTCTCTCTAATAAATAAAAATTTTTTTAAAGATTTTATTTATTTGAGACAGTAAGCCAGAGAGAGCACAAGCCAGTGGGGAGAGGCAGAGGGAGAAAGAGACTCCCCGCTGAGCAGGGAGCCTGATATCAGACTCAATCCCAGGACCCTGGGATCATAACCTGAGCTGAAGGCAGACACTTAACCGACTGAGCCACCCAGGCACACCTAAATAAAATCTTTAAAAAAAAAAAATTCTTTAGGGCGCCTGGGTGGCTCAGTTGGTTAAGCGACTGCCTTCGGCTCAGGTCATGGTCCTGGAGTCCCGGGATCGAGTCCCGCATCGGGCTCCCTGCTCAGCGGGGAGTCTGCTTCTCCCTCTGACCCTCCTCCCTCTCATGCTCTCTGTCTCTCATTCTCTCTCTCTCAAATAAATAAATAAATTTAAAAAAAAAAAAAAAAAAAAATTCTTTAAAACAAACCAACAAAACCCCAGAATTTGTATCATATGTTTGATAGCCTCTCAAGTTCTTTCACAAATCTCACTGGATTCTCACAAATAATTCTAGGGCTTCTAGCCATTTTCATCATCCTATTTTACTTCTGGGGAATCTCTGACAAGGCCAAGGTCACAAAGTCAGGAAATGGTAGAGCCAAGACTCAAACTTAGACTTTTTTTTTTTTTTTAAAGATTTTTTTTATTTATTCATTTGAGACACAGAGATACAGAAAGAGAGAGAGAGCATGAGCGGGGGGGGGAGACAGAGGGAGAGGGAGAAGCAGGCTCCCCGCCAAGCCAGGAGCCCGACGTGGGACTCGATCCCAGGACCCTGGCATCATGACCTGAGCTGAAGGCAGACACCTAACCATCTGAGCCACCCAGGCGCCCCAAACTTAGACCTTCTGATTTCAGAGTCTTTATTTTCTTTTCAGTTGTTTACATGGAGATCAGTCCTTCCAGCAAAGGTATTAGGAAAAAGGTCCTTGGCTATGTGAAGTAGTCCCCTAGTTCTAGCCCCCCACATGCAGTAGACCGGTTATTACTCCCTTCTCAAAATCCCTTTCTCAAAAAGGTGATTTGATCTAGGTCTTCAAAATACCTTATTTCATTTCATTACAGTTATACAAGATGAAGTTCTAGAAACCTACCGAACTACACTGTGCATACAGTTAACAATACTATACTAGGCACTTAAAAATGTTAAGAGAGTAGAGGGGCGCCTGGGTGGCTCAGCTGGTTAAATGTCTGACACTTGGTTTCGGCTCAGGTCATGATCTCACGGTTGTGAGATCAAGGCCCCTGTCAGGCTCCACGCTTAGCGCGGAGTCTGCTTGGGATTCTTTCCCTCTGCTCCTCCACCCCCTCCCCTCCTGGTGCATGCGTGCTCTTTCTCTCTAAAATAAATAAATAAATCTTTTTTAAAAATGTTAAGAGGGGGATGCCTGGGTGGCTCAGTCAGTTAAGTGCCTTTGGCTCAGGTCATGGTCCCAGGGTCCTGGGATCGAGTCCTGCATCGGGCTCCTTGCTCAGCGGGGAGCCTGCTTCTCCCTCTCCCTCTGCCTGCTGCTCCCCCTGCTTGTGCTGTCAAATAAATAAAATCTTAAAAAAAAAAATGTTAAGAGGGTAGGAATCTGATGTCATGTGTTCTTATCAAAAAAGATGTGTGTGGGGGACACAAGGAAACTTCTAGAGGTAACAAATGTTTATTACCTTGATTGTGGTGATGGTTATGCAGGCGTATGCATATGTCCAAACTCATCAAACTGTATACATATATACAGTTTTTCTCTATAAATCATACCTAAATTAAGTTTAAAAAAAAAAGACAAAATTATCTTACTTCATAGACTGGATGAGACCAAACCGAGCCAGCAGCAGATCACAATACAGCTCCAGAATCTCCATGGCCTCCACAAGGTAGTCTTCTCGGATAATGTGCTCCACCCGGATCCGAGCTCGTTCATCCTTCCCAGCAGCCAGATAGTCAGCAATCTCTTTCCTTGCTTTCTGGGCCAGTTCCGCTAAGGCACAAATCCCGTCCACTCACACAGCAGCAATACACTGGGCCCTGGCCTGCAGGAGACTTCTACCCCAGGAGTGAACTGGGTGTTTCTAGTACATGCCTAGCTCACTTGTCTTTTACCAAATCTAGTCCCAACTCATCTAGTCTCCAGAATTTGCTCCTTTGTCTAGGTGAGAATATTGCTGTTATAGCCACAAATTTACCTCAGGAGTCATGTTACCAATTCCCTGCAACAGAATGATTCAATCTAACTTGTCACAAAGAGCAGCAGTAATTATCTAAAGCTTAAAGGATATGGGATCCCTAAGACTTCACAGTACTAGCCTCACAGAGCTAATATTAGGATGGGAGACCCCAGTGATTTTGGGAAAGAAAATATACGGCAATCATGCATTACTCACTTTTTTTTTTCTCCAATAGTTTAAGACGGTTTATGACTAATCGCAAATTAACTCGTAAACGCTCAGCTTTAAATCCAGAGCCCAGCATGCTGTGCTGTTCCTCCTGGAAAAAGATAAGCACAGTTACTACTTTCAAGCTGAAATTATTCCAGTTAGAGGGTGGATTAGCTTCCTCTAGAATGGCTTCCTAATACAGGCAAAACAACATGATCTGATTCACATTTCTTGAAGATCATTTTGGTTTGCGTAGAGAACTGATTGGGGGAGGGTAATAACAGAAGCAAGAGGACCAAGGAGAGAAGGCTATTACTATAGTCCAGACGAGATGGAAATACCTTAGACTAGGGTAGCATGACTTGATTTGAGATCTAGCTTGAAGGCAGAGCTAAAAGAATCTGGTAATGGATAAAATGAGTATCTATATTTTGGTGTAGGAGTGGGTTGATAGGGGCGCCTGGGTGGCTCAGTTGGTTAAGCGACTGCCTTCGGCTCAGGTCATGATCCTGGAGTCCCGGGATCGAGTCCCACACGTCGGGCTCCCTGCTCGGCAGGGAGTCTGCTTCTCCCTCTGACCCTCCCCGTCTCATGTGCTCTCTCTCTCTCATTCTCTCTCTCTCAAATAAATAAATAAAATCTTAAAAAAAAAAAAAAAAAAAAGGAGTGGGTTGATAAAAAGACAAAGCAGCAGCAGGAAGGACTCCTACCTGTCCCAAAAATCTCATCAGGGCAGTGATGAGGAAAGACTATCATATTTAGAACCAAATTCAAAAATAGTCTCCCATTAGTTCCTCAAGTCCTCCTACTAAGTCTCAGCCTGTGGGAAAAAGCCAGTGCCCAAGATCACAAAAATATTAATATTTACTGACTTGCAAAGAAATATACAAAGGGATGAAAAATCCAAGAAAAAAACTACTCTATAAAATTTAACAACAGAAGGCTATTTACCAAGACTCTGAATGAACAGCAAAGTTATAGTCAACAAAACTACTCCCTTCCACCCACAAGGGGGTATATACCATTGTGCATTTCATATTGAGACAGTGCAAATTCTATGTCTCCCAATGAATTCTCGACTTGAACTTCAAAACATACAACATCCAAACAAAAGCTAGGTCTAATAAACTAATCAATAAACAGACAAACCAAAAAAGATATCCAATGTAAGGAAAAACACTAGGGATATTTGTCCGCTTGTGCATAAACCACTAATAACCTCCAGAAGCCTTTATATATTTAATAATTAACCTAAGTCTCAGTTTACAACGGGGCTTGTATGTCATGAAATATCTGGGAACCATTACACTGAATTATATTCAACCCACTCAACAAATACCGAATATTTCTACATCAAACAATAGCTAAATGCTGAAGATTTACAAAAAAAAAAAGTACAGTCCTTGCCCTCAAAGGAACTTATATTCTATTGGAAAAAAACAGCTTAAGAAAATCTGGCAACTATAATACTATTTGGTAAAAAGTGTAATTTTAGAGTGGTTCTCAACTGAAAGAGACTTTGTCCCATATGGGACATTTGGCAATGACTGGAGACATGCTGGGTTGTCACGATTGGAAGGGATGCTACTGGCATCTGGTGGGTAGATGCCAGGAATACTGCTGCTAAACATTCTACAATCAACAGGACAGTCCCCCACAACAAAAAAATTATCCAGCCCAAATGTCAGTAGTGCCAAGATTAAAAAACCTAATTCTAGAGAAAAGACACCCAATCTTAGAGACATTACAGAATACTTTCCAGGAGAAGGAAAGTCTAAGTTGGGTCCTAAAGGACAAACAAATTAAGTATAAGGTAAAAAGAGGATGTGACTACCCCAGGCAGAGGAAGTGCTGTATCTAAACTCCAGGTACCAGAGAGAACAAGAAACTTTCAGAAGAACACAAGTTCAGTACAGGTGAAGAATGGCATTAACTACAGTTCATGCCGTAACATCTCTCACAATCATAAATTCAAAACTTCAATTTGACAATTATTTATAAGAGAACAGGTGCTGTGGTAGGTTCTGGTGCTAACTAGATCCAGACAATATCCTTGTTTTCAAGGCCTTCATAACCAGAGATGGATCGGACAACCAGAAAAACAGTAATTAGTACTATCATTTGCCGTACCAGGCACTGGCCCAGGATCAACCAGCAACTAAGTGGCAGAATGAAGAATAAAATCTAAGTGAATCTAAACTCAAAACCCAAGTAAACAATCTTAATCATATGCTCCTATAGCATTTCAGCACAAAAAATTATACTATATATTTTTCAATCCCTTTCAACAAATATTCATTGATTGTCTACAATACTGTGACAGGAGCTAGATACACTGGCACTGAAAAACAGACATGGTTATTGCCCTCATGGAGTTCACAGTCTAGTTAGAGAAAACTATCACCTCAGTAACTATAAAATAACAAGTAAGTAAATAAGTGTTGCTCTGGAGTTTATTATAAGGGGTTAACTTCTTTGGCCATTTACTTGGATACTGTTTCGAAGATAAAAGATAACAAAATCAGGGGTTACTGTAGAGTCACAAGGTATGACAGAAAAATGTCATGATTTCTCTGTGGTTCTTAACTAATCTATAAGCATTGATTTTGTGATGCATCAATATATATGAGAACTAAACTTCAGTATTATAAATATTTTCAAAAGGCTTAAGAACATATACATTTTGACCTATTAATTCTACTCCTAGGAACTTAGCCTAAAGAAACAGAGCTTCATTCAGACTTTTATATAAAAATATTTATCAGCACATTTTAAGACCAAAAAATTAGAATAATGAAATATTGCTTATTAAACTATAGTATATTTGTGATGGAATTTTATGTAGCCATTAAATATTTAAAAAGTATTTACTGATGTGAAAATATATCAATGATATTAGTTGAAAAGGCAGGACTACATATATGAAGTATGACCCCAATTCTGAGTTTAAAAAAGCAAATATACATATAAACAAAGGCTGGACTAAAAAGAAAAAAGATTTAATTATTACTGTACGTAAACTCTTTCCAAACCCAATGAGTTAAGACTAACAGGAGAGCTAATATTAAAAACCAAACCCACCTCAGAAAGCAAACAATTTAGAATTTCTATTAAAAGACAAATAATAGGGGCGCCTGGGTGGCTCAGTCATTAAGCGTCTGCCTTCGGCTCAGGTCATGATCCCAGGGTCCTGGGATCGAGCCCCACATCGGGCTCCCTGCTCGGCAGGAAGCCTGCTTCTCGCTCTCTCACTCCCCCCTGCTTGTGTTCCCTCTCTCGCTGTGTCTCTGTCAAATAAATAAAATAAAATCTTAAAAAAAAAAAAAAAGACAAATAATAATATAAATTCATTGCCTCCTTAGAAAAACAAAGTATTAACTCATCAGAAAACAATAACCAAGATCACCTTATCGTAAGTGGAATATATGTGGAATCTGAAAAAAAAAAAACCACCCACACGCTCATAGATACAGAGAACAGACTGGTGGTTGCCAGAGGTGGGTGGCAGAGAATGTCAAAAACTACAAAGAAAAATAAGTATGGTGCATTCCTGAGCACCAAAAAAGTGCTTACAATTGTCCAGTAATTTATGACCATCTCCTTTGACAAATAAACAAACAATAAAAAGAAAGTACATGCACACTGTGTGCAAGGCCTATGATGAAGAGCTAATGCAAGAAAAGGAGCACAGAGGAGAAATCTCACTGCGTGCCAGGTCCTGGCCTTCATATCCATCAGCTCATCTGTCTCACCACAGATGAGTGGCAAGATCTGGGTTCAAAGCCCAAATGCAACATTACCCACACAGGGTGACCACTTAGCAAAAATATTACAACTGTGATTAAAAATGTAAACATGGTCTTGATAACCCTCCTAACTCAGATGCTCTTCCATCGAGGGCCAGCACAAGGGGAGAGCTATGAAGGAGAACATCCATTCTGCCATGGAGCTCTGGGAAGCTTCCAAGAAGAGAAGGGATGTGCACTAGGCTTTCAGTGTAAAGAGGACTCTATAGACAAGCAATGCAGCAAAGGTTAACAGAGGCTTGATTATCAATCCTAACTTCTGTTCTTAATAGCCTTTGCCCATGCCATTTAACTACTCTGAGCATCATTTTCCTTACCTTTAAGATGAAGACAATAGCAAATACAACTAAACAAACATAAGAACAAACTAACAATTCCTATCAGGCACTCTCCTATGCACAAAGCAACAGCCACATGCCTTAGCAGAAAGCAAAAGAGGCAACACAGTTTGTGGAGGACAAAAGAGAAAAACTAGCAGCACGTCTACTATGGATGTAAAACCACAACCAGAAATAAAAAGTCCCCTAGCTTTTTACGGCCAGAGACAAATGCCCAGACTCCTAAGAAGGAACACTAAAGTGCATCTGAAATGCACAAATGAAGTCTTGGAAAGGGAATGCCTGGGGGAGAAGAATTTTAGAAGGAAGGGAGAGGAGCCCTTTAGAAAACTATGCTGAAGGGGAAAAGGGGCAAAGGGAGAGTTCTGTCAGGAACAAGAAACTTTTTTTTTTTTTTAAGATTTTATTTATTTATTTGAGAGAGAGAATGAGAGGCAGAGAGCACGAGAGGGAAGAGGGCAGAGGGAGAAGCAGACCCCCCGCTGAGCAGGGAGCCCGATGTGGGACTCAATCCTGGGACTCCAGGATCATGACCTGAGCCGAAGGCAGTCGCTTAACCAAGTGAGCCACCCAGGCGCCCCAAGAAACTTTCTTTAAAAGTCAAAGGAGGGACACCTGGGTGGCTCAGTAGGTTAAGTAGGTTCAGCTTAGGTCATGATCCCAGGGTCCTGGGATCGAGTCCTGCATCGGGCTCCCTGATCAGAAGGGAGCCTGCTTCTCCCTCTGCCTGCCACTACCCATGCTTGTGTTCTTGCTCTGACAAAAAAATAAATAAAATCTTAAAAAATAAAATAAAATAAAGGGACACCTGGGTGGCTCTGTCATTTAAGCGGCTGCCTTTGGCTCAGGTCATGATCCCGGGGTCCTGGGATCAAGTCCCATCAGGCTCCTTGCTCAGCAGGGAGCCTGCTTCTCCCTCTGCCTGCCGCTCCCCCTGCTTGTACTCTCTGACAAAATCTTTAAAA